CCCCTGTAATAGGCAGTAAGAGCACCTAGAGCTTCAGAGAGCTTCTGTTCAACCATTTCAAAGCTCCCTGCTTGAGCGGTGATGGCACGATCGTCAGCATAGATGAAACACTCCGTCCCTTCTGGCAGTGGCTGGTCATTTGTGTAGATGTTGAACATGGATGGAGCAAGCACGCTCCCCTGAGGTAGGCTGTTCTTCTGTTTCCGCCATCTGCTTCTCTGGCTCTGGAACTCAACAAAAAAGCTCCTGTTTTGTAGCAGGTTTCCTATGAGGCGGGTGAGGTGGTAATCCTTTGTGATATTATACATTTTTCTCAGGAGGAGGCGGTGGTTTACAGTATCATAAGCTGCTGGCAGGTCTATGAAGACAGCTTCTGTGAAGACCGCCCTGCATTGAGTTGAATATTCCAGGTATTTGTTTACTTATTGTGTCAGAAGCGAGTTGAAGGTAAAGTTAACATGTGTTTAAAAACACAAAGGTTGAAAACTTGGCATGATGCTAAATGTCCTTTGACCAGAGGCTGGCCACTTGGCATGCCTCTGGTGTGGCTGTGAGAAGGTCCTCCATGGTGCATGTGGCAGGGCTCAGGCTGCATTGTCGTGAGTGGTCTGTGGTTTGCTCTTCTCCGCACTCGCATGTCGTGGACTCCGCTTCGTGGCCCCATTTCTTAAGGTTGGCTCTGCATCTCATGGTGCCAGAGCGCAGCCTGTTCAGTGCCTTCCTAGTCGTCCAGTCCTCTCTGTGCACAGGAGGGAGTTTCTCATCCAGTCTCAGTCACTGATTGAGGTTCCAGATTTTAGCCTGCCGCTTTTGGGCTCTTGTTTGCTGAGGTATTCCTGCGAGTATCTCTGTAGATCAACGTTTCTCAACCTGAGGGTCGGAACTCTTGGGGGGGTCACGAGGGGGCGTCAGAGGGATCACCAAAGACCATCCCTCATTTCTCTCCGAAAAATCCTATCCTAGTTATATTTTACCTTGTTCACGTCAGCATATTTTCAATTTTAATGTATTACGTTTGGCCCGGCCATTTTTAAAATTGTTTATATCACTATTGATTGTTTTTTTGTTTATGCGATTTATATGATTTGTATTTTATTGATTGTTTATTGATGTTGTGTTTATTGGTGTTTCGTTTGATGTACTTTGGGTTTGGCCTCATGTAAGCCGTACCGAGTCCCTTGGGGAGATGGTAGTGGGGTACAAATAAAGTTTATTATTATTATTATATTATTATTATTATTATTATTATTATTATTATTATTATTATTAAAACACAGTATTTTCTGTTAGTATGGGGGTTCTGTGGGTGAAGTTTGGCCCAATTCTATCGTTGATGGAGTTCAGAATACTCTTTGATTGTAGGTGAACTATAAATCCCAGTAACTACAATGTCCAAACCCTTCCAATATTTTCTGTTGGTCATGAAAGTTCTGTGTGGGAAGTTTGGTCCAATTCTATAGTCGGTGGGGTTCAGAATGCTCTTTGATTGTAGGTGAACTATAAATCCCAGCAACTACAACTCCCAAATGACAAAATTAACCCAACCCCCCCATCCCACCAGTATTCAAATTTGGGCGTATCAGGTATTTGTGCCCAGTTTCGTCCAGTGAATGAAAATACATCCTTCATATCAGACATTTACATTACGATTTGTAACAATAGCAAAATTACAGTTATGAAGTAGCAACGAAAGTAATTTTATGGTTGGGGGGTCACCACAACATGAGGAACTGTATTAAGGGGTCACAGCATTTGGAAGGTTGAGAACCACTACTGTAGATCTTAGAAAACAATTTCTTGATTTAAGGCATTGGCTTCCTGGTTGGTATCTGAACAAGGTATGGACCAGAGATGTCACCTCCTTGGGCCTTTCATTATTGGCTGCTACTTCCTGGTAGATGTCAGGTGGTGCAATACTGACTAAACAGTGTAATTTCTCCAGTGGTGTTGGGTGTAGACACCCCGTGATAATGCGACATGTCTAATTAGGAGGCACATCCAATGTTTTAGCGTCGTGAGATATGTTCCAAACTGGGCATGCATATTCAGTATCATAGTAGCCAAGTGCAAGGGCTGATGCCTTCACTGTGTCTGGTTGTGATCCCCAGGTTGTGCCTGTCAGCTTTTGTATGGTATTATTTCTAGCACCCACTTTTTGCTTGATATTCAATAGTGGTTTTTGTAGGTCAGAGCACTGTCCAGAGTGATTCCCAGGTATGTTGGTGTGCTGCAATGCTCCAGTGGGATTCCTTCCCAGATGATCCTCAGAACTCGAGATGCTTGTCTGTTCTTAAGGTGAAAGGCACATCTGTATTTTAGATGGATGAGGAATCAGCTGGTTTTCCCTTTATTTATTTATTTATTTTACGACATTTATATGTTGCTCTTCTCACCCCGAAGGGGACAGAGTGGCTTACAAGGTATATATACATACAATTTATTATATTATTAGCATAGTACAATATAAGTTAAAATATTACTGTACTATACCATTATATTGTAATATTATTAGTAATATTACATGTAATATAAATATATAATTATAATATCATATTAATATTACTATTATATTGCATTACATTATAATATAAGAAATATTATATTATAATATATTATATTATTAGCATACCACAGGAGACAAGGTGGAACTGTCCCCGGCCCCCTCTCTCTTCACTCTGGCCCAGAGCGGCAGCTGGTGCTGGGGGGGGGGGAGAGGTGTCCCCAACTGATGAGATATGCAGGAGACAAGATGGAACTGTCCCTTGGCCTCCCCTCTCAAGCTTCGGAGAGCTTCTGTTCAACCATCTCACAGCTCTCTGCTTGGGCGGTGATGGCACGATCGTCAGCATAGATGAAACTCTTTGTCCCTTTTGGCAGTGGCTGGTCTATTGTGTAAATGTTAAACATTAATGGTGCAAGCTGGTTTTTCCTGTAACGGGCAGTAAGAGTAGCTGAAGCTTTGGAAAGTTTCTGTTCAACCATTTCAAAGCTCCCTGCTTGAGTGGTGATGGCACAATCGCCAGCATAGATGAAACTCTCTGTCCCTTCTGGCAGTGGCTGGTCTTTTGTGTAAATGTTAAACATGGTTGGAGCATGTAATAGGCAATAAGAGCACCTAAAGCTTCAGAGAGCTTCTGTTCAACCATTTCAAAGTTTCCTGCTTGGGTGGTGATGCCATGATCGTCAGCATAGATGAAAATTTCTATCCCTTCCGGTAGTGGCTGGTCATTTGTGTAAATGTTAAACATGGATGAAGGAAGCACACTCCCCTGAGGCAGGCCGTTCTTCTGTCTTCGCCATCTGCTTCTCTGGCCCTTGAGCTTTTGTTCAACCATTTCAAAGCTTCCTGCTTGGGTGGTGATGCCATGATCATCAGTATAGATGAAACTCTCTATCCCTTCCGGTAGTGGCTCGTCATTTGTGTAAATGTTAAACATGGATGGAGCAAGCTGGTTTTCCCTGTATTAGGCAGTAAGACACCTAAAGTTTCAGAGATCTTCTGTTCAACCATCTCAAAGCTCTCTACTTAGGCGGTGATGGCACGATCGTCAGCATAGATGGAAACGCTCTGTCTCTTCTAGCAGTGGCTGGTCTATTGTGTAAATGCTAAATATTAATTGTGCAAGCTGGTTTTCCCTTTAATGGGCAGTAAGAGCAGCTGAAGCTTTGGAAATTTCTGTTCAACCATTTCAAAGCTCCCTGCTTGAGCGGTGATGGCACAATCATCAGCATAGATGAAACTTTATCCCAGTAGTGGCTGGTCATTTGTGTAAACGTTAAACATTGATGGAGCAAACACACTTCCCTGAGGCAGGCCATTCTTCTGTTTTCTCCATCTGCTTCTCTGACCCTTGAGCTTTTGTTCAACCATTTCAAAGCTTCCTGCTTGGGCGGTGATGCCATGATCGTCAGCATAGCTGAAAGTCTCTGTCCCTCCTGGCAGTGGCTGATCATTTGTGTAAATGTTAAACATTGAGGGAGCAAACACACTTCCCTGAGGCAGGCCATTCTTCTGTCTTCGCTGCCTGCTTCTCTGGCCCTGGAACTCAACAAAAAAGCTCCTGTTTTGTAGCAGTAGTCCAGGTGAAGTTCTGAAACATTTCCCATGGGCATAATTCACAGTGTGTCCTGGAATGAACCGAGCTCCAGCACGTTTGCATTGTTGTGCTTCCACTCCTTGGAGAAGAATTGAGGGAAGCCAAGGACTTCCAGGTATGAAGGCAAGGTTTCCCTGCCAGCCAGGTGCCTGTCGTGTTGGCTGCTCCCCATCACCCCCTGGCTTGAAACGAGCCTGTTCCTTCAGGCGGGTCTGGCTCTGGAGGCGCTGTGGAGCCCAGCCTTTGCTTGCGTTGTGTGTTGGTGGCGGCGATGTCCCCTGGAGAGCCTCCCTCCCCTCTCCTCCCCTCCGTCCCTTTCTGCTCTGCTCAGCCATTCAAAAGGCTGGCATTGACCACAGGGAGACAAAGAGCCTCTTTCAGCTTTTGTTAGCAGCCCCCCCTCCCTTTGCCGTTCTCTTCCCTGTTCCGATTCCCATTGTCAATTCTCTCACTCAGCAGCCGCCGCGGTGGCATTTGACTGAGTGGCCATTGCATTGCTGCGGAGGGCAGGTACCTGTCCCCTTCACCTCCCGGCCTGCTTCCAAATGGTCCATTTCGCTGCCCTTTGCATTGCCAGGGACAGGCGCGGATTTCATATTTTCCGACACTGTTGTGATGTGACAAGCAGAACCCGACTGTGCGAGGAAAACATCAGCAGGCAACTTGGGAGCATCATGGAATATGTAGCTGATTGGTGAAAACTCTGGACCTGTTTTGGAGGGGCTCACGTTTTTCCTGTTGGCCTTCTTCCATTTTGTGTCTTTCCTCGTTTGGTTTCTCTTTCTCCGAAAGGGCGCCTCCTTCGTTAAATGCCCCTTTCCCTGCGCATTGCATCAGTCCCGGTTTCTGTTTATGAGGCTGGGCGTCTCGGGCCTCTCCTCACACCGGTTGAGCAATCGCTTGTGACAAGCGGAAAGTCCTTCCTGTGTGCTAACCGAGAGGGGGGCAAAAAAGTATCGTGTGTCTGTATTTCAAAACACGGAGGACATGTGTTCAGTCATTGCCCACTTTTGCCAAGTGACAAGTCGTCACATGGTGGGCTCCTTGTTTTGAAGGCTGCGCTTGCCTCTCGGCTCAGGTTTCGGGTCTTTTCCGTCAGAAAGAGATCCGCCGACAATGGCCGAGGGTCGGATGTGAAACGCTCCGTGTTTATTGGTGGAGCCTGGGACGTATCCCTCCCGAACAAAGTAGAGTTTTGAAAGCGTATGGCTGATGACACGTCTCCGAGGAAATGTGTGTTAGGTGAGTTCCTGGCGCTAGTTCTGTCTCAGTGTACCTTTCCATTTCCCATCGTGGTCAACTGTGAATCGCACATATGGTAATAATTCCTGCCATTCTCTTCTGCTTTCTCTGCATTCTTTGGCATTGAAATAGAAGCAAAAGATGGGTGTCACGCTTGCTATTCACTTAGAGCTGGGTGGTGTTGCACACAATGTTGTCCTCCTCTTCTTCCCTTGGTGTTTGGACTTGGTGTCAGGCACAGCCTTTTACGTGCCAGGAATCCTTTTGGGCTACCCCAGACCTTTTAGCACAGAGGTCCTCAAACTTTTTAAACAGAGGGCCAGGTCACAGTCCCTCAAACCGTTGGAGGGCCAGATTATAATTTGAAAAAATACATGAATGAATTCCTATGCACGCTGCACATATCGCATTTGTAGTGCAAAAAACAAACAAAACAATACAGTAATTAAAATGAAGAACAATTTTAACAAATATAAATTTATTATTTCAATGGGAAGTGTGGGCCTGCTTTTGGCTGATGAGATAGGATTGTTGTTGTTGTTGTTGTTGTTGTTGTTGTTGTTGTTGTTGTGGGTTTCCAAGTCATTTCAGACTTAGGTTCATGGGTAAATGATCTTGGAGGGCCATATCTGGCCCCCGGGCCTTAGTTTACAGTAATTAAAATGAAGAACAATTTTAACAAATATAAATGCATTATTTCAATGGGAAGTGTGAGCCTGCTTTTGGCTGTTGAGATAGGATTGTTGTTGTTGTGTGTCTTCAAGTCATTTCAGACTTAGGTTCCCCTGTTTTAGCAGAACTGTCAGTTGGGCTCTTTGGGCATGGCCACGTTATGGGACACTTTTGATATTCCACGTTGATTGTTCTGTGGCAAACTTCACCTCAGGATCTGATCGACACTTTGGATTACTCGATTAAGGTGTCAAAGGGTGTGTTACTATTTATTGGTTATTGTTTATATGTGGTTTCTATTCATTGTAATGTATTTATTGTTTTGTTTATTGCTTTTGTTTATTGATGTACAGTTGGGCTTGTCCTCATGTAAGCCGCTCTGAGTCCCTTGGAGAGATGGTGGTGGGGTATAAATAAAGTATTATTATTATTATTATTATTATTATTATTATTATTATTTTATAAAGGGGACATTTGGGTCCCTTGCCAGATAAGCCTGGGTTGGTCACTTCCTGAGTCTCTCTCAAAGGGAAAACTGTTTTGTTGACTGTGGCACAAACATTCCTAGGCAGTGGGTCGCTGTGAGTTTTCCGGGCTGTATGGGCATGTTCCAGAAGCATTCTCTCCTGGTGTTTCGCCCACATCTGTGACAGGCAACCTCTGAGAATGCCTGCCATAGATGTGGCAGAAATGACAGGAGAGAATGCTTCTGGAACATGGCTGTACAGCCTGGAAAACTTGCAGCAACCCAGTTATTCCAGCCATGAAAGCCTTTGACAACACATTCCTGGGCAGCCGTGAAGTCCAATTGTCTCCTGTTGGTCTTGCCTGTAGTTTTCGTTCCTGCGGAGTCTGTCCTTTAATTCCCCCTTATCTGATTTCTGAGGTGTTAACTGAGAAAAGTGTGTTCTGGAGTTATATAGCTCCCAGCATAACTTGTGGATGTGCCAGTTGTTTTCAGGAAGTAAGTTCTCCTCCTCGAGCAAACATATGACAAACCAGCCTTCAGTTATTTTTCTTTAGCTATGTAAGCTCAAAGCGGGTTAGTTTCACTTTCGTTGTGCCTGTTTTTCCTGCAGTTTTGAATAGCTTTTCCTTTGGTGGTTTGACAGAATGTCAATAAAAATCTGGACACGAAAACTAGACTGTTGTTTAGTAGGGTGATGCATAATTCAGAATAAAATCGAAACTCGTATCCAGTTAATTGAATTTGTGCTGTTTCCGAGGCATGCTATTTTCGTGCATATGAAACTATTTCCGAGGTGGCGGGAGGGATTTAGAATTTGAATAACTCACCCTTTTTTTTGTAACTGTTCTGTAACATTCAGATGTTTCCCAAGGTCAGTCTAATTTTCACTATAACCCTTAACTTTGGTAAAACCAGGATAAGATAAAGTGCTTTTTAAATTTTCTCCTTTGCCGGTGCAACCATAAGGAAGGGAGCTGTGGGCGTGATTAATCACAGCCATCTTAATTGTAGTTTGGAAAGGTCAGGCCCCCACTGGTAGAGAATTGCAAAAGGCCCTGCCGTAAACTACATTTCCCAGAATGCAAAGCTGCTTAGGACTCAAATGAGGCTGAAGGACCCAAAGCTGCTTAGGACTCAAATGAGGCTGAAGGACCCAAGTGAGGGCTGGCCTCGCAGTCGCCATTTAGAGTTGATCTAAATAAAACAAATATCTGTAAAAAGCACGCAGGCAAGTAATGTGTTTGTGTGTCATAAAGACAGACAAAAAAATTCAAGGGGATTGCTGTTGTCGCTTTTGAGGGGGGGATATAAATTGGTCTAAAATCTTTCTGAAACTTCCAGGGATTGATGCCCTCGCTGTACATCTATATAAATAAAAATGTAATGTTCGTTTATAGGATTAGCATAACTCAAAAACCACTGGGCGAATTGACACCAAATTTAGACACCTCTCAGGCCAATGTATGTCCATTACCCCTAAAAACACACAAAAAAAAAAAAAAACCCCAGCAGAACAGACTTGAAACTTTGCCAGCAGACATCAGACAGGCACCTTCGTTGCTGGCGTTTTGGAGAATGGTCAAGACCTGGCTCTATGAGCAAGCGTTTGGCTAAGTAATGCAACTAACTAAGGAAGACGGTAACTGAATATAGGAACGGCACAATGACTATGAGAATGGATCTGACTTTAACGGAGGCGTTGTATATGTTGTTTGTGGGTTGTGTGTCTGATGTTAATTGTTGGTGGAGCGACTTTGTCGTTCCGGTTTTTTGTACTATTGTGTTTTAACTGCACTGTGAACCGCATTGAGTCGCCTGCTAAAGGCTGAAATATGCGGTATAAAAGTGAAGCAAATAATAATAATAATAATAATAACCGCCCAAAATAATCAATATATAAATATACAGATACACTCATATACATATACACATGCACACATAGATACATACACACACATATATACACAAACACACACAAATATACACATACATATACACATGCACACATAAACACATATACATATAGACTTATGTATATGTGCATGTGTATATGTAAATATGTGTGCATGTGTATATGTGTATGAGTGTATGTGTATGTGTATATATAGTTTATTTTTGTGGGTTTTAAGTCCGTTCTGCTGGGGGTTTTTTTGTGTGTTTTTATGGTTCCCACAAACAAAAATTACATTTTTATTTTTTATAGATATACACATACACACATATACATATAGACATACATACACGCATATATACACAAGCACACACATATACACAATATACATATACACATATAAACAAAAAATACACAAATATATACACACGTATACACACATGCACAAACACATATATACGCATCTATGTATATTTATATTTATATCTATATATATGCAAACACACATATATACACAAATATTTACACACACATAAGCACATACATACACACACAAAACGTATACACAGACTGGGCCACAGCAACGTGTGGCAGGGGACGGCTAGTTATATATAAAATTCAAGCAGATAGCCCTTGTAGTTTTACATACATACATACATATATTTCTTTAAAGCACAGTGGCAAGGTTGGTCAGAAGTGAACTCTCATTCCCAGAACTGCTTTTAAGAGGACTGTTAAGACAGGGGAAGAATTAATAGGAAGTGGAGGAAATGGGTGCACTCTCTTCTTTGGTCACCTTCTCCGCTGTGTTGGCAAAAGTTTGTGGCTGGTCTTCCATCAAAGCTTGAGCTGTTTGCTGGTTGGTTGACAGTGACAGTGTTGACAGGGAAATGTTGTTGTTTTCCATTGCTTGGCCATTCTTGCCTCGGCTCCTTAGCTTGGCCTCGTCTTTGTCCCATCTCCTCTTTGGGTTCCTTTTTCCATGTGATCCCTTTGGGATGTGGAGCTGGGGCTTTTACCGGGGGGGGGGGGCAGCCTTTTTGGTGGCAAACCCACTCTGTGTGTGGGCCTCGTTGTTGCTTTCCCACCTTTTCCTTAACTGGCTGCTTTGCAGAATCCCCCGGGGACCCGTGCCGCAGCCCTTGGAGGACCGGATCTTCACGCCAACTGTCTCCACTGTGTATAGCACGGTAAGTACAGTATCCATGGGTGATTTTCCGCCTCTTCTGCTGATTTCCGGGCCCTTCTGATGCCTTCTGGTAGCCCCTCAGTTCTTGCTTCTAAGGTTCAGTAGCCTCAGGCGGTGACTTTGGGGCATCTTTTGACAAGCCCAGTGTTTCTCAACCTGGGGGTCAAGACCTTTGGGGGGGGGTCATGAGGGAGTTTCAGGGGGGTCGTCAAAGACCAACCAAAGATCTCCCCTCTTGTTTATTGTATCCACTTCCCTCAAACTAGGATTCCAAGGTATAATATAGAGCAGTGTATCTCAACGTGGGGGTCGCAGCCACTGGGGAGGTCGTGAGGGGGTTCAGAGGGTTCGCAAAAAACATCAGAAAACATATATTTCTGATGGTCTGAGGAAACCCTTTGGCAGAGAAGGCCGAAGATCTCTCTGCCTGTCCTCCTCTTCCTTTCTGGAAACAGATGGTGAATCCTCCTACCAAAAGCCCTCCTCCACTGTGATTGGTCGGCCTCTCAGCCAAGGGGAGGGCCGTTTCTGAGACTCAAAGCGGGGAGGGGAGAGCAGGCATGCTCGGCGCATGTCTGGTCGAGGGAGAGCGTGCGAGGCTGGAGGGAGGCTCTTGCCAGCGAGCCCCTTCAAGGCATCGGGATTCTGTGTGGAAAGTTTGGCCCAATTCTATCATTGGTGGGTTTCAGAATGTTTGATTGTAGGTGAACTATAAATCCCAGCAACTACAACTCCCAATTGTCAAGGTCTATTTCCCCCAAATTCCACCAGTGTTCACATTTGGGCTTATTGAGTATCCATGCCAAGCTTGGTCCAGATCCATCATCATTTGAGTCCACAGTGCTCTCTGGATGTAGGTGAACTAAAACTCCAAAACTCAAGGGCAATGCCCACCAAATCCTTCCAGTATTTTCTGTTGGTCGTGGGAGTTCTGTGTGGTACGATTGGTTCAGTTCCATCGTTGGTGGAATTGCTCTTTGCTCGTAGGTGAACTATAAATCCAAGCAACTACAACTCCCAAATGACAAACCCAATCCCCCCAACCCCATTAGGAAGATAGAGGAAAACTGGGCTAGACTGTATAGCCATTTCACTAGTTGCTGTGAGGGTTAGCCATGGTTGCATCCTCAATGGACATCCTCCCAGGGGTCCAACAGCCGAGAGGTGTCTTGTGTTAGGGGATATTCCCGTCACAAAGTGCGTCCTCCAGGAAAGTGATGACAGAGGCTGAGCCACTCCCTCACTGGGCCAATATGCTCAGGATGTGGGTCAGCAGGCCAATCCTGTTTGCGCTGGGGATGTGAGGCGGCAAAACAAATCCTGGGCAGAAGAGCTAAGGTTGCCACCAGGAGGGTTTCCTCCCAGTTGGCTCATTGCTTGGTTCAGATTCCTAGGTACTACTGGTATATTCTAGCCCAGTGTTTTGCTTTCCAGCCAGGTTTGTTTGTCCCCAATTGCCCCCTTGGCTATGAACAAAATGCTCAGAATGATGTGGATTATATGGCACTGGCTTTTTAAGTCTTGAATTCATCCTTTGTTGGGTGAACTTGACCTGTGTTTTGGAGCAGTGTGATGTGTCATGCCAGGAACCACAACACCGTCTGTGCCCGGCTATTGTTATTGTGATGTCCTTGGTGCTCACAGGCCCCCACTTGCGCAGTGCTGACCTTAATAGGTTTATCATAGATCATGAGCCTGATCCCTGGGAATCCATGTTTAAATAATGTTCCCACTATTTGGGATTCTGCTGCTTCAAGGCAGATTAAAACCACTGCCTGTTAAAAGCAAGAGTGGAAAGCTGTTGTTGCGTTAACAATGTGGGAAACAGCAGACTGACACAGTTCTCACTGGTTTTATGGAGTCTTGTGGAATGCCTGCATTGTAGGATGAGAGTCACAACCATAAAGATTCTGTAAGCAACACTTGAGATGTACATATTCCCACCTTTGGGTTAGGATTTGGTTGTTCTGGCAAATGAGAGTTTTTGTCCAGGCTTCCAAATATAAAATAATTCATCTGAGGATGCCTGCAGTAGATGTGGGCGAAACGTCAGGAAAGAGCCTCTCTCCAGCCTCACACGCTCTCCCTCACCCTGTACATGCTCCTGGAACATGTCCATACACACAGCAACCCATAAAATAAGTCATCTGAGGATTCCTGCCATAGATGTGGGCGAAACGTCAGGAGAGAGCCTCTCTCCAGCCTCATATGCTCTCTCTCACCCCACACATGCTCCTAGAACATGGTCATACACACAGCAACCCATAAAATAAGTCATCTGAGGAGTCCAGGCTTCCAAATATAAAATAATTCATGTGAGGATGCCTACCGTAGATGTGGGCAAAACGTCAGGAGAGAGCCTCTCTCCAGCCTCACACACTCTCTCTCACCCCACACATGCTCCTGGAACATGGCCATACACACAACAACCATAAAACAAGTCATCTGAGGTTGCCTGCCATAGATGTGGGCAAAACACCAGGAGAGAGCCTCTCTCCAGCCTCACACGCTCTCCCTCACCCGCATATGCTTCTGGAACATGGCCATACACACAACAACCGTAAAACAAGTCATCTGAGGTTGCCTGCTGTAGATGTGGGTGAAAAGTCGGGAGAGAGTCTCTCTCCAGCCTCACACGCTTTCCCTCGCCCGCACGTGCTCCTGGAACATGGCCATACACACAGCAACCCATAAAATAATTCATCTGAGGATGCCTACCGTAGATGTGGGCGAAATGTCAAGAGTCGGCCTCTCCTCAGCCTCACACGCTCTCCCTCAACACGCATATGCTCCTGGAACATGGCCATACACACCACAACCATAAAACAAGTCATCAGAGGTTGTCTGCCATAGATGTGGGCAAAACTTCAGGAGAGAGCCTCTCTCCAGCCTCACACGCTCTCCCTCGCCCTGCACATGTTCCTGGAACATGGCCATACACACAGCAACCCATAAAATAATTCATCTGAGGATGCCTGCCGTAGATGTGGGTGAAACGTCAGGAGAGAGCCTCTCTCCAGTCTCACATGCTCTCCCTCGCCCTGCACACGCTCCTAGAACATGGCCATACACACAGCAACCCATTAAATAATTCATCTGAGGATGCCTGCCGTAGATGTGAGTGAAACAACAGGATACAGCCTCTCTCCAGCCTCACACGCTCTCCCTTGACACGCATATGCGTGTCCTGGAACATGGCCATACACACAGCAACCCGTAAAATAAGTCTTTGGAAGAGGGATAGACCTCTAAGGAAAAAGAAACAACCACTTCAATGTCACACCAGCCACAAACTTTTGCCCTGCTACGTCTGTTTAAATCATTGTTGTGGTATTGAAGCCTATCAGCCATAAAATATTGCCCTGCCCTTTTCTTTGAATCTTTGCTTCCTCAGGCAAATGTGCAAACACCAGCATTACTGCAGGAAGCCTTTTGTGAAAGGCCCCGTGCCTTCTGCTTGCACAGAGTCACATGCACTCTCCTCATTGCTAGGAGACGGAAGTAATTTGAGCCAGGACAGGGCATGACCTCCGGCTTCCTGCCTAGAACCTGGCCTCCTGTGCAAAAGGATCCGGTGGTGTGCGAAACCATCTATCAGGCATCGCTTTGTCCCTGCAAAGAGTGGATAATTTCTGATCAAAGAGAGACGGGCTGCCTGGAGCACACTGGCTGCGGATGCCTCTCTTCAAAGGGAATCATGGCTCCCAGAGCAACCAACTTCATTGTCATTTTTTGGGATGTGGGGGGCAAGCGGGGATTTGAGGGTGTCTTTGCCACTTCTACCTGAACAGGTTTAGGGGCTTTTGCTCATTTGCCACAACAAGAAGCTGGAGAGTGCTTAACGAAGCTGAAGGTTGTCTCCCCCATGAAAACGACGCTTGCCTTTTGCAGGTCAACATGGCCCATATTACACATTGCTATTCTCTGCCTCTGGGGAAAAAACAGAAATGTGAAGATATGATCTGAAAAGCAGGCATCCTCTTAGGGCCCATCGAGGAGACATCTTTGGATGCGGTGGTCCACCTCCATCGTTTCTCAAGCCTCATCTGCCTCTCTCAAACTCCTGCTGTGCTGTCAGACTTTTGTTTTGCCTATCAAAAAGCTAGCAGAGAGAGCTCCAGCTCCCCATGCGGGAACATGAGAGAAGCCCTCCCACAAAGATGGTAAAACATCAAACATCTGAGCATCTCCTGTGCAGCATCCTTGCAGACAGCCAATCCTCTCACACCAGAAGCAACTTGCACTTTTTCAAGTTGCTCCAAACACACACACACACACAAAATCTGCCTTTTCTGGGATTTGTTTTTCACCTCAGATGGATGTGACATAGACTCATAGAATAATATAGTTGGAAGAGACCACATGGGCCATCTAGTCCAACCCCATTCTGCCATGCAGGACAGGTCAAGTCCAGGCCGCAAGTCACCTGGCCCTTCTACAGAGCGTGCCCTGCCCTACTGCATTTGTGTGTGTTGTGGTAACTGCACAGTGGCAGGTAGAAAGGCGCTCCAAAGAGGTCACCACTTCTGCACAAAGAATCATGGGTTGCCTTCTTTCTTCATTCTTTGGAAGCACTTTACAAGTCCTGCAGCCTCAAGAAAGCTCCGAGCTTTGAACTCCGTGGCTTGATGTGGCATTTGGGGGCTGTGTGGTGGTAGTGCTGGGAGTGTTGTTTTAGTGATGTGTGCTGGGGAAAGCATTCAGTTTCGTTGTACGAAGTTATTATATTCTATTCACTAACCATATAATCCTAAACCATACCATATGGCAGTGTGTCTTCAAGTCACCTCTCGCCTTACGATGACCCCTTCGTTAGAGCAGGCATGGCCCAACTTTGGCCCTCCCTCCAGGTGGGATGTGAGAATTGGTTTCTGTATCAGGCAGAGAAAACACCTTAACCCGGAACCCTTTCCAGAGGGAGGGTGGGAGGTCAGAGTTTAATAAGATGCACAGTGTTTGCGTTTAGCAGGCATCCATTTTGGAAGATAACAAAAGACTGGGCACCGGTCAGAGTTGGCCCAGTTTGGCTTTTCCAGAACTGCAGATCTGCGGATTCAGCCAACGGCTCGGTCCTAGCAGGGGAATGCCTGTTTTTCCTGGCAACGGATGTGGCGTTCAGTAATAAAACAGGCCTTTGGAAGCCCTTCCCCACAGCACTCTGTCTTTCTTGGCTGCAGACTAGATCTGGGGCGGAGGAGGGAGGAAGCCTGGTTATTGGGGGGGGGGGGGAGAAAACATAGAACGAAGGAGAGGCTTAGCCTCTAAAGATGTGGAACATGACATTCAAGGCACTCCTTTGACTCCACTGGAGCATCAGGCCTTATATGCATTTAATTTCCATTGTGTTCTGACTGGAATTGGGGGGAGCACCTATATTGGATAAATATGAGGATTTAAATCAGCGTTTCTCAACCTGGGGGGTCACAAGGGGGGTTTCAGAGGGGTCGCCAAAGACCACCAGAAAACACATGTTTCAATAATGAGTGTTCCAGCTCATTCTGCCCATTTTGGTCCCTATAAATCCCTTTGTTTGGCTTTGTTGTGGAGCTCTGCATGAACTCTCCTCCTTGGTTTGGCTAACGCTCTCCTTCCTTGCAGGTGGCCCAAGTTGCCCGTCAGCCCGGCCCTCCCGCCCCCTCCCCTTACTCCGCACATGAGATAAGCAAAGGGCACCCCTCCCTTGCCGCAACGCCACCCGGGCATGCCTCTTCTCCCGGCCTCACGCAGGTAAGGAAGAAGGCCTTTGCGCCGAGAGAGCACATGCGGGTTTAACAAGCGTACTGTACGCATGTAGGAATCAGTAAGGCATTTTCCACAGCTGAGGACTGTATGGTGTGATTAAAGCATGGGTCCCCACTCTTCCACTGAGAAGAAATGAAGTTGGGAAGTGAGTGAGAGTGGGAAGGGAGCGGGGGACTTGCCTTGCAGAAGGAAGGGTTGAATCGCTTCCCTTGGAAATACAGTAGAGTCTCGCTTATCCGACAGAAACGGGCCAGCAGAACGGCAGATAAGCGAGACTCTACTGCATTATCCATCCACCAACCCATTCTATTTATCCATCCATCCATTATCTACCTATCCATCCAATCCATCCACCAACCCATTCAATCTATCTATCCATCTATCCATTCAATCCATCCATTCATCCATCATCTACCTATCCATACATTCAATCTATCCATCCATCCACCAACTCATTCTATCCATCATCTATCTATCCATACATTCAATCTATCCGTCCATCCATCCATCCATCACCTATCCATACATTCAATTTATCTATCCATCCATCCATCCATCCATCAACCCATTCTATCCATCCATCATCTACCTATCCATACATTTAATCCATCCATCCACCCATTCAATCCATCCATCCACCCATCCATCTATCCATCCACCAACCTATTCTATCTATCCATTCTATCTGTCTATCTATCCATCCATTATCTACATACCTATCCATCTGTTCAATCTATCGATTTGTCCATCCATCCACCAACCCATTATATCCATCCATTCAATCTATTCATCCATCCATTCATCTATCCATGCACCCACCAACCCATTCTATCTATCCATTCATCCATTATATATCTATGTATCCATCCATCCATTCTATCTATCTATCTATCTATCTATCTATCTATCTATCTATCTATCATCTATCTATCTATCTATCTATCTATCTATCTATCCACCAATCCATTCTATCTATCCACCAATCCATTCTATCTATCCATTCATCCATCATTCAGTCTATTCATCCATCCATCTATCCATGCACCCACCAACCTATCCATCCACCTATCCATCCATTCAATCTATTTATCGATCTATCTCTCCATCTACCAACCCATTGTATCTCTCCATCCATCTATCCATTCAGTCTGCCCATTCATCATCTATCTTTCCATCCATTCAGTCTACAGTAGAGTCTCACTTATCCGACATAAATGGGCTGGCAGAACGTCAGGAAAAATGAAAATGTCGGATAATGGGGAGTCTCCTACTGATACCCATCCGACGCATCGTTAGACGCCTAGAGTACTATCAACAGAGTACGACTAGAGTACGCCTAGAGTACTATCAACAGAGACTCAAAGAGAGAAGGCAAGGCAAGGCTTTGGGGCTAGAGTGGCCCAGCAGGAAGTGCCCGGATGATGCGGAAGAGGAGTGTGGAAACCACCGAGGGAAGGAGGGAGGGTGCTTCCACTTCCCATCCTGCCTCTTTTCCCCCTTTCCTCCCTCCCCATCTTTCCCTTTTCACTTATTGGGAATGGAGAGAGTGTTGAGGAAATGCATTCCTTTCATTGAAGGGGAAATGCTGGAGGAAAAGGGGAAGGTCGGATAAGGCGGAAGGTCGGATAAGGGAAGGTCGGATAAGCAGGACTCTCCTGTACAGCAAAGGAGGTACAGCCTTCCAGGGAGACTGGCAAGAGTGGTTTTGATCCCATGAGAAGAGAGTGGCCGATTGTCCAGGCCCCAAAGCTGCATTTCAAGCCCACCTTCCATTGCTTTTGTTTCAAGAGCCTGAAGCAGGAGGATGTTGGGCTGCACTTTGGGTCGTGATCATGAAAGGAACTGGGAAGGAAGGGCACAAGGAGGCAGTCAGGAGCCTTTTTCCACCTCCGGCTCTGCGTCAGAGTTGCTTGAGCTGCCACACCTTCTCTGGTGGTCTTGATGGGATTACATGGAAGGAGACATAGCATGCTTCAACCCCAGCCATGCTTGTATGCACTGTCAGGGTGGTCGCATACATGGTTAGTGTAGGAACTGCCATGGCAGCCGGTTGTGCTTGTGAATGCTTCCTTTCTGTTTCCCTGGTCCTCTTTCTAACCTTTGCAAGTGTCACCACTTGAGTGGCACCCCCAAGTTGTTAAGTTACGAAGATCCCGCAGGAATGCCCATTCGGCCCTCTTAAGTTCCAGGAGGCAGGCTGCGTGTCCCCCACAAGAAGGGTCCTCCTTCGCCTGCCTCGAATGCTCAAGCGAGCCACAGCCTTCCCTTGCCCCCCTCTACCTTTTCCAGCTTTGCCAAAGGAGGATAGGAAGCGCCCGCTTTGAGCGTCCCCCCGTCTCTCTTTCCGTCACTCTCTGTCTCTCTCTCTCTCCTTTCCTTCTTTCCTTCCTTTCCGCCTTCCTCTCTTACTCTGTCGCTCTCTCTCACTCTTCTCTCGCTCCAGCAGCCAGGAGGGAGGAGGGACAGAAGCTTCCCGCCCCACCCAAGAGCCAGCAGTCTTTTTGAAGATCCAAGGGAACTGGTGCAAAGGATTCTGGGATGTGGGATGGTGAGTCGCAAGAGGACCGAGGTGGAGCCGTGCCCCGCTCAAAGGGACGAAGGAAAAGAGTCCGGCGCCCGCAAGGGAGGAGGCCCCGACGGGAGGGTGGGCTCCCAAGGGCTGCGTGCAGAGTGCCTCGAGGTGCCGTGTTTGGCAGAGAAGGCACCTTCGGCTCTGGCGGTGACACTGGGTGGTTGCTTTGTCCTTGAAAAACAGCAGCCTTGTCAGTCTTTGTGGCTGCTCAGAGGAGCAGAGTCTGTGGAGCAAGGTTTCCGGTGTGGTGTGTTGTCTTTAGAGCATTATTTCTCAACCTGGGGGTATGGACTCTGAGCGGGACTTCAGAGGGGTCACCAAAGACCATCAGAAAACACGTATTTCTAATGGTCTTGGGAAGCCCTTTGGCAGAAAAAGCTGCCTATCTTTCTTTTCCTTTTTGGAAACAGAGGGCAAATCCTCTCACCAAAAGCCCTCCACCTGCTGTGATTGGCCAGCCTCTCAGCCAAGGGGAGGGCTGTTTGTGAGACTCCAAGAGGGGAGGGGAGAGCAGGCATGCTTGGTGCATGTGCGAGCGAGGGAGAACATGCGAGGCAGGAAGGAGGCTCGCACTAGAGAGTTGAAGATCTCTCCGCCTGTCCTCTTACTTATTGGAAACAGAGGGTGAATCCTCCCACCAAAAGCCCTCCACCTGCTGTAATTGGCCAGCCTCTCAGCCAAGGGGAGGGCTGTTTGTGAGACTCCAAGCAGGGAGGGGAGAGCATGCGAGGCAGGAGGGAGTCTCGCACCAGAGAGCTGAAGATCTCTCCGCCTGTCCTTCTCTTCCTTATTGGAAACAGAGGGCGAATCCTCTCACCAAAAGCCCTCCTCCTGCTGTGATTGGCCGGCCTCTCAGCCAAGCGGAGGGTTGTTTCTGAGACTCCAAGTGGGGGGGGGGGGAGAGCAGGTGTGCTCAGTGCATGGCAGCGTGGTGCACATCTGTGAGCGAGGGAGAGCATGCGAGGCTGGAGAGAGGCTCCCCTCCAATCATTGGTGGAGTTAAGAATGCTCTCTGAGTATAGGTGAACTATAAATACCAGCAACTACAACTCCCAAATGTCAAGGTGTATTTTCCCCAAATGCCACATTTGGCCTTATTGAGTATCCATGCCAAGTGCGTATTGAGTATTTATGCCAAGTTTGGTCCAGTTCTATCATTGGTTGAGTTCACAAGGCTCTCTGGATGTAGGCAAACTACAACTCCAAACTCAAGGTCAAGACCCACCAAACCCTTCCAGTATTTTCTGTTGGTCACTGGAGTTTTGTGTGCCCAGTTTGTTTCCATTCCATTGTTGGTGGTGTTCAGAATGCTCCTTGATTGTAGATGAACTATAAATCCCAGCAACTACAACTCCCAAATGAGAAAAACCACCCCCCCCCCCAAACCCCACCAGTATTCAAATTGGGATGTATCAGGTATTTGTACTAAATTTATTCCAGTAAAGGAAAATACTGCGATGGTTGGGTGTCGTCACCACAGGAGGAATTTGATTCATTAGGAAAGTTGAGAAACACATTTGGGTTGCTCTTGTGATTTGAGATTGTGATTTGAGATTAGTGGCAGTCTCGCTTCCCCCTACATGTGTTGTTGTCAACGTTGAGATGCATTTGTGAATGTTCTTCCCTGTGATTGGGCTGAGGCATTTGGGAACCGGTCGACCTGAGGCCATCCCGTGCCGTTTCCCAGGCGTGTTTTTCAAGGTGGTTCCTTGGCACACAGCGCAGCGCTGGCACCGGTGCCAAGGCAGAGCTTTCCGTGCTGTGTTTATTTGGGAGGCGTGACTCAGCACACCCTGCCCTGCGTGACCCCCCCCCCCCTCGGCCTGTTTATTGGGTTTATACGGGTTTGGAAACGCAGGTGCAGATCCTCCTTGGGGAGGGGAGATTTCCAAACGGCAGGAGTCCTTCCTGGAGCTTCTGCCCTGCATGCCAGGGATGCCACAGGCTGCCAAAGGCATGCCTCACTGGGTGGAAGAGATACTCTGCTCTGATTCTTCTCAGCCACGGTTTCCCAAGTTCCCTGGCCTCATGGGCTTCTCTTGTCCTCCCTTGACGCCGTTTGGGATGATGTTTTTGGGGAGAAGGAGGTGTTTGGTTGCTGTCTGAGTGGACCAGGAGAAGCTTTCGCAAAGCCACGAGGCTGCCCTTCAAGTTGGTATTGCCAGCCAGCATTCGTTGCTCTGTGCTCCAGAGAAGTGTCCAAGGGCAAATGGTTCCAGTCGGCCTCTTGAGTTGCGGAGGAAGAAGTTGTTGTGTTGTTGTGACCGAGAGACCACGCCGGGAGAAGGGCAGAGGGTGTGTGCCGGGCAAAGGTACAAGTCACTGATTTTTGGAGTTTGCACTGCTCCTTCTGGCCCAGGATAGCTGAAAGGGGGGCAGTTCCATCCTGTCCTTGCTTCTCAGGCATTCCTTCTTCTAGTACCCTCATTGAGCTGAGTTGGGGGAGCGGGTGGGAGGAGCCCGGTGTCCCGCTGTTTGCTGCTGTGCTAACCGCCGTGCCTCTCTCTTTTCCCGGCAGGCCCCTTACCCTTCTGGACAGAATGCCGCGCCGACCGCGCTGGTCTACCCACAACCCCCGCAGACCATGAGCACGCAGCCCCAGGCACGCTCCCCGGTAAGAGAAGAGCAGCAGCCGCAGGAGGAGCCCTTCTTCTTGCTTAGCTGGAGCTTGGTGTGGCTCATTTATTTATTTATTTGCAACATTTATACGCCGCCCTTCTCACCCTGAAGGGGACTCAGAGCGGCTTACAAGATATATTGTACTATACAATTATATTGTAATATTATTAGTAATATTACATTTAATATAAACTGTATATAACATTTAATATAAAATATATAATTATAATATAATATTGGTATTAGTATTATACTGTATTACATTATAATGTTATACATATTATATGTATATACAATATATATTAGCATAGCACAGGAGACAAGGTGGAACTGTCCCCTGGCCTCCCCTGTCTTCACTCTGGCTTAGAGCGGAGGTTGGCACTGAGGGAGGGGTCTCCAACTGATGACATATGCAGGAGACAAGATGGAACTGTCCCTTGGCCTCCCCTGTCTTCACTCTGGCTCAGAGCAGAGGTTGGCGCTGAGGAAGGGGTCTCCAACTGATGACATATGCAGGAGACAAGATGGAACTGTCCCCTTGGCCTCCCCTGTCTTCACTCTGGCTCAGAGCAGAGGTTGGCGCTAAGGAAGGGGTCACCAACAGATGACATATGCAGGGGACAAGATGGAACTGTCCCCTGGCCTCCCCTGTCTTCACTCTGGCTCAGAGCAGAGGTTGGCGCTGAGGAAGGGGTCTCCAACAGATGACATATGCAGGGGACAAGATGGAACTGTCCCCTGGCCTCCCCTATCTTCACTCTGGCTCAGAGCAGAGGTTGGCGCTGAGGAAGGGGTCTCCAACTGATGACATATGCAGGGGACAAGATGGAACTGTCCCCTGGCRTCCCCTGTCTTCACTCTGGCTCAGAGCGTAGGTTGGCGCTGAGGGAGGGGTCTCCAACTGATGACACCTTCCTCCTACATGTCCTTTGCCAAGCCTTTGCGTTTGGCGCTCTGAAATGGGAAGGAAGGGGCTGGCGGGAGGGAGAGAGGTGCTCTCCGTCCATCTGGAAGACGCCAGTTGCCACGTGAGGAGTGCCACCATGTGCCTTCTTTTCAAGACCAAGGCTTTACAGACCCTTTGGCTTGTGGGCTTCTCATTTGCTGCTGAATCAGCTCTGAACCTCATTCTTCATGGGATGACAGCTTAGAGATAGGATGGTTTCTTCCCATCAGGAAGACACTTGAGTGCATAAGGAGGGTCGCTCGTTCCCCACCCCTTTGGAAGGATTGGAAAGGAAGCCATCCCTTATTTATTGTTGATTAATTTACAGTGTTTATAGTCCTCCTTTCTCACACTCGGGGTGAATCACAGCGCACACATACACGGCAAATATTCAGTGCCGTTCTTAGACATACAAGACAGACAGAAAGAGGTATTTCAGCATTTTTTTGGCGCCTGGAGGTTATGATTGATTTCAGCCACAGGGAGGTGCTGTTTCCTCCTTTTTCTTTGATTGCCGGCAATTTTATGGTGTCGTAAAATACCTCCCCGCTTTAAGCAGGGCCTAAATTCTTTACTCACAGCTCAGCTGTTCTCGAACTGCTTAGGTGGACAGTAAGCTAGTCTTGACAGTCAGGCTTCAAACTTGCCACCTTCTGGGACGGTATTGCTGCTGGTGATTAACCAGGTGTGCTACAGCCCGGCCCTTATTGAGTCAGTCCAACTCAGGCTTCGAACTTGCCACCTTCCGGGACGGTATTGATCTATTGCTGCTGGTGATTAACCAGCTGTGCTACAGCCCATCCCTTACTGGTCAATCCAACTCAGGCTTCAAATTTGCCACCTTCCGGTGGGCAGTGATCTATTGTTGCTGGCGATTAACCAGTTGTGCTACAGCCCGGCCCTTCCTGGTCACTCAGACTCAGGCTTCGAACTTGCCACCTTCTGGTAGGCAGTGATCTTTTGCTGCTGGCGGTTAACCATTTGTACTACAGCCCGGCCCTTACTGGTCAATCCGACTCAGGCTTCGAACTTGCCACCTTCTAGTGGGCAGTGATCTATTGTTCCTGGCGATTAACCAGCTGTGCTACAGCCCGGCCCTTACTAGTCAATCTGACTCAGGATTCGAACTTGCCACCTTCCGGTGGGCAGTGATCTATTGCTCCTGACGATTAATTCGCTGTGCTACAGCCCGCCCCCAGCTTGCTCTTCCCAGGTGAATGAATGGGAGTTTGCCATCTCTTCCGAGATGAAGCTGGAGGTGGAGGGAGCTTACGGAAGTGCTTCCCAGCAAACTTTGGTGCTGCTGAGGGAGATGGGTATGAGTGTTGATAAGGGTTGGAAAGGATCGCAAAGGATTGGTGGATCTTCCTTGTTCCTTGGCTATTCCTGTTTGCTTCTTCCATTTTGTGAGCACATTTCTCCTAAACATGGACCCCCACAGACACTGGAGAGAGGATAAGGAGCAGGCCAGTCCATCAGTACAGATACAGCCCATGCATGTGCCACAGATTGAAGGGTTTTAGGCCTTTCCCGGGTGTTTTTGGCGGCTTCCTGGACACGGAAGGACCACTGAAGTCCCCCTGCCAGACCTTTGGGTCCCTGTCTGTCCCTGTCCTGCAGCAAAGCTTTGACTGTGTAGCATCCTTGGTTTTTCCATTTCTTTCTTTCTATTATTACTATTACTATGATTATCATCATCATCCCTTTGTGGATTTATTTTGCATACAGTGTGATGTGTTTTTGGCCTTCTGTTGTGGTGGTGTTTTCTGACTCTCTGTGCCTTTCCTTTTTGTGTTTTTGTTCCTCCCGCTTCTCCTCATCAGTTTGCTGCGGGGCCTCGACCTGCCCATCACCAGGTACGGTACCCCCCCTCCTCCTCCTGCCTCCTCTGCTAATTACTTGTGGGGGAGGGGGCTTCACGCATCCATAATCTCTGCTAGGAAGACTCTCAGGCCCATGAGGCAGCTCGTATCTCGCTCCTTGGGATCACTGGTGCTCTTCTTCGCTGGTTAATGCCCCACCAACGGCACTCCCAAGCCTGAGGCTGCCACCGTTTCTGTTAGACACGAAAGCGCTGGCGTTCCCTTGAGCTTTTGGTGCCTGCTTCTCTCCTTCCTCCCACGCTTTCAAGACCTGACCATAGGAAGCTACTTTACCTGAACTCCCAGAGGCTTGATGTTATTCCAGGGATACAATGAAATACCTGAAATGTCTCATCCACTTTCAACGCACTGCTCATTGAGTGCAAATATCCTGGAAATCTTGGTTGCCTGGAGTGTTTGGAAGAAGTTTGAGGCTAGCCTTAAAGAGGAGGGTAGTGTGAGCACCCTTTTTTCTCTAGCTGTGAATCATTAGGCAGCATAGATGACAGGGTTGTACTGGGCCCATAACCCTGGTTGGGTGAGTGGGCTTATCAACAAAACACCCTCATCATTAGTGAACAGCAGAGTAACTTATTAACAGCAGCGTGACCCAGCACCAGTAGCCCAAAGTGATAATAATAAGAAAAACGCAGAGACCAATGTTACTATCTCTTGCATAGGGGGCTTTTCTTTGTAGTAAAATAATATGGCTGCACAATTTACAACAAGGTTTCCATAACACAAATAAAGAAATACATAGTAGCTTTACACATAGCGGCCTTCACACTGGAGCTTTCTCACACAACGCTTCTCTCACACTGAAGCTTTCTCACACGAGACTTCTCTCACATTGGGGCTTTCTCACACAAGGCTTCTCTCACATTGGAGCTTTCTCAAACGAGGCTTCTCTCACACTGGAGCTTTCTCACACGAGGCTTCTCTCACTGGAGCTTTCTCACACGAGGCTTCTCTCACACTGGAGCTTTCTCACACGAGGCTTCTTTCACTGGAGCTTTCTCACATGAGGCTTCTCTCACTGGAGCTTTCTCACACGAGGCTTCTCTCACACTGGAGCTTTCTCTCACAAGGCTTCTCACTGGAGCTTTCTCACATGAGGCTTCTCTCACATTGGATCTTTCTCACACAAGGCTTCTCTCACACTGGAGCTTTCTCACACGAGGCTTCTTTTGCACTGGAGCTTTCTCACACAAGGCTTCTCTCACACAAGGCTTCACACAGAGGTTTACCTCACACTCCTCAGGTCAACACTAGCTTTGGCCCGCTGACTAATGGACTTCGGCCTACTCACTCTCCTCAGGGCAACACTAGCTATGGCCTGCTGACTCTTAACAGGCTTTGGCCTACTAATTCTTTCAGTGCTTGACTCACATTTTTGTAATTAAAAATACCTAGTTCATTTTTAATATTTCTGACAAGGGTTGCTGTGAGTTTTCTGGGCTGTTCCATAAGCATGCTCTCCTGACGTCAGGTGAGAATGCTTCTGGAACATGGCCATACAGCCCGGAAAACTCACAGCAACCCAGTGATTCCGGCCATGAAAGCTTTTGACAACACATTGAACCTAGAAGACAGTCTTCTAGTCCTCTCTTGCCCTTTGCGTCGCAAATGATGCTGACTGAAAGGTACTACTCACCTGGCCCTGTTTTCCGAAATGACAGCTGCCTTTTACGTTGTCTATAATCTGCTCCTCATGCTTTAACTGGGCCTGTTTCCGCCTGGGTCCTAGTGCCATTGCCTGGCAGGGCAGCACAGAGTAATGATAACAAACAAGTATGCAGTTGCTCAATATTTATAGATAGCTGTGGAAGGTTTGTGTTGTTAAGACACACAACATTGAAATTACGGCCTGGGCCCAGCAACACTGGACTTTGGTCCGATTGTTGTGCTACATGTCAGAAAAGGCAGAGTGCGTGGAGGTCCTAAGGAATCAGGAGGCACCCCTTCCTGGCAAGGGAGAGAGAGGCCGCAGGGCCTGGGCTGCATGCCGGACCCCCTTCCTCTTCCCCTTCCTCGACCCCTTCCTTTCCTGTTGTTGACCTGCCAGCTCTTCCATCGGCTTTCTTTCTATTTCCTGCTGCTTTCTTGCTTCGTTGTTGAAGGGAGGATTCAGACCCATCCAGGTAACTTTATCACTACTGGTTGTGCATGGCCTGGCTGTCTCTTGACCATGGGGCCTGGAAGGCCCTTTCAGCGCCCGCCCCAGATCTGAGGGTGAAGGAAGGCCTTGGGCTGGGGGTAGAAATAGTTGGAAGCCAAAGTAGGAGGAAAGGTGGGATTGCTCGGAGTTCAGAGGGAAGGTAAGCGCAGCGGATGGTGAATGCAACCCTTTCGTAGAAGCCTTTGAGAATAAGGACTCTGGCTCCTTGTTGCTTGTGGGGAACGAACAGGAAAGCTTTGCTTCAGGAGGGGGTCCCCCTCAGCTTTGTTTGGCCCCGTGAGGAAAGGGATGGTTTAAAAGACGGGGCTCCTGCTCCTCGCTTCCTTCCTTCCTTCCTCCCCACAGTTTTTCCAGAGGCCCCAGATCCAGGCCCCCCGAGCGACGCTCCCGAACAGCAGCCCCTCCATCCGCCCCGGAGCGCAGACCCCGGCCGCCGTCTACCAGGCGAACCAGCACATCATGATGGTCAACCACCTTCCCATGCCCTACCCCATGCCCCAGGGCCCTCAGTACTGCATCCCACAGGTAAGGTGGGCCTTGGGCTCCTTCTCCTCCTCCCATCTCCCTTCCTTGCTCCCAAGCAGGGGCACTTCCATGATTTCTGCCTCCTGAGCCTCTTGGGCCCTTTCTCCGCAGTATCGCCACAGCGGCCCCCCATACGTTGGCCCCCCGCAGCAGTATCCTGTTCAGCCGCCGGGCCCGGGCCCTTTTTACCCAGGACCGGGACCTGGAGAGTTCCCCAATGCCTACGGTGAGGAGGGGTTTCCCCTTGAGTGGAGCACGAGGAGGGCTATCTTGTGATCCATCTGCTTAATGCCTGCACTTTGGCCTCTTTAAATATAGGTTTCTTACCTGTAACCATAGTTTCAGGAAGCTAGTCTAAGTGAAGGGTCTCGCTGCTGCTTCAGCGGCGGATAAAGAGAACTGGAGGCTGTAGCCCCTCCCACTGGCTACTTATACTCACTGGGGAAGTAAGCGGGGCTACCGCCAAAAATGTTTAATAACTCTCTAGACGGTTCCGAAAGCTGTTCTGCGCAGGAATGACCATATGTGTGATTCACAGTTGACCACGATGGGAAATAGCATGTTCTTTGTCTGGGGGATTCTCCGCTACTTGCCACAAATTGTCTCTTTTAACATTAAAAAAAAATTAAATAACCATGTGGCATAATTGCTGGCATTCAACCTTTCAAAAGTCCACTTCCTTGAAATGCCATCGCCATCTTTCTAAAGCCTCAATATGGTCTCGACTGAGCTATACTGGGCCCATAACCCTTGTTGGGAAAATGGGCTTATTAACAAAGGACCCTCCCCATAAATGTACAGCAAAGTAACTTATCAGCAGCAGCGTGACCCAGCACCAGTGGCTTAAAGTGATAGAAAGAACAAAAACACACAGACCAACGTTATCTCTTCCTCAGGAGGCTTTTCTTTATAGCAAAATAATATGGTTGCACTGTTTACAACAACAAGGTTTACACAACACAAAGTTGTTTATACTTCCTTCTTTGCTTCCATGCTGGGCTTCGCTCTCACAGAGCTTTCTCTTGCAGCGAAGTTGCACAGGAGCTTCACACAGTAGCTTTACACACAGCTTTAAACATGAGGCCTTCATTCAACCTGGGGCTACTCTCACTGAAGCTTCTCACGCCAGGACTTCTCATACTCTGAGACCTTCTCACAGACTAAGACCTACCTCACACTGTGAGGCCTTCTCTCACAAGCTAAGACCTACTCACACTGAGGCCTTCTCTCACAGAGTAAGGCCTACCTCACACTGAGTCCTTCTCTCACAGACTAAGGCCTGCCTCACACTGTGAGGCCTTCACTTAAAGACTAAGACCTACTTCACACTGTGAGGCCTTCTCTCACAGACTAAGGCCTACCTCACACTATGAGACTTTCTCACAGACAGGCCTTTCTCCCACTGAGGTTTACTCAGACTGACTTCTACTAAGCTACAGGCACACCTGCTTATATAGAACTACGGCTTTTGCTGAGTCATTGCATCCATTTAACCCTTTCCATTCTTGACTCATATTTTTGTAATTCAAAATACCTAGTTAATTTTTTAATACTTCTGACATACCTGTCAGAAGTGGCAGTTCGGGACCCACACTTTCTTCCCTCCTCTCCCATGGCAGGAGCCCCTTTCTACCCCAGTCAGCCGGTGTACCAGTCGGCCCCCATCATAGTGCCTACGCCGCAGCAGCAGCAGCAGCCGCTTCCTCCGGCCAAGCGGGAAAAGAAAACGGTAAGAGGGGGAGAAGCAAGAAGAGAAAGGGGGAGAAGGGAGCAAAAGGAAAGGAAGGAGATGGAGTTGCAGAAGCTGGGAAGGGGCCAGCCAATCATAACCACCTTCCAGTGGAGGGAGGCCTCACTGGCGCAGTGTAGAACATGTGGCTCCTTCTCTCAGTCGCGTGGGGTCCATGAGCTTTGCTTGTTCCTCTCCAGATCCGCATCCGAGACCCCAACCAAGGGGGCCGAGACATCACGGAGGAGATCATGTCCGGTGGCGGGAGCAGGAACCCCACGCCCCCCACTGTCCGGCCCTCCTCCACCCCCACACCACCCCAGGTAGCACCAGAATGGATTTTTCCCAGCCTCCTCCTGGGAAGTGGTTTGGTGGGTGGGTGCCTACCATCCTCATTCTTAATAGTAATGGCTTTTCTCCTCCCTTCGTCCCCATGTGCTTTTTGGTCTTTTTTTTCTCCTCCTTTTCCAACCCGACTCTGCCCCCGACCCTTCTTCCCTTGTCTTCCATGTGGCCAGCTTTTGCGTTTGCACACTCATCATCGCCCTTTTTTGTCCTTCCAATCCCAGCAGCAGCAGCTTCCCAGCCAGGTCCCTGAACACAGCCCTGCCACGGCCTATGGGGCTGTGGAGAACGTGCCCCCTGCAGCCCCCAGCGGCAGCAGCAGCCCCGTTTCTGCAACTAGTGACTTGAAGCCAGGTGGGTCATTCCCAGTGTTGCCGCTCAACCCATCCTGCCATCTCTGTGGGAAGAGGTTCAGAGGGACAAAGGAGGGGGGAGGTCTGTGTGGGTCAAGTGGTCTTACCGACAAAAGACCCTCCCCGTGAATGTACAGCAGAGTAACTTATCAGCAGTAGTGTGGCCCAGGCCCAGTAGCCCAAAGTGATTAAAAAAAAAAAGAACAAAAACATACAGACCAATGTCCTCTCTTCCAAAGAAGGCTTTTCTTCGTAGTATTGAACTTTCTCACACCAGGTCTTCTCACACTGTGATGCTGCCCTCACAGACTAAGGCCTACCTCATGCGGTTACGTCTTCTCTCACAGACTGAGGCTTAACTCACACTGTGAGGTCTTCTCACACACTAAGGCCTATCTCACGCTGTGAGGCCTTCTCTCACAGACTAAGGCCTACCTCACACTGTCAGGCCTTCTCACAGACTAAGGCCTACCTCACACTGTGAGGTCTCACAGACTAAGGCCTCCCTCACACTGTGCGGCCTCCTCACACACTGAGACCTTTCTCCCACTGAGGTTTACCTCAGACTGATGGTTACTAAGCTACAGGCACACATGTTTATATAGAACAGCAGCACCCATTTAACCCTTTCAGTGCTTGACTCACATTTTTGTAATTAAAAATACCTCACAGACTAAGGCATACCTCACATTGTGAGGCCTTCTCACAAACTAAGGTCTACCTCATGCGGTTACATCTTCTCTCACAGACTGAGGCCTAACTCACACTGTGAGGTCTTCTCACAGACAGGCCTACCTCATGCTGTGAGGCCTTCTCTCACAGACTAAGGCCTACCTCACGCTGTCAGGCCTTCTCACAGACTAAGGCCTCCCTCACACCGTGAGGCCTCCTCACACACTGAGACCTTTCTCCCACTGAGGTTAACCTCAAACTGATGGTTACTAAGCTACAGGCACACATGTTTATATAGAACAGCAGCACCCATTTAACCCTTTCAGTGCTTGACACACATTTTTGTAATTAAATACACCGAGTTAATTTTTAATATTTGTGAGAGTCTGTTGTGTCTTTGGAGCGCCCCTTCTAATGCGAGTCCTTTTTCTTTTCCTCAGAAGAGAAGCCTAAAGCAGAGCCAGTATTAAAGCCTCCTTCCCCTGCCCTCACGCCGGAGCCAAGCGGAGAGAGGAAGGACCCAGCGGAGCCCGAGGAGGCCCTCCCTGCTGCTGCTGCCACCTCCGTGGAGGAAATTCCTCCTGAGCTTCCTTGCCCAGCCTCGCCCGTGCTGGCCCCTGCGCCACTTGAGTCGACAGCTCTTGCTGCAGAGGAGGAGGAGGAGGAAGAGGAGGCGGGGGGACAGGATGGACACGAACTGGACTCTGCGCCAATGAAAGAGGAGGTCTCCCCGCTTTCCGTTGCCCCTTCTTGCCCGGAGGCGGTGCCCACTTGCCCCCCAACGGTGGACGAGGCCTCTGAGGATATATGCAGGGAGCCCCCTCCCATCGCCCCCTGCGACCTCCCAGTGACTGCTAGTATTAATCCAGTTAAAGAACTCAATGGAGTTAGCGAAGGGATCGCAGACACGGACCAGCAAGAGGAGGAAGCTGTGGCCCTGGCTGTGGAGCTGGAAGGGCCAGAGCCCTCTGAAGCTGAAGGCGGCCTCCCATTGGCTCCTGCCGCTGCTCCGTCACCCCCTCCTCCCAGCCTTCCTCCCCCTTCTGCGGCCAGTCCACCCCCCTCGCCCCCCCTCCCACACCCTGCCGAGGGGCCTCTAGGGGGAGAGGAGGGGCCCCCAAGAACTACCTGTAGCATAGGGCCCCAGGAGAGCCCTCCGGAAACGAAAGAGGCCGCGGAGGTGGACGGCCGGCCAGAGGAGGAAAAGGAGGAGGAGGAGCCCCCGGGCCTGGATGCAGAGAAGTGCCCCGACGCAGGTGAGTCGGCAGCGCACACGCACATACACAGCTATTCAATATCGATATCAATGCACCCTTTTCCCCTCCTGCCCCTGTCACCTATGGCAAACGTGTACCCCACTGCAACTTCCGATCTGTCAGATTGGAGCACTGAGATCCGTTGCCCTCGGTACTGGTGGGTTTGCCACATCGGAAGTCCCCTTTGGCCATTCTGTGACTTGCCGTGTTGCCTTGTTCAAACGTTGAGGGGGAAAGAGTCCCTTCTTTTCCTCCCTTGGCAGAACCCCCTTTCATATGGCATCTCGAGGCAGCCATTTTGAGGTGGTGATTTTCTCCATCGTGGTCCCTATGAAAACGCACCTGTGCCTCCACTGATAGCCCTGCCCACTCTCCCCATAGAATATATAGCCAGTGGGAGGGGCTACTGCCCCAGTTCCTTCACCTTGAGTAGCGGCTGAAAGGGCCGAAGCATGACAACAGCGTGGAAGATGGGCAGGGATGTACAAATTTCACAGGTGACCACTCGGAGAAACACAATTACAGGTAAACAACCAAGTGTTCAGTGTGCCCCAAAGGGAGACCCCATAAACCAATGGGCAACGGGTTCAATATGGAATGTTGGGGGGTTGGTCCCCCATCAAGTAGATGCGGAGAGGCCTTGTTTTGGCAAGTGGCCAGCTTGAACTTGCTTTTGTACTTATATATTATTGTATTTGCATATATGTTGTAAACCAACCTGAGTCCCTCGTTGAGGTGAGAAGGCCAGTATAGAAAACTTCCAAATAAATAAATAAATAAATTTTGCAGCCCAGACCGCTGTCCCTGCACCAAAGACGTGGCAGAAACCAAAAGATCTAGGCCAGGCCGCCGAGGAGGAGAGGGAGGCCGAGCCTGAGGTGAGGAGGACGTGCAAGAGGGAGGGAGGCGGACGGTGGGTTTGGCCTTCTCTGCAGCCAAGGAGAGGTTGACCCGGGCCCGGCTTGCCTTCCAGCCTAAAGCCGAGGAGGAGCTTCCGGGAGAGAGAATACTTGAATCTGAACCCGAGGCGCTGAGCCCCAGAAGAGACTCTGCCTCCGACCTTAAAGTAGCGAAGGCCGTGGAGGAGAACGGCGAGCAGGAAGCGGAGCCCATCCGGAACGGAGCCGAGAGCATTCCCGAGGTCGAGAGGGGCGAGGCGTGTTTGGGCGGCACGGAAGGGCCTGGCGAGGCCCCCACCGGGCAGAGCAAGACAGGTAAAGTCCAACGTGAAGGGCCTAGGCTGGAGACATGGGTCGTATGTCCAGCTGAGGCCTGAGAAAGAGCCCGCCTTCCGTTCTTACAGAGCAGTGGAAGCCCCTCAACCCCGAGGGGAAGAAGCAGTACGGCCGGGAGTTCCTGCTGGACTTCCAGTTCATGCCGGCCTGCGTCCAGAAGCCGGAAGGGCTGCCCCCCATCAGCGATGTGGTCCTGGACAAGGTGAGGAGGGACGGAGAAACTAGGGGTGGAGGGGATTTAGAGGATTGGACCACCGGGGCCAGCCTTAGCGTTGCCTTTCTCTGCCATGATCCATGCAGATCAATCAGCCCAAGCTGCCTCTCCGCACGTTGGACCCTCGGATCCTGGCGAGGGGCCCGGACTTCACCCCGGCCTTTGCCGATTTTGGAAGGCAGCTCCCCGGCGGGCGAGCGGCAGCCGTGAGTGTGACTTCCTCCTAAATGACGTCCTCCATGTTAGGGAAAACTACCCCAAAATATACAGCAGAGCATCCAAAAACAAACAGGATGCAAAAGTCAAGCATCAGAGCGTGAAGTGCCGTGTGATGTGGCTGTAAAGAATTTAGAGCTGAGGCAGGCAAAGAGGCAGAGTCCCATCTTAAAAAATCACAAAGGGATCCAGAGGGCTTGAGATCCCAAAGGCACATCTTACTGAGGCGGACATTTTTTTTATCATTAATTATTATTATTATTATTATTATCTATATAAATAAAAATGTAATGTTCGTTTGTGGGATTAACAGAACTCAACAACCACTGGGGGAATTGCCGCCAAATTTGGACACAAGACACTTCTCAGGCCAATATATGTCCTTCACTATAAAAAAAATTGATTTTGTCATTTGGGAGTTGTAGTTCTTGGGATTTATAGTTCACCTACAATCAAAGAGCATTCTGAACTCCACCAATGATGCAATCGAACCAGACTTGGCAAACAGATCTCCCATGACCAACAGAAAATACTGGAAGGGTTTGATGGGTAGTGTCCTTTCGTTTTGGAGTTGTAGTTCACCTACATCCAGAGATCACTGTGGACTCAAACAATGATGGATCTGGACCAAACTTGGAATTAATACTCAATATGCCCAAATGTGAACACTGGTGGAGTTTGGGGAAAATAGAATCTTGACATTTGGAAGTTGTAGTTGCTGGGATTTATAGTTCGCCTACAATCACAGAGCATTTTGAACCCCACCAACGATAGAATTGGGCCAAACCTCCCACACAGAACCCCATGTGGGCCACAGCAACACATGGCTGGGGACGGCTAGTTAACCATATTTATATACCGCCTTTCTCAGCCCGGTTTACAAATGGCACAATTTGATGCCTACAATAACAATAACATGTTGGGTTACCCCTCCCAGCAACATCCCCTGGTGGGTATGGCGGGCCCCAGTGCATCTTGGGAGTGCCAGATGGAGGGAGGGAGGGAGGGGGTGCTGCTGTAAGAACATATGGGTGCCTCTGGTTTCCATTTCTGGAGCAGATCCTTTACCTGTAGGAAATGTTCTATGTGTTTTTCTCCTCCCTGTAGGCCAGCAAAGTGCAGCCCCCGCCTGGCTTGCCTTCGCTCGCTCGCTGCAGCCCCCCGACCTGCCCGTTGCTGGTCTCCCCTCACCCGCAGCTGAGGAACCTCCAGATTGGGGTGAGCCCTCCCGCCCAAGCCCCCTCCCCTCCTCCCCGAGAAGGCCTCTCCTGCTCCCAGTCCTTGTCATGTTTGAGGGCGCCGCCATTGCACTCCAAGGCTGGGAATCGCCTCTGTCCTTAACACACAATCCAGTCCAAGGGTAAATAGTGTAAAAATCAATGTTCAAAAAACAGGAATAATCCTCAGCTTACATGGAATGCACTACAAATCAGATATGTGCAGTGTGCATAGGAATTCATTCATGATTTTTTCAAATATAATCTGGCCCTTCAACAGTTTGAAGGACTGTGACCTGGCCCTCTGTTTAAACAGTTTGAGGACCCCACTACTATATTATTAGCATAGTACATTATCAGTATTAAATATTACTATATTGTATTATATCATTATATTGTAATATTATTAGTAATACTGCATGTAATATAAATATATAGTTATAATCTATTATTAGCATATTGCATTACATTATAATATTATAAATATTATATGTATATACAATATATTATATTTTATTATATTATTATATTATATTATATTATTAACATAGCACAGGAGACAAGGTGGAACTGTCCCCTGGCCCCCTCTCTCTTCACTCTGCCCCAGAGCGGCAGTTGCTGCTGGGGGGAAGCGTTCCCAGCTGATGACATATGCAGGAGACAAGATGGGACTGTCCCCTGGTCCCGTCTCTCTTCACTCATGCCCCGCTTCTCCAAGATGCCATTTTCCCTTTCCCGGGACTGGATTCCCTAATCCTATGACATATGCAGGAGTCAAGATAGAACTTGACATATATATAGACAGCTGATAAGGGCTTTTCAGCTAATAAGCGACAAGACCTTCGAACTGCCTCATGAGAAACTCTATGTTGACGGAACATCTATCTCCTATCTAACTGCTGCTCATTAGCCCATCCACCTGGAGTTACATCTTCCTCCTTTGCATCTCCCTCCCCTGAGCTCATTTCTGCCTCTGACCTTATATATCTAGGGAACTGCTTTTTTGCCTTGGACAGAGAGCTCTAATTCTCAGGGCTTCAAATCTCTTGGTTCCCTGTATTGGTCAACTGTGAATTGCACATATGGATTTAAGACTCAAAGCAGCTCTTTATGAAAGGGCTTTGCTGCCGCTGACCGCCTCCAAACAAGTAACTTCCTTGGAGCTGCCAAACTTACCTTTCTCTCAGGAAATCCAACATGGCGGTCCGATGAAGAAAAAAACTAAAAAGGCCAGGACAAGGGCCGCCAAGATGGCCGCCAAGTCCTTTCTCAGCCTCACAGCCCTGCAAAAAGGGCGGGAAAATCGCCGGGTCTGCTTTCTTCCCCTGCGACTCACCTCTCTGGTCAGCAGGGAGAGAACTTGCTCCCTCTGCTGGCACCTGAACTGGAACTGGATAGCGCCAATGCGCCTCGCCAGCGCACGGCAGGATCGGCACAGCTCACCCCACCGGTATTGGTCGAGCTCACTGAGGCCGGCGGAGGCCAAGAGGACCATCTTGTGGGCAACACTCCCCCGCTTCAAAGAGGCAGCTAACTCTCTGGAGGCAAGCGGTGCTCCGACAGAGACTGGCGGAGGCGTTCCTCCCTCGGAGGGCGTTTTCCCTTTCCTTTCTGGTAGTGGCACGGCCCTGCATGTCGGGGAGGGTGCGTTCCCACAGGCTGGAGCTCTCCCTCGTCCCGAGGTTGGCGGACACTTGCTGCCCCTGAACCCTACCGGGAGCGCCACCCTGGAGGCCGATGCCCCGATTCCAGGCCGCCTGACCCCAGGACCCGCCCGCCGCGGCAACAAGAGACCTCCACGCGCTAGGTCTCCATCGCGGCTGAGCCGGAGCCCCAGATGGTGTAGATACCGGTCGGTATCAAGGGCAGGAATTGATCCTGCTCCTTTTCTTCTTCATCTTCCTCGTCATCTGGAGCTTCAAGGAAGAGGGGGCGCTTGCGTTTAGTTCCATTCTTCCTCTCGCTGGGGGCCATATGGGCCTGGCCCGATGGCTTGCCCGGGCTATTGGCAGCTGACCTCTATGGGGCAGTATGTGTTTGTTGGTCCCCCTGCACCTTCTTCCATGCCTCCCTTAGACTGCATGCCTACTATGCCTATGTCTGACCATGTGAACTACATGCCCACTGGGGTTCTTTTTCTTCATTGGACCGCCATGTTGAACTCCCTGAGAGAAAGGTAAGCTCCAAGGGAGTTACTTGTTTGGAGGCGGTTGGCGGCAGCAAAGCCCTTTCATAAAGAGCTGCTTAAAGTCTTAACTCCATATGTGCAAATTCACAGGTGACCACTCAGGGAACTACGGTTACAGGTAAGCAACCTATAATTCTCTTGTTGGTGTCCCCACTGTTGTCATCAGGCTTCCTAACAGGCCCAGAATCCCCAGTGATATCAGAACTATGCACAATCAGAGGCTGAACTACAACATCCGCTGTCTTCCTTCCTTCCTCCCCTTTCAGCTGCTGAACGTTGGGCCGCGGCGGTCCCAGCCGGGCCAGAGGCGGGAGCCCAGGAAGATCATCACGGTCTGCGTCAAGGAGGACGTCCACCTGAAGAAGGCGGAGAACGCCTGGAAGCCCAGCCTGAAGCGGGAGACGCAAGTCGAGGACCCTGAAAACATCAAGACAAAGGTGAGGAGGGGACACTCATCGGGGGAAGGATCAATGCCACGAGTATAACTCCCATCATTCCCCTTGCATTCCCACACACCTGGGAGGTAACCCCGTGGGGAGGGATGGCTATGGAGAACAGGGAGAGATACCAGACAACCTACTACCTCTTGCAGCTTCCTATTTGTTGCTTTTGATATTTTTGTTGTTGTTTGGAGACATTGCTGAGGCACCCGGTGGCCTGGACTCACCTTGGAAGGCACTCCTTGTTGTTCTGTGGCGTTCATTCCTCCTCTTGCTCTTTTCTTTGCTTCAGGAGCTATTCCGGAAGGTCCGCAGCATCCTCAACAAGCTGACGCCCCAGATGTTCAACCAGCTGATGAAGCAGGTGACGGACCTGACGGTGGACACGGAGGAGCGGCTGAAGGGCGTCATTGACCTGGTGTTTGAGAAGGCCATCGACGAGCCCAGCTTCTCCGTGGCCTATGCCAACATGTGCCGATGCCTTGTCACGGTAAGGCTCCACTGCAGCCTCCTGGCCCACAAAGCATGGGGGTGGCTGGTGGTTGGTTAGTGGGGCAAGGCCTTGGTCTGTGATCCTTTTGACGGAAGGAGATGCGAAATGTAAGGATGGGAAGTGTTCTTTTTAAGAGGGAGCTCATCAAGCCTTGGGACGAAGTGCACCTTCGAGGCACGCTCATCTTTCTTCTCCCACTGCCTTTTGGTTTGGGGCAGCTGAAAGTGCCCATGGCGGACAAGCCCGGGAGCACCGTCAACTTCCGGAAGTTGCTTCTGAACCGCTGCCAGAAGGAGTTTGAGAAGGACAAAGCTGACGATGACGTTTTCGAGAAGAAGCAGAAGGAGCTGGAAGCAGCCACCGCGGTGAGTCCTGTCAGAAATATCTAAAATTAACTGGGTATTTTTAATTACAAAAGGTGAGTCAAGTACTGAAAGAGATGTTAGAGTCAGTGGGCCAAAGCTAGTGTCATCCTGAGAAGTGTGAGGTAAACCTTTGTGTGAGAAAACTCCACTGTGAAGGCTGCTGTGTGTAAAGTTACTATGTATTTGTTTATTTGTGTTATGGAAACCTAATTCTTGTAAATAGTGCAACCATATTATTTTACTACAAAGAAAAGAGTGAGTAGGCCAAAACCTGTTAGTCAGTGGGCCAAAGCTGGTGTCATCCTGAATAGTGTGAGGTGAACCTCTGTGTGAGAGAAGGTAATGTGGGAAAGCTCCAGTGTGAAGGCTGCTGTGTGTAAAACTACTATGTATTTATATATTTGTGTTATGGAAACCTAGTTCTTGTAAATAGTGCAGCCATATTATTTTACTACAAAGAAAAGAGTGAGTAGGCCAAAGCCTGTTAGAGTCAGTGGGCCAAAGCTAGTCTCGTTCTGTGGAGTGAGAGGTAAACCTCTGTGTGAGAGAAGCTTAGTGTGAAGGCTGCTGTGTGTAAAGCTACTATGTATTTGTTTATTTGTGTTATGGAAACCTAGTTCTTGTAAATCAGTGGTTCTTAACCTGTGGGCTGTAGACCACCAGTGGGCCGCAAGGATGAAAAACTCGTGCCACCTGCCACTCCTTCCCTGTCGCTCACCAGATGTTGTTGTTTTTCATTGTTACAAACTGAACATAAAGCATAGTGATTAATCAAAAACACAATATGTAATGATATATTGTGAAAGAGAGACAGCAGGAGGGGGAAACAGAAAGAAGGAAAGGAGCTCTGCCTCCTCCTCGGCGGGCCGGATAAATGCCCTCGGTGGGCCGCAGGTGGCCCCCGGGCCGTCGTTTGAGGACCCCTGTGTTAAGAGATACAGATGCAGAAGGGTTCTTTGTGAGCGTCTGTTGTTGGGAAGGGAAGGGGAGCTCTAGCGGGCCAACCCTCGTCTCGCCTTCGGCCCTCGCTCACTGTGAGCTTCCCGCAGCCGGAGGAGCGGACCCGGCTCCACGACGAGCTGGAAGACGCCAAGGACAAGGCCCGGCGGCGCTCCATTGGGAACATCAAGTTCATCGGGGAACTCTTCAAGCTGAAGATGCTGACAGAGGCCATCATGCACGACTGCGTGGTCAAGCTCCTGAAGAACCACGACGAGGAGTCCCTGGAGTGCCTCTGCCGCCTGCTGACCACCATCGGGAAGGACCTGGACTTCGAGAAGGCCAAGGTGAGGGAGGGAGGGAGGGAGCAGGCCGAGGGAACGGAGGCCAGCATCAAAACAGCGGGGCTGGTTTAGTAAAGAGGTGGAAAGAAGAGTGCCTGCTGTGTTTCCCCCTCCCTCCAGCCTCGGATGGATCAGTACTTCAACCAAATGGAGAAGATCGTGAAGGAGAGGAAAACCTCCTCTCGGATCCGGTTCATGCTTCAGGACGTCATAGATCTCAGGCAGGTACGTGTATCTGGGGGTGTTGCTTTATGAAAGGATGGCCAGAGGCTGACTAAAGGGCAAGGCTTGGCTTCGCGGCTCGCTTGCGTCCAGACCCGCCAGCCATTTCCCCCTTCGCCTCTGGCCAGAATGAACAGGCCCTTGCGACCCTTAACTCGCCTTCCTGCCCTCTGCAGTGCAACTGGGTGTCGCGGAGGGCGGACCAGGGCCCCAAGACGATAGAGCAGATCCACAAGGAGGCCAAGATCGAGGAGCAGGAGGAGCAGCGGAAGGTCCAGCAACTGATGACCAAAGACAAGAGGAGGCCGGGTATGTGGCCCCACAATGGGTCACCCTGAGCAGTTTTCATTGGGAATAGGATTTGAATTGATTCTCAGCATAATTCTATTGTAACATTGGTTGCCTTTCGTGTGAGCCACTTCTTTAAATCTCTAGAGAGACAAAGGGCGATATAAATGAGAATATATATATAACACTTCAGTGGCCTTTTGTTGTGTGCCCGGCAGGTGTCCAGCGGGTCGAGGAGGGCGGCTGGAATACGGTGCAGGGGGCGAAAAACAGCCGTGTGCTGGACCCCACCAAGTTCCTTAAAATCACCAAGGTGAGGGTGTAAGAAGGGGCACTTCTGGAGAGCGGTCTCAGGGGAAGGAAGGAAGGTAGGAAGGGGGAAGGGAAGGAGGGAGGGAAGGAAGGGGGAAGGGGAGAAAGGGAGGGAAGGAAAGAAAGGAAGGAAGGAAGGAAGGAAGGAAGGAAGGAAGGAAGGAAGGAAGAGGAGAAGGAGGGAGGGAGGGAAGGAAGGGAAAAGGGGAAAGGGAAGGAAGGAGGAAGGAAGGGGAAGGAGGGAAAGGAAGGGAAAGAAGGAAAGAAGGAAGGAAGGGAAGAAGGAAGGAAAGGAGAAGGAAGGAAGGGAAGGAAGAAAGAAGGAGGGAGGGGAAGGAAAGAAGGGAGGAAAGGAGAGGGAAGGAGGAAAAGGGAAAAGAAGGGAAGAAGAGGGAAGAGAGGGAAGGAAGGAAAGGGGAAGGGAAGGAAGGTGGGAAGGAAGAAAGGAGAAGGAGGAGGAAAGGGAAGAAAGAAAAGAAGGAGGAGGAAAGGGAAAGAGGGAGGGAGGAGGAAAGGGAAGAAAAAGGGAAGGACAAAGGAGAAGAAGGAAGGGGAAGGAAGGAGGAAGGAAGAAAGAAGGGAAGGAAGGTGGAAGCAAAGAAAGAAGGAAAGGGAGGGAAGGAAGGAAGGAAGGAAGGAAGGAAGGAAGGAAGGAAGGAAGGAAGGAAGGAAGGAAGGAAGGGAAGAGGGGGGAAGGAAGGAGGGAGGGAAGGAAGGGCCTGTTGTCCTGATGGCAGCTCTCTGTGTCGCCTTGCAGCCCACACTCGACGAGAAGATCCAGCTTGTGCCTAAAGCCCAGTTGGGCAGCTGGGGAAAGGGCAGCAGCGGCGGCGCCAAGGCCAGCGAGATCGGTAAGCGTGGCTGGCCAGCTCTGGCGGCCCATCTCCCTCTCTATTTGGAATCCCCTGAACCCTCTTGAGTTTGAGAGAGGGGCCCCATCCTCAGTTGTGGGGGGATCTCAAGTCCAAAAAGCAAGACACATCATTCAGAGCCACTCACAGAGCACCTCTTCGCCAAACGCCTTCCCAGTGGTCCCAAACCCGGCTTGGGAGCTCCTCTCCTCACCTGGCTAGGCGCTCGCGGGGGAGCTTTCCGCCCTCTCCTCTTTGGGGCGTTTTCCTGGAGTCTGGAGACAGCTGTCACTCTCCCCAACATCCTCTTACAGATTCCTTACGACCAAGTGCCACTAGTCTGAACCGATTCTCTGCACTGCAGCCTCCTGTGTCATCATCGGTTTCTGCCTCGGCCACACCCTCCGAGTCGGACGCTCGCAGGACCTTAACCAGGTGAGCCCCCCCCCTCTCCTCTTGTGGCCTTGAGTCACCCTCCATGCATGCTGTTTCATACCACCTGCGTAGCTGTGTGTGTTAAAAGAGGGGAAACTAACAGAGCTCTGAGGTCAGCTCTGTTAGTTAGGTTGACTGCATGGTGCCCATGTTTATTATCCTAAACTCTCATATATATTTATATTTATATATATCTCCATCCATCCACCATGGTTTCTGTGAGATGATGATGATGATAATAATAATAATAATCTTTATTTATACCCCGCCACCATCTCCCCCAGCGGGGACTCGGAGTGGCTTACATGGGGCCAAGCCCGAACAACAAATTACAATACAAAAATACAAATTGCAGTAAAATAAACAACATAGCAATCTATATAAATAAAAATGTAATGTTCGTTTGTGGGATTAACATAACTCAAAAACCACTGGGGGAATTGACACCAAATTTGGACACAGGACACCTAACAACCCAATGTATGTCCTTTACTCAAAAAAATTGATTTTGTCATTTGGGAGTTGTAGTTGCTGGGATTTATAGTTAACTTACAATCAAAGAGCATTCCAAACTCCACCAAGGATGCAGTTGAACCAAATGTGGCACACAGGACTCCCATGACCAACAGAAAACTCTAGAAGGGTTTGGTGGGCATTTATCTTGAGTTTGGGAGTTGTAGTTCACCTACATCCAGAGAGTACTGTGGACTCAACAATGATGGATCTGGACCACACTTGGCATGAATACTCCATATGTTCAAATGTGAACACTGATGGAGTTTGGGGGGGAAAGACATTGACATTTGGGAATTGTAGTTACTGGAATTTATAGTTCACTTACAATCAAAGAGCATTCTGAATCCCACCAACGATTCCCACACATGCTCACAATCAGTTTTAAATATGAGGCGGTCTTCTTGGCTGCGATGGGAGATCCCCCCCCCCCTTACCCGGGCACTGACCCTTCTCTCCCTTCCACAGCCGTGGGAGCACCGGGCGGGAGAAGAACGACAAGCCGCTGCCCTCGTCCCTCTCCCGCCCCAACACCTTCCTGCGGGTCAGCAGTGCCGGCAGCAAGGAGCAGCTGCTGGACAACCAGGCGCAAGAGGAGCAGCGCAGGGAGATGCTGGAGGCTGTCAAGCAGCTGACCGGTGGCACTGCGGAGGGAGGAGGAGGAAGCCGGACCAGTGCCACTGCAGAGGCCGGGAGGAGCAAGGTGGCCAAGGAGAGCCCAGGTGAGGGCTTGGGGCGGCGCCTGTGCCCACAGGAGTTGTCCTCCCTTCAAGGGAGAAAGGCTCCTCCACCTCATTCTCTTCTCCCAACCTCAGTTTCCTTAACAGCCAAGCCAGAAACGTCCACGTCGCCCTGTCTGGAAAAGCCAGCCTTGTCTGACGAGGAGATCGAGAGGAAGTGCCGGTCTATCATCGATGAGTTCTTGCACATCAATGATTATAAGGTAGGTAGGAAAAAAACTTGTAATAATAGTAATAATAATACTTTATTTGTACCCCGCTACCATCTCCCCAAGGGACTCGGTGCGGCTTACATGAGGCCAAGCCCGCAGTACATCAATAAAACGAAGGCGGTAACAAAATAATCAATACAAAACAGTAAAATAAATCTCATAAACAAAAATAAACAATAACAATAACATACAAGCATTTAAAAACCTATGTCTGGGCCAAATGTAATAATTTAAATCTTAAAAGATAATGCTGGATGTGAACAAGGTAGGGTATAACTAGGATAGGGTTTTCAAAGAAAAATGAGGGCGCGCAGGCAATCCTAAATCAATGTTAAAGTGCACTTGAGGGCACCTTGCTAAGAGTTTCCCTTATTCTGGGAAGGCACACTGGAACAACCACGTTGCTTCCCTTTAATTGTGTTTCTTCGAGTGGTAGATAACCCCATATGTGCAAATTTCACAGACTACCACTCGAAGAAACACAGTTACGGGTAAGCAACTCCTTCTTCCTGGAATCTGTGAAAGACGCACGTATGGGGTTATCTTCTGCGCATGCACATACATGCGAATTTTCACAGACTACAATTTGAAGAAACAGAGTTACACGAAAGCAACTGGTTCTTCTTCGTGGAGCCCGTGAAAGACGCACATATGTGCATGCGCAGAAGATGTGTGAATATCTTCTGCGCATGCGCATATGTGTATCTTTCACGGGCTCCACGAAGAAGAACCAGTTGCTTTCGTGTAACTCTGTTTCTTCGAGTGGTAGTCTGTGAAATTCGCACATATGGAATTATCTTCTGCGCATGTACATATGTGCGTCTATCGCAGACTTAGCAAAGAAGAAGAATAACGAGTGGCTTACCTGTAGCTGTGTTTCTTTGAATGGTAGTCTGTGAAATTCGTATGTGTGCACTTGCGCAGAAGATAACCCCATATGTGTGTTTTTCACAGACTCCACAAAGAAGAAATAATAATAGAGCCCATTTGGGGGAGCTTGGAGCCCCCTCCCTCTCTCTCTCTCTCTCTCACGCTGTTCTTGGGAGTTCTGTGGTTTCAGCACTTGGCGCTGATTCTGTAGTCAAGAGTGGGAATCCCAGATAGGGTTAAGTTGGTCTGTATGTAGAACGGCCTGATTCGGTCTCTGCTTGCCGATGGTCAAGAAAGTGAGTGGCATGCCTTCCTCCCCTATCTCCTGCATTTCTGTCCTCACGCAGGAAGCGATGCAGTGCGTGGAGGAGCTGGGCCTGCCGGGCGCGCTGCCCGTCTTTGTGCAAGTCGGCGTGGAGTCCACCCTGGAGCGCAGCCAGATCACCCGGGACCACATGGGCCAGCTGCTGTATCAGTTGGTGCAGTTGGGGAAGCTGGGCAAGCAGGACTTCTTCAAGGGGTGCGTAGTCCGCCAAGGAAGGGAGGAATGGCAGGCAGGAAGGAGGGCATTCTGAGCAGCTTGGCTCTCTCTCTCTCTCTCTCTCTCTCTCTCTCCCCCACATAGGTTTGCGGAGACCTTGGAGATGGCGGACGACATGGCCATCGATATCCCCCACATCTGGTTGTACCTGGCGGAATTGGTGACGCCGATGCTGAAGGAAGGAGGGATCTCTATGAGAGAGCTCCTCACGTAAGCAGGGCTCTCTCTTTTGCAGCCCACTCCCACAGCGGGTTAGTCAGGGAGCCAGAAGAGGAGCCAGATTGTTGGGCCAGAGGGCTTATTAACAAAAGGCCCTCCCCATGAATGATTAGCAGAGTAACTTATCAGCAGCAGCATGACCCATCACCAGTAGCTCAAAGTGATAAAAAGACCAATGTGATCTCTTCCTTCGGGAGGCTTTTCTTTATAGCAAAATAATATGGCTGCACTATTTACAACAAGGTTTCCACAACACAAAGTTCTTTATTCTTTTCTTTGAACAGCTTCCATGCTGGACTTCTTTCTCATACAGATAAACAGCTTCGCTCTTGAAAGAGCCTCCTCTCACACCAAACTTACACAGGAGCTTCACACAGTAGCATTATACAGCAGCCATCATACTGAAGCTTCACACAGTAGTTTTACACACAAGGCCTTCAACCTGGGGCTTCTCTCACACTGAAGCGTTCTCATACTGAGGCCTACTAGCACTGAGGTCTACCTCACACTGAGGCTTTTCTCCCACTGAAGCCTTTTTCACACAGAGGCCTTCTCATACTGAGGGCTCTATCAGACTAAGGCCTTGCTCCCACAGCCTCTCTCATACCGAGGCCTCACTCACTGAGGTCTGCCAACACTAAGGGCTCTTTCAGGGCTTTCTCCCGCTGAAGCCTTTTTCACACAGAGGCCTTCTCATACTGAGGGCTCTGTCAGACTAAAGCCTTGCTCCCACTGAGGCCTCTCTCACTGAGGTCTGCCAACACTGAAGCTTTTCTCCCACTGAAGCCTTTTTCACACAGAGGCCTTCTCATACTGAGGGCTGTATCAGACTAAGGTCTTGCTCACACTGAGGCCTCTCTCCCACTGAGGCCTCACTCACTGAGGTCTGTCAACACTCAGGGCTCTATCAGGGCTTTCTCCCAATGAAGCCTTTTTCACACAGAGGCCTTCTCATACTGAGGGCTCTATCAGACTAAGGCCTTGCTCCCACTGAGGCCTCTCTCACTGAGGTTTGCTAACACTGAGGCCTAGTAAGTAAGCTCTAGGCACACCTGCTTATATTGAACTAGAGCTTTTGCTGAGTCTTTGTATCCATTTCACCCTTTCAGTGCTTGACTCACATTTTTGTAATTCAAAATACCGAGTTAATACTTAATAGTTCTGAGAGAGATGTCTTCCATCTCTGGCTGACCCTTCCCTCTCTCTTACATCGCAGAGAATTTAGCAAACCCTTGCTTCCCGTGGGAAGAGCCGGCATCTTGCTTTCTGAAATATTGCACCTTCTATGCAAACAAATGGTAAGTGCTTGCGAGTCGGTTTGTCCGGAGAGATGGGCAGCCAGGGAACCTCTCTGTGGGTCGTAGCCTGGAAGAGTGAGTGAGCCCCGGGGTCCGCTTTGCCTTGCCTTTCAGAGCCATAAGAAAGTGGCCGCCTTGTGGAAGGAGGCTGGCCTCAGTTGGAAAGACTTCTTACCCGAAGAGGAGGATGTCCACGCCTTCCTCATGGAGCAGGTGAGCCAGGCTGCATTTGGGATGCAACGGCAAGGCCCCAGGTGCTGACGCTTTGTCGGAATCGAGGCTGGCTTTGGCCTCCGTCGGGAAGGCCTTTGGTCGGAAGGAGCTCCCGCCTCCCTTTGTTACGCTGAGCCGCCCCCTCCGCCTTCTCTTGTAACGCTGCAGAAGTTGGACTTCACAGAGACAGACGGTTCCGGTTCCTCAGAAGCACTTTCCAAGAGAGAACTCTCCGACGAAGAGCTGAACAGGCAGCTGGAGAAGCTCATTGTGGAGGAGAAGGCCAGCGACGAGCAGATCTTTGACTGGGTCGAGGTACAGAAGGCCCTCCGAGGGGGAGGGTGTTGCTCCCGATAGTCATTCCGGGAAGGAAAAGCGTCCATTGCCGGGCCTGGGAGGGGAAGCACCCGCCTTTATGCCTGCAGTATGCTCTGTGTGGCCCTTTGGCATGTCAACAGCACCAAACCGCAGAAGAGAAGCTTTCTGGCCTGCTTTGTGACGCTCGCTTGTCCTCTTTGTTCCAGGCGAATCTAGACGAGAGCCAGATGAGTTCACCTACATTCCTTAGAGCTTTAATGACAGCGGTTTGTAAAGCGGCTATTATAGGTGAGGCATCAAAACCCTTTGATATTTAGAAGGCACATACACACAGTCGAGTCTCGCTTCTCCATCATGGTCAATGTGAATCGCACATATACATTGTGATGTTTGGGTGCTAAATTCGTACATACAGTAATGACTACATAATGTTGCCATGTATTGAACTACCCTTTATTTATTTTTATTTTATTTATTTTTAGTCTTTTGTGGTTTATTAAAGTAAAAGATAAAAAGTTCAAAAAGGCAAAAGTATATATTTCAAAAGATCAATCCAAGGTAACATAGGCAAACAAGATCCATGAAGACACAGGCAAAGCAAAGTCCCATGAGAACACGACAAGTTCCTAAAAACATGAACATGAACGCTGCAAGAGAAATCCAAAGTCTCTTGGTTGAAGCAGGAAGTTGCTCTGACGCTGGGACATATTTAAACAGCCTGTTTAATACTCTTTGGACAACATGAAGGCATTCCTCTCCTCTCGCCTGGTAGCAATTCTGACACTCTTTCGAACCTTAAATTCCTGAAATAAGGAAGGAAGGAGAGAAGGAAATTAAAAAGTGAAAGAAGGAAGGAAAGAGAGAGGGAAGGAAGGAAGGAAGGAGAGAAGGAATAAAAAAGGGAAGGAAGGAAGGAAAGAAGGAAATAAAAAAGTGAAAGAAGGAAGGAAGGAGAGAAGGAAGAAAAGAGGGAGGGAAGGAAGGAAGGAAAGAGACAAGGAAGGGAGGAAAGAAAAGGTAGAAAAGGAAGGGAGAAGGAAATAAAAAAGTGAAAGAAGGAAGGGAAGAGAGAGGGAAGGAAGGAAAGAGGAAGAGACAAGGACGGGAGGAAAGAAAGGAAGGTAGAGAAGGAAGAAGGAAATAAAAAAGTGAAAGAAGGAAGGAGAGAAGGAAGGAAAGAGGGAGGGGAGGAAGGAAAGAGGCAAGGAAGGGAGGAAAGAAAGGAAGGTAGGGAAGGAAGGAAAGAAGGAAATAAAAAAAGTGAAAGGAAGGAAAGAGAGGGAAGGAAGGATGCAACCAAAGAGCAAAGTAARGGAGGAAAGAAACAGGCAGAGAAGGAAGAAAGAAGAAGGGAAAGAAAAAGAGGGATGTAAGGAAAGAGGGAGGGAACATTGGTCACAGCAACGCATGGCAGGTACAGCTAGTTAACAATAAATAGTGAAAGGCTTGGGAGGTTGCCGTTTCCAACAGCCACACACACACTCATATTTTCACTTTTATTATGTGTATGCATAGGTGATGGTGATTATTCTCTTATTTTTAGTGGATAGTTCTAGCTTGCGCGTGGACACAGCTGTTATCAAGCAGAGAGTGCCGATCTTACTGAAGTACCTGGACTCGGACACAGAGAAGGAACTACAAGCACTTTACGCACTACAAGCATCCATAGTAAAACTTGACCAGCCTCCGAGTAAGTGTCCTGCTGCCACTTCTGTTGCTTTTGGGCCTTGAATCTAGGCGGAAGGAAGGGAGGGAGGGAGGGCTTGTGGGGAAAGGACACTGGCGCTCTGTCTYGGGTTCAGAGCACRTGGCCATTGACCGAAAGGGAGGACATGAATAGCCATCAAAGTCARTTACCCACAAGGTAGTGGGGAAGGTGGGCTCTGGAAGGTGAGAAAGGCGCAAGCACCAGGCATGATTTATAATATTGTAGCGAGGCCCATATAGGCGGGCAATCGTACGAGGCTCATTATTCCGAACCCTAAAGACGCTTGGTATCTACATCCCTTGTTCATCTTGCGTCCTTCCAGAGAAGACTAATCCACCGTTGGAGCTGAGAAACATTACAGTTTGTTCAGAATCAGGAGTTTCGCACTTCCTCCTTTGTTTTGGTCACCTGGCATTTCCTGATTATTATTATTTTTTTGTGGTGTCATAAAATACCTCCCGCCCTTGTTTTAGCAGTACCTAACTTCTCTACTTGCAGCTATTTTCAAACTGCTTAGGTAAACTGTAAGCTGGGCTGAAAGTTGGGAGCTCATCCTGACCTAGGCTTCGGATTGGCAACCTTTCGGTTGGTAGATCTTACCATTGCTGGTGATTTACCAGCTGTCGTGCAAGGCTTATTCCGAACCCTAAAGACGTTTGGTATCTTCATCCCTTGTGCATCTTGCATCCTTCCAGAGAAGACTAATCCACAGTTGGAGCTGAGAAACATTACAATTTGTTCAGAATCAGGAGTTTCACACTTCCTCCTTTCTTTTGGTCACCGGGTATATCTTGATTTTGTGGGCCGGGCTTTAGCACAGCTAGTAAATCACCAGCTTCTTGTGGCTTTCAGTGGCTTCTTTGTGTAGCGTGACGTGGTGGTGGTTAGAGTGGTCCAACATTTCTGCGTTCTCAAATAATGTGCTGGTTTTATTTTATTATTTATTTTTATTTTAAGTATTTTTATCCCGCGCCCTTTCCCATCGTGGTCAACTGTGAATCGCAATTCAAGCTTTAGGAACCTTCTAGAAATTCTATTAAACATTTCTGGTTGTAGGCCCCACCCACTCTCCCTCTAAGTAGCCAGTGGGAGGGGCTACAGCCTCCAGTTCTCTTCATCCGCCGCCGAAGCAGCAGCAAGAGAACCTTCACTCAGACTAGCTTCCTTTGGTTGTTTTTTGGCTTGACTCGGACTGCCTGACTTGACTTCTCCTTCTTTGACTCAGCGCGGCCTCACATGAGCATCAGAGGATGCTAACAGCATAAATACCATAAAAATTACAATTCACAATAAAATCATTTCAAAACATTGTACATCATTAGTAAAATTAAACTCTGGTTGGATTAGTCTGCAGGGCCTTTCATGTTCCTTGGTTTGTGCCTGGGCAATGCTGCTGCGTTTGGGGGTCCTTATGGAGACTTCTCGTCCACAGCTGTGTGGTTTACGGTAGAGTTCGGCAGAGGGGAGAGGTTCCTCTTGTCCTTTGCTGAACGGAGCATTGGTTGGGTTTTCTTAGCGGGTCTTTCTCCCACCCTGGACACTCCACAGGGATATAAGCCTTACTTAGTTTCCAACAGACAGTTCAGTCTCTGAGGATGCCTGCCATAGATGTGGGCGAAATGTCAGGAGAGAATGCTTCTGGAACATGGCCAGGCAGCTGGGATAACTCACAGCAATTTGGTGTTTCCTGCCACAAAAGCCTTGGACAACACAGGGCTCACGACCCCTTTCTCTTCTTTCTCGCAGATTTGTTGCGGATGTTTTTCGACTGCCTCTACGACGAGGAGGTGATCTCGGAGGACGCCTTCTACAAGTGGGAGAGCAGCAAAGACCCGGCCGAGCAGAACGGGAAAGGCGTCGCTCTCAAGTCGGTCACGGCCTTCTTCACGTGGCTAAGGGAAGCCGAGGAGGAGTCGGAGGATAATTAACCAACACCACAAATACAAAAACAAAACAAAAAAAACTGAATACAAAAACAAAAAAAAACTTAAGAAAAAACTAAGTATTTTTTTAAAAAAACCCAGTTTCATGTTTTCGCCAATCACAGTGCAGCAAGGCCAATTCTCGCGCGCAGAAATACATCCCCCGACATTTGCACGATTTTGGGGGGGAAACAACCCAAGAGAGAGAGAGAGAGAGAGGAGCGAACGAATGAACGCAAAGGCGATCATGGAGGACGGACGAGGCGGAAACGGGAAATTTCCCACTTCGAACCTGGACGGAGGGGCAGGAGCACGAAACCAAAACACGCCTGTTGTTATTTACCGGGAAAGCAAAAATAATAATTTCCCGGGTTTTTCTTTTCTTTTTAAACAAGGACTCCTCCTTTCAACCGTTAGCAAACTTTTAATTTATTCTTTCCAGAGAGCTGCAATTGCCAGTGTAATTTTGTTTGCAAAAAGACGAAAGCAAAAAAAAAAGAAGAACCAGAGAAATAAATTTTCCTCCCGTTCAGATCCATCTCATTTCAGTTCAAAGGTAATGCATTCTCAAAAGGGGTGAGCGAGCAACGAACGAGCATCCGGTCTTTTCTTGCCTGCCTCTCGATCAGCGTAAACGAAGGGAAATTAATACGCGTTGGAGAAACTAAACGGCCGTGGACCAGACTTGCTTTGGAAACGACGCATTGATCACACAGACACACACACACAAAACAGTGCTGCTGCCCTGGAAGCGGAAGAACGAACGAACAAAGTGTTGGTGATGAGAACACTTTCTGAACCTTTAGAGCAAACTTTAAGGCTTGTAAATACATAGAACAAATATTTAAAAAGAGAAGGAAGAAATTGACTCGATAACTATTTCTTTTCACTTTCGGAAAATTATAAATAAAAAGAACAAAATAAAGAGGAACCTTGCAAGTTTACAACCCGAGCGGGCGGTGGATTTCTCTTTCGCTGTCATCCTCGCCTCTTCAGCATCAGAAGAGAGTGCCTTCGGTGGGCCAAACCTATATACTGCGCATGGGCCAACTTGGGCCTTCCCTCCAGGTGTTTTGGACTCCCAACTCCCACCATTCCTCACAGCCTCAGCCGCTTAAGATAGATGAGAGAGTGATAGACCTAAGAGAGGCCTACCTGCAGGTCCCAATGATAGACCTAAAAGAGGCCTACTTTCAGGTTCTGATAGATAGATAGATAGGTAGATAGGTAGATAGGTAGATAGAAGGATGGATGGCTGGATGGATGGATGGATGGATGGATGGATGGATGGATGGATGGATGGATAGACAGACAGAGAGACAGAGAGAGAGAGAGAGATAGAACACTTAAGCGAGTGAGGAGGAAAAGGGTTACCTGTGGCTGTTAGGAATGGTGGGAGTTGGAGTACCGTGTCCTTGGCGTTGCCCTATGGGAACTCATTTCTGAGGTCTAGACCGAGTACCAGAAAATCCTCATGGACATGACTTCCCTGCCCTGTCTCAGAAAAGTGTGCTTTCAGTGGGAAAATTGACATAAGAGTAGTGAGTAGGAATACTATTGAGTTGAAGTTGTGATTAGCAGTAGTAAGTAGTCGCAGATAGTGTCCCGGCATTGAATGTTTGCTGTGTATATGCTGTGCTCCGCCCTGAGTCCCCTTCGGGGTGAGAAGGGTGGAATATAAATGTTTTAAATAAAATATAAAATAATTTAGTAAGTAGTAGTTGTAGTCACAAGTAGTCGTGATTACCAGTAGTGAATAGTCGCAGTAGTGATTAGTAGTCATAATTAGTCATAGTAGTTTTGAGTAGCAGTAGTGAGTAGTGATTAGTAGTAAGTAGACACAGTAGTGAGTAGCGATTCGTAGTCATAGTAGTAGCGATTCGTAGTAATAAGTCAGTTGTGAGTAGTAGTCGCAGTAGTGATTAGGCTTCATTAGTAGGTGTAATTATTAGTTGTAAGTAGTGAGTAATGATTAGTAGTTGTAGTGATTAGTAGATGGGTTGTTGTAGGTTTTTTCAGGCTATATGGCCATGTTCTAGAGGCATTCTCTCCTGACGTTGAAGATGAACAGTCTTCAAGGGCAGCCCCACATAGAGCGTGTTGCAGTTGTCTATCCTGGATGTCACCAGATTAGTAGATGTATTAATAAGTTGCAGTAGTGAGTAGCCACAGTAGTGAGTTGTGATTAGCCTTGATTAGTAGTGAGTAGTAGCAGTGAGTAGTGATTAGTAGTTGTCATTAGTAGTGATTAGTTTTCATTAGTAGTTGTAATTAATTGTTAAGTAGTGAGTAGTGATTAGTAGTTGTCGTGATTAGATGTATTAAGTTGCAGTAGTAAGTAGGCACAGTAGTGAGTTGTGATTAGCCTTGATTGAATAGAAGCAATGAGTAGTGATTAGTCGTTGTCATTAGTAGTCGTGAGTAGTGCTTAGTATCATAGTGAATAGTAGTCATGATTAGTCATAGTTGCAGTAGTGATTAGTAGTAGTAATTAGTCGTAGTAGTTGGTAGTCCTAGTGGTGGTTACAGTACGTAACAAGATTTGAAAATTCTAGTGTTCTTGGTTTGCAGGTGTGATTTCCTGTTTCCTTAAGCGGTCCTCCCTTTGAAAGGTGTTGTTCTACTCCAAACTTGGTGGCTGCCACAAACTATGCTGAATGGGAACACAGTGATGCGACATCTATTTATTTCTTAATGTAATATTTATTGTATCCTCCTTGGCCTGCCCCAAAGGCTTGGTCCCACCACCATCCTTCTGACATTGCCAGGACTTACTTACTTACTTACTTAGGCGATCCCTCATTGGCCGAGTAGGATAGTCTTCCAGGATCAGTATTCTTGTGGATCCGTAGGTGACTGTGGGTTGATCCTTGACCTGCATCTTCTCCCGCAATGAGGGCATTGGTTTCCAGGTGGAAGGCGGTCTCCGTCGGGGTTGGCTTGATGCGCCTTCCTCTTGGCACGTTTCTCTCTTTCACCCTCCATTTGTGCCTCTTCAAATTCTACAGCACTGCTGGTCACAGCTGACTTCCAGCTGGAGCGCTCAAGGGCCAGGTCTCAGTGTCTATGCCACAGTTTTTAAGGTTGGCTTTGAGCCCATCTTTCACTCTCTTTTCCTGCCCACCAACATTCAGTTTTCCGTTCTTGAGTTCGGAATAAAGAAACTGCTTTGGGAGATGGTGGTCGGGCATCCGGACAACATGGCCGGTCCAGCGGAGTTGATGGCGGAGGACCATGGCTTCAATGCTGGTGGTCTTTGCTTCTTCCAGCACGCTGACGTTTGCCTGTCTTCCCAAGAGATTTGCAGGATTTTCCGGAGGCAGCGCTGATGGAATCGTTCCAGGAGTAGAGTGTAACGTCTGTAGACAGTCCACGTTTCACAGGCGTAGAGCAGGGTTGGGAGGACAATAGCTTTATCAACAAGCATCTTGGTCTCCCTACGGATGTCCTCAAACACTCTGCTTTATTTGGAAGCTTCATTGCCAGGAAGGGAGATCCATAACTGCGGGGCCACCACCAAGAAGGCCCTGTCTCTCTTTTGTCCCTGCCAAGCACGCCTGTGACGGTGGCAGAACCGAGAGCAGGGCCTCCCCAGAAGATCTTAGTCTTTGCAATGGTTTGTAAAGGGAGATACGTTGGGACAGGTAAACTGGGCCGGGGCCGTTGAGGGCTCAATAGGCCAAAGCCAGCACTTTGAATTGTGCCTGAATTGTTAGCGGACTGGAGCTGGTGAAACATGGGAGTCGTGTGCTCCCTTTGTGCCTCCCCACATATTAATCTGGACTATTTGAAGCTTCTGAACAGTCTTCAAGGGCAGCCCCACATAGAGCGTGTTGCAGTAGTCCACCCAGGGTGTCACCAGAACATGGACCCACTGTGGCCAAGACTAGCATCCCGTATGCTCCCTGTGTGCCACCCCACTTAATAACCTGGCTGCCTCTCTTTGGACTATTTGAAGCTTCTAAACAGTCTTCAAGGACAGCCCCACATAGAGCGTGTTGCAGTAGTCTATCCTGGGTGTCACCAGAAYGTGGACCCACTGTGGCCAAGTCTGGCATCCCAAGTATGCTCCCTGTGTGCCACCCCACTTATTAACYTGRMTTGCCTCTCWYTGGASTATTTGAAGCTTCYRASCAGTCTTCAAGGGCWGCCCCACATAGAGCGTGTTGCAGKAGTAGTCYATCCTGGGTGWCACCAGAACGTGTTGTAGTAGTCTATCCTGGATGTCCCCACTRTGGCCAAGTCTGGCATCCCAAGTATKCTCCCTGTGTGCCACCCCACTTRTTAACMTGGCTGCCTCTCATTGGACTATTTGAAGCTTCCGAACAGTCTTCAAGGGCAGCCCCACATAGAGCGTGTTGCAGTAGTAGTCTATCCTGGGTGACACCAGAGTGTGGATTCACTCTGGCCAAGTCTGGCATCCCAAGTGGCATCCCTCTGTGTGCCACCCTACTTATCAACCTGGCTGCCTCTCATTGGACTATTTGAAGCTTCTAAACAGTCTTCAAGGGCAGCCCCAACATAGAGCGTGTTGCAGTAGTCTATCCTGGATGTCGGCCCCCCCCCCCCAAGGTAATGGCACGACCCTCCAGGAAGGCCCAGAGCCACAGCAGAACAGTTCCCTCAAGGCCCATCCCCGCCAGGSGACCCAATTGGGCCCTCCCTCCCTCCAGGGCCTTTGGACTACAAYTCCCATAATTCCTCGCAGCCGGAGGGGGCCCAGGCCTGGCCTCTCCTCATTCTCGACGCGCCTGAGGAGGGATTTCCTGCCAACCGTCCAATTGGGGGTTTTAAAAACCACTTCCGGTTTTCCCTCAAAGGAGGAGGGAAACAAAAAGCCAACTTCCGTTTCCCGCCAAGGGGAGGGTGACGGTTGGGCCTCGCGCCTGCGCACCACGCCTTTCTCCTTACGCGCGCATGCGCACCGCGCCCCCTCCCTAGGCCTGACTGTTTTTGTTCAAGAGGAGGCGAAGGCGACGGGTTTCCTCGAAGCTGATTGGCTCCCGGCTCGGCGGCGGCAGGGCTGGCGGGGCTCCCATTGGCTGTCGCCTCCCACCGGGCCCCGCCTCTTCCGCCGCGTCTTCCCTCAGAGCCGTCTCTGGCTTGTGTCGTCGTCGCCGCCTTCCTTCCTTCGTTCTGCGCCATCGCCGAGAGAGAGGGACCGAGAGAGAGGCAGGCCGGTCGCCGGGAGGGTGAGTGCCCGGAGGCGGTGAGTGGCAGGGGGCGGGGCTATGCTAATATCATGCAAATGCGCCCAGTCGGGTTGCCTGAGGAGGGCCTTGTGGCCACGCCCACCCGAGGGGGAGAGCTGTCAATCACCTTGCCTTAGCCCCGCCCCCAGGTAGGCCTCACTCCAGCCTTAGCCTGACTACTGTCATTGTTATGTTCATCTATTATGTTGTACTATTACTTTTGCATTATTATCATTATTATTTAAAGTGAGTATTATATTTTATTATTATTCTTTAAAGTGCATTTTATAATTCACTATTATTACTTTTGTCTCTGTTATTATTGAAAGTGCTTAGACCAGGCTTGGGCCTTCTTCCCTCCAGGTGTTTTGGACTCCAACTCCCACAATTCCTGGCAGCCCCAGGCCCTTTTCTCAGTGGCACTCTTTATATACTCTCCTGATTTTAGAGTTTTTAAAAATGCGGGTGAATGTTGCAATTGGCCACCTTGATTAGTAGTAATGGCCTTGCAGTTTCAAGGCCTGGCTGGTTGCTGCTCAGGGGGAAATCCTTGGTTGGGAGGTGTTAGCTGGCCCAGGTTGATTCTTGCCTGGAATTGCCGTTTGCTGAGTGTCCCACTTTATTAATTCTCCTGAAATACGGGATAATGTTGCAATTGGCCACCTTGATTACTAGTAATGGCCTTGCAGTTTCAAGGCCTGGCTGGTTGCTGCTCAGGGGGAAATCCTTGGTTAGGATTTCCCCCTGAGCTGTGAGAGCTGTTCAGCAGTGGAACTCTCTGCCCCGGAGTGTGGTGGAGGCTCCTTCTTTGGAAGCTTTTAAACAGGGGCTGGATGGCCATCTGTCAGGGGTGATTTGAATGCAATATTCCTGCTTCTTGGCAGGGGGTTGGACTGGATGGCCCATGAGGTCTCTTCCAACTCTTTGATTCTATGATTCTAGGAGGTGTTAGCTGGCCCTGGTTCATTCTTGCCTGGAATTCCCGTTTTCTGAGTGTCCCACTTTATTTACTCTCCTGATTTTAGAGTTTTTTAAAATACGGATGAATGTTGCAATTGGTCACCTTGATTAGTAGTAATGGCCTTGCAGTTTCAAGGCCTGGCTGGTTGCTGCTCAGAGGGAAATCCTTGGTTGGGAGGTGTTAGCGGGCCCTGGTTGATTCTTGTCTGGAATTATGGTTTTCTGAATGTCGCACTTTATTTATTCTCCTAAAATACGGGAAAAGGTTGCAATTGGCCACCTTGATTAGTAGTAATGGCCTTGCAGTTTCAAGGCCTGGCTGATTGCTGCTCAGGGGGAAATCCTTGGTTGGGAGGTGTTAGCTGGCCCTGGTTGATTCTTGCCTGGAATTCCCATTTTCTGAGTGTTCCACTTTATTTACTCTCCTGATTTTAGAGTTTTTTAAAATACGGGTGAATGTTGCAATTGGCCATCTTGATTAGTAGTAATGGCCATTACTAAGGAAGGGGCCTGATGCTGTGAGGAATTGTGGGAGTTGGAGTCCAAAACACCTAAAGGGAAGGCCCAAGTTTGCCTATGCTTGGCTTCGACCATTGTTTGTCTCCCTTTTGGAGCTCCCTCAACCAATTCCAGTTGCAAACACTGAAGCCTCGGCCCTCTTGGATCCTATTTGGGGAGGTAGATCAATAATAACCATCATCATCATCACAGCTGGCATTTGGAAACAATAAACATTGACAAAATCACGGTCAACTGCAAAAGGCCACCTGACTTGGATCTGCGAGGTTCACTCAAAAATACATCACACAGTCCTAGATGCTTGGGAAGTGTTCGGCTTGTGTTTTTGTGATACGAAATCCAGCATATAGATCTTGTTTGCTGTGACATACTGAGCTTTTGTATCAATAATAATAATAATAATAATATAGGTTTGCATAGATTTGCTGTGAGATTTCCAGATTGTATGGGCATGTTCTGGAAGCATTCTGTCCTGACATTTCGCTCCCTCTGTTCTATAAAATCAGAACAGTAAATAAAGAGCGACACTCAGAAAATGGGCAAGAATTCAGGCAAGAATCAACCAGGACCGGCTAACACCTCCCAACAAAGGATCCCTCCCCCCGGGCAGCAACCAGCCAGGCCTTGAAACTGCAAGACCATTACTACTAATCAAGGTGGCCAATTGCAACATTCACCCGTATTTAAAAACACTAAAATCAGGAGAGTATATAAAGAAGGATACTCAGAAAACAGAGGAATTCCAAACGAGTGACACTCAGAAAACGGGGGAATTACAGGCAAGAATCAACCAGGGCCGGCTAACACTTCCCAACAAAGGATCCCTCCTCCCCTGGGGAGCAACCAGCCAGGCTTTGAAACTGCAAGGCCATTACTAATCAAGGTGGCCAATTGCAACATTCACCCGTATTTAAAAACGTTAAAATCAGGAGAGTATATAAAGAGGGACACTAAAAAAACAGAGGAATTCCAGGCAAGAATAAAGCAGGGCCAGCTACCACCTTCCAACAAAGGATTGAGCATTGAATTTTGCTATTGTTAACTGCTTTGAGTTGCCCAGGGGTTGAGAAAAGCAGTATAAAAATGAAGTAAATAAGTAAATGAATAAATAAATTTATTTCAGAGCAGCAACCAGCAGACCTTGAAACTGCAAGGCTATTAAGTGCTGGTCAAGGTGGCCGATTGCAACATTCACCCGTATTTAAAAGCAAAAGCGACCCATAGAACAAAAGACGTTAAAATACCTACAACATAACAGAATAAAAACAAATTGTGTTGAAGCTCCATCAGACAAGATTCAACAAAAACCAGTGACCAGGATGACTAAAATAGGTGTGACCAAGCTATAAGAAGGGTGGGCAAGGGATAGTGCAAACAGCGTACCATAAGGACAGGGAAGTGCCAAACTGTCTGGCGACCTAATAATAATAATAATAATACTTTATTTATACCCCACTACGATCTCCCCAAGGGACTCAGTGCGGCTTACATGAGGCCAAGCCCACAGTACATCAGTAAACAAAGGCAATAACAAAACAATCAGTACAAAAACAGTTAATATAAATCTCATAAACAAAAAATAAACAATAACAATGACACACAAGCATTTAAAAATCTATGGCCGGGACAGGCATTTATAACTAGAGACTAGGTGGGTCCTGAAGAAGCGCCTCCAACGCTCTTGCCAGAGATGTCCCCTGGCCTCCAGTCCCGTGAGAAAGGCGAGAGTTTAAATTTTGGAGAATACAACCCTTTGGTTTTGGTAGACACTCTTCAGGCCTCCCCGTAAGAATGCGGGGAAAGCACCCTGGCGCCTTCCCTCCTTTCTCTCCTGTTTCCCTGGGAAATGTGGCCCCGAAGAAGACCCTTTTATCACTACTTGTTGGGCGCAGGAAGGGAGACAAGTGCATATGTATGCATGTAGATATAACACGATGTGACACTATCGTTTCCGTTCCTGGGTTATCAATGCCACTTCCTAATTGGTGCTATTGTAAAAACACGGGGAAAGTTCATCGAATGGCAAAGCCTTTGATATTTTCACAAATGAAGTGCCTAGACCAGGCATGGGCCAACTTGGGCCCTCCCTCCAGGTGTTTTGGACTCCAACTCCCACCATTCCTAACAGCCGGTAGGAGTTGGAATCCAAAACACCTGGAGGGAGGGCCCAAGTTGGTCCATGCCTGCTTTAAACCCACTGGGCCGTGGTCTGGATGGCCTTTGGGGTGCCTCCCGCGGCCGTGATTTCCTGATGACGTTGAGTTGTTTTTCCTTTTGTTTTCCTTCCGCAGGTTCCCTCTCTAGGGAGGTAGATGTGAAGTTTTCTTTCCGTTGTTTTGTTTTCTCTTCTTCTTCTGTTCTCCTTCTCCCCCTTTTCCCGTTCCCTTTTTGTTCACACCAAGTCTTTTCTGCACTTCAGGTTGTTAGGAAGTCTTCCTTCCCCCCCGCTTGAGGTTAAAAACCTGGGGGCTCCAAAAAGTGTTAACCCTCCTCCCGTTGGGGGCTAGAGCTTAATTTAAATGGCGACCGATCTGTCCGACGCTGACCCCGGCGCAGGCCGTAAGGCGCTTCCACTCTTAACGGGAGCTCCCCCGGACAAGTTGAGCGAGGTAGGGGCCGACCCTTCCCCGGGCGACGGATGGCCCTCGGACTGCGGCTCCCGAGGGCCCCGCTCCTCTCTTCCTCCTCCTCCTCCTCCTGCTTCTCGGAGTCTCTCTCTCTGCCTTTTGAGCCCCAGCGGAAGCAGGATGCTGGACACTGCGCTCGCTCGCTCTCTTTCCTGCATGAGCCTCGAGGCGCTTACGTGCACGGGCCGGCCTTGAGCGGCCCGCGGTGGCAGTGGGGCCTTCTCTTTGGACGGGGAGCCGCACCCGCGCCTGCCCCTCCCTGACCCCTAGGCGCCCCACCTCCCTCCCCTTCTCTCTCCCTCAGGCCCTCGAAGACGGCACCATGCCAATCCGCCGGGCTGTGAACGCTTCCACGCGGGAAACGCCTCCCAAGAGCAAGCCGGCCGAAGGCGAGGAGGCCAAGCCAGGTAAATAATTAAAATTTATTTATTTACCAGCACATGGCCCATGGACAAAAGGGAGGACTTCCTTCTACTGTTCTTGTGGGTCGCCCTCTCTGCGTGTGCTCTGTCCGTACGGCATGCTTTTTGTTTCCTGGTCCACATTGGTGCCTGTCTCCCTCTTTCCTTCTCCTTCCTTAGACCCTGATGCCAGTTCAGAGGAATCTGCCTCAACTGTGGAGGAGCAGGAGAGTGAGGTTCCGCCGCCCGCTGCCACAGCTGATCCCGCCACTGCTGCGGAGACAGAGCCTGCCAAGGAGTCCACCGAGGCCGAGGGAAAGGAAGAGGCCAAGCCCCCCGAGGAAGCCAAGAAGGAGTAAGGGAACCCGATTGCACTTTCCCTGCAGAAAGAAAGAAAGAAAGAAGCAGGTTGGGCTAGGTGGCCCAGGGGGTCTCTTCCCATCCTAGTATTGTTCTTGTTATTGAGGCTGAGTGGCCATCTGTCGGGAGGGCTTTGGTTGTGCCTTCCCTGCATAATGGCACATTGAGGTTGGACTAGATGGCCCTTATGGTCTCTTCCCACTCTGTTGTTGTTGTTGTTGAGGCTGGATGGCCCTGTGTCAGGAGAGCTTTGATGTTGTCTTTTCTGCATGGCAGATTGGGGTTGGACTAAATGGCCCTTGTGGTCTCTTCCGACTCTTGTGTTGTTGAGGCTGGGTGGCCATCTGCCAGGAGGGCTTTGATTATGCTTTTCCTGTATAATAGCATGTTAGGGTTGGACTAGATGGCCCTTATGGTCTCTTTCCACTTTATTATGCTTGTTATTGTTGAGGCTGGATGGCTGTTGGGAGGGCTTTGATTGTGCTTTTCCTGCATAATGACAGGTTGAGGCTGGACTAGATGGCCCTTATGGTCTCTTCCCACTCTGTTGTTTTTGAGGCTGGGTGGCCATCTGTCAGGAGGGCTTTGATGTTGTCTATCCTGCATGGCAGATTGGGGTTGGACTAGATGGCCCTTATGGTCTCTTCCCACTCTGTTGTATTTGAGGCTGGATGGCCATCTGTCAAATGGTCTTTCCTGCGTAATAGCAGATTGGGGTTGGACTAGATGGCCTATGTGATCTCTTCCCACTTTATTATTCTTACTCTTATTGTTGAGGCCGGATGGCCATCTGTCAAGACGGCTTTGATTGTGCTTTTCCTGCATAATGACATATTGGGGTTGGACCAGATGGCCATTATGGTCTCTTTCCACTGTTGTTGTTGAGGCTGGATAGCTTTGTCGTGAGGGCTTTGATGTTGTCTTTCCTGCATAATGGCAGATTGGGGTTGGACTAGATGGCTCTTGTGGTCCCTTCCCACCCTGTGATTCTATGACTCTACAAAGGAAGGAGATGGGGAGGAGGCTGCTTGGCTGCGTTTGATCCCTTTTCCTCCGCAAAGGGAGAAAGACCCTGCGAAAGACAAGGAGAAGAAAGTCAAGAAGACCATCCCCGCCTGGGCCACCCTTTCAGCCAACCAGCTTGCCCGGGCGCAGAAGCAGACCCACTTTGCGGCCTCCTCCCGCCCCAAGATGGATGCCATTTTGATTGAGGCCATCAAGGTGAGGAGGGTGGGCGGGGGCTGGTGGCACAAGACCCCCCCCCCTTGCCTGCCTCTTCCCACAACTGCCTCATGGGCTTTTCTCTCCCAGGCGTGCTTCCAGAAGGGTGGGGCCTCAGTGGTGGCCATCCGGAAATACATCATCAACAAGTACCCCTCGCTGGAGCTGGAGCGGAGGGGCTTCCTCCTCAAGCAGGCCCTCAAGAGGGAGCTGGCGCGGGGCGCCATTCGGCAGGTAAGAAATGCAGCCAGTCCAAAAGTATACGCACAACGGACACGAAGCCACAGAAGCCAGAAAGCAACAGGCCTCTGCTTTCCTCTCCTGCAGGTGAAGGGCAAAGGAGCCTCCGGGAGCTTCGTGGTGGGCCCAAACTCAGGGAAAACAGCCTCCAAATCCAGGGACCGGAAGGTAAGTCTGGAGCTCAGCCGTGTTTCCTATCATCCCCTGGGAAGCCCCTCTCTCTCCCTTCTCTGCAAGCGCTTCTGCCTTCCAGAAGAACTCCTCAGCCTCGGCTCCGGAGCCGGCGGTGAAGCTGGAGGATGTCCTGCCCTTGGCCTTCACCCGCCTCTGTGAACCCAAGGAGGCCTCCTACAGCCTGATCAAGAAGTACGTCTCCCAGTACTACCCCAAGCTCAAGGTGGACGTCAGGTCAGTGGCCAGTCATCTCCATTTGTATGGAATCGCTCTCCGTTTCCGTTTGTTTGCTTCGTAAGGCTCTGTTTGTGTTTGTGAGCACCTCTCCCGAAAATGGGGGCCTTTCCCGAAAGAGCGTTTTCGCTCAGGGTCCGAAAGATCAAAAATGTTCTGACCATTGGCTACAAGGTCCAGGACAAACATCTTAATTCAACTCCAACGTTGCTTCGTCTGGCTACAGATTCTGTACTTGAGACTTTTATCCCCTAATCTACTCTATCCCAAGCCACTAGAAAAGGATTTCTTTGCAGCCTTGATTCTCTTTATCAGTTTCTCTCTCAGCTTGGCAGAACGCCTAAGCAATTGGTGTGTTTGTCTGTTCTGTCTGAAAACATGCCTTCTATCTTCTGGCTCAAGGCGGTGTTTCCATAGAGACCTGCCCATTGAGAACTTCAGGCAGTCGGGGACACCAGGGCTCGGCTTCTGGAAAGCAGGAAGAGGGAGGCGCCCACTGTTTCCTCTTCCCACGCACCCCAAGAAAGTGACTTTAACCCCTTCCTTTCCCTGCCTTCCTTTAGACCTCAGTTGCTGAAGAATGCCTTACAGAGGGCTGTGGAGAAGGGCCAGCTGGAGCAGATCACTGGCAAAGGAGCTTCCGGCACTTTCCAGGTGAGACAGGAGCCCCCCCTGGTCTTGTGCGTGCCCTTCCAGCCGTTGGGGCCCCTTTTCACCCACCCTGCCCTGCCTGTCGTTGGCCTTGTTTCCCCTCCTCCCAGCTGAAGAGGTCCGGGGAGAAGCCTCTGCTGGGTGGGAGCCTGATGGAGGACGCCATCCTGTCGGCCATCGCGGCCATGAACGAGCCCAAGACCTGCTCCACCACCGCCCTCAAGAAGTACGTCCTGGAGAAGCACCCGGGGACCAACTCCAGCTTCCAGGGTAAGCAAGCCCTTCCTTCCCTGTTGGGCGAGTAGGCTTATTAACAAAAGACCCTCCTCATAAATGCACAGCAGAGTAACTTATTAGTTGTAGCGTGACCCACCACCACAAAAACAAAGACCAATGTAATCTCTTTCTTAGGAGCAAAATAATATGGTTGCACTATTTGCAACAACAAAGTTTCCATAAGCAAATACACAATGGTGTCACACACAGTATCCTTCACACTGAAGCTTTCTCACACTGAGGTTTACCTCACACTCCTCAGGACGACCCTTGCTTTGGCCCACTGACTGTAACAGGCTCTGACCTACTCACTTTTAGGCTGAATCCTGTTAGAGTTAGTAGGCCAAAGCTAGTGTCGTCCTGAGGAGAGTGAGGTAAACCTCAGTGTGAGAGAAGCCCCTGTGTGACAGCTGCTGCACGTAAAGTTACTGTGTATTTGTTTATTTGTGTTACGGAAACCTTGTTCTTGTTGGGCTGCTCCAGGATGCCTTCAGTTCACCTTGGCTGATTCTTTGCTAGTGAATGAGTACTTTCCTTCACGCCCTCTTTCTCTCCCATTGTTTCCCCGGCAGTCCATCTCCTGAAGAGGACCCTCCAGAAGTGCGAGAAGTTCGGCTGGATGGAACAGATCTCCGGGAAGGGCTTCAGCGGCACCTTCCAACTGTGCTTCCCCTACTACCCCAGGTCAGGGGCCACTGGGGTTTATGGAGGAACCTTCTGGAATGGGGAAGGGGCAGTTGTGGGGGGGGGGCAGAGTAACTTATACAGCAGAGTAACTTATTTGCAGCAGCATGACCCAGCACCAGTGGCCCAAAGTGATACCAAGAGCAAAAACACATAGACCAATTCTATCTCTTCCTTTGTAGTAAAATAATATGGTTGAACTATTTACAACAACAAAGTTTCCATGAGACAAAGAAAGCTTTTAACGCTTGCTTCTTTGCTTCCACGCTGGCCTTCTTTCTCATGCAGATAAACAGCTTCACTCTCACAGAGCCTCCTCTCACACTGAAATTACACAGGAATTTCACACAGTAGCCTTCACATACTGGAGCTTTACACAAGAGGCCTTCAATCTGGGGCTTCGTCCCATCAAAGCTTCTCACCAGACCCTCCTCACACTGAGGTCTCCCTCACACTGAGCCTTTCTCCCACTGAGGCCTTTTCAAACAGAGGCTTCTCCCACATTGAAAATTACACAGGAATTTCACACAGTAGCCTTCACACACTGGAGCTTCACACAGTAGCTTTACACAAGAGGCCTTCAATCTGGGGCTTCCTCCCACCTAAGCTTCTCACCAAACCTTCCTCACACGGAGGCCTCCCTCACACTGAGCCTTTCTCCCACTGAGGCCTCCTAAGCTACAGGCAAAGCTGCTTATATAGAGCGACAGCTTTTCCTGAGTCCTTGCACCCATTTCACCCTTTCAGTACTTGACTCACATTTTTGTAATTAAAAATACCTAGTTAATTTTTTGAACCGCCCTCTTCTCTTTCCTTTACTCCCGACCGCACAGCCCCGGGGTTCTCTTCCCGGAGAAACAGAAAGCAGCCCAGGATTCGGAGGAAGAGGAGTCCGATGAGGAAGAGGAGGAGTCTGAGGCCTCCGAGGAAGAGGAAGAGTCCGAGGAGGAGGAGCCGCCACCAAAGAAAAGGTATTGGAGGAGCATGGAGTGCTGAGGCGGCCCTTTCCAGTCCGGTCCTGTTGATTGACGCTCTGTCTTCTTTCCCCGGGCAGGATGCAGAAGCGGCCCCCTCCCAAGGCCCGGAACCGGCCCCCTGCCCTGGCCAAGCGGCGGGAGCGCAAGCCCAAGCCCCGCAAGGGCCCACCGCCCAAGGCCAAGCCCGCAGCCAAGGCTAAGCCCGCGGCCAAGCCAGCTCAAGCCCCGAAGGCCAAGGTCGCAGCCAAGGCACCCCCCGCCAAGAAGGCCAAGAAGCCCGGGGCCCCACCGCCGCCCCCTCCCCCTCCTCCCCGCCCGGCCCCCAAGAGCCTCTCGGGGAAGGGCCCCTCCACCAAGAAGAAGCCCCCGCCGGCTGTCAGCCCCAAGAAAGACCTGAAGGCCGCCAAGGGCAAGAAGGGGAAGCCCTCCATGCGGAAGTCCCTGCGCGCCAGGAAGTAGGCCTCCCTCCGCCTCTGGCAGAGAAGCGCCACGCAGCAACAACAACAACAACACCGCACAGTCGGTCGCTCTGGCGCTTCGGCCTCCCTCCTGGCCTCTTCCCTGCCTCCCTCCTTCCCTTTCCTGTCTTTTTCTCTCCTTCTTCTCTTCCTCCCCCTGACCCTTTTCCCGTCAAAACCAGAAACGTTGGACTGTTCTTTGAGAAGCAAAAAATGACAAAACACAAAAAAGGAGCAATCTGTACAGGGTGCATCTTGGAATTTTGGCTATTAAAAAATATGGTTGTGGAGATTTGTTTATTTCTGGCATGTTTCCAGCACTGAGCCCGCCAGCAGCGCAATGGGTTAACCCAGACCCGGGCAAAGTTGGGCAAAGGGTGGGAGTCGGGAGTTCAAAACACCTGGAGGGAATGCCGGAGTTTGCCGTCGTTGACTGGGTTTAGTGCTCTCTTGACAAGGGAGAACTGCAACTCCCAGATTCCCTGGGCAATCGCCCCCCAAACCCTGCAAGTATTCACAGTTGCCCATGTTGGGTCTGCGTGCCAAGTTTGGTCCGGATCTGATGTTGGTTGGGTTCAGTGCTTTCTGGATGCAGGTGAACTACGACTCCCAGACCCAAGGTCAATTCCCCCGAACTCCTGCAGTACATTCAGTTGGTCATGGGGCTTCTCTGTGCTATTGTCGGTGGGGGTCACTTTCTCTGGATGCAGGTGAACTATAACTCCCATATATGCTGGGGGAAATGGAAGGAAAAAGGAAGAGGGGCCGACCAAGGGCAAGATGAATGGATGGCATCCTTGAAGTGACTGGACTGACCTTGAAGGAGCTGGGGGTGGTGAAAGCCGACAGGGAGCTCTGGCGTGGGCTGGACCATGAAGTCATGAAGAGTCGGAAACAACAACAACACATAACTCCCATAAATGAACGTCAGTGTCCCTGAAACTTGTCCAGTATGTTCTGTTGTTTGTGGGGAGTTTGTGTGCCAAGTTTTGTCCCAGTCTGTAACTCGTGGGAGTTGCAGTGATCTGTAGGATCCGAATCGGGTGAAGGTACTTCAAATCCCATCATCCGTGGCCCATCTTCCATCAAACCGCTGCAGGACTTTAGTGCGTCATTGGGGGGGGGGTGTCTGTATGTCAAGTTTGGCCTGGGTCTGTCATTTGTGGGGGTCACTGTGGTCTCAGGAAGTTAGTGAAGGTACTGCAAGTCCCATAATCCCTGGTCCATCCTCCCCAAACTTCACCAGGATGTAAAGTGGGTCCTGGGGGGGCTCTGTGTGCCAGCTTTGATCCTGATCTGTCATTGGTGGCGGTAGCAGTGGTCTGTGGGAGCAGAAGCGATTAAAAGTACTGCAGATCCCATCCTCCAGGGTCCATCTTCTCCCCAATCTTCACCAGGACATGAGGTCGGTTGTGGGGGTTTTGTGTGCCAAGTTTGGTCCAGGTTAGGGTTACAGTCTTGTCATTTGTGGGGGTTGCAGTGGCCTGTCGGAGTGCCACAAGCACACATACAAATACTGACAATAATAATAATAATCATAATAATACCTTGTTCCTTATTCTTAAGACTCCGCCCTGGGCTTCCAAGGGGCATCCCTCCACCAGGGGCCCTTCTTGCCCCCTTTCCCACGGGGACCTTGCGCAGGGATCCCCTTGATGCTCCTCCCTGTGAGGATGCTGCTGCGCTCGAGGACAAAGCCCTCCCTCCAGCTTGGCATGGAGGGGGCATGGCTCCACCTTCCCGGCCTCCGATTGGCCAGCTGGGATACAGGGCTGGCAAAGGACCTGATGCTGATGCTGATGCTGCGGAGGCTTTTCTCTCCTCCTCTTCCTCCTCCTCCTCCTGCGATGGAGGCCCTTTTCGGGGATCCGGGCCGGCAAAGAGAGAAGAGGTCAAGCGCCGGAGGAGGAGGAGAAAATGTGCATAGAGTTTGGCCGCAGGTGAGGAAGAGGAGGCTGGTCCAGGTTCTCCTCTGAGAACGTGCAGAGTGCTTTTGCCCTTCTCCCAGGTGGCTGCTGCAGAGAGGAAGGCTCAGCATCAGTAACACTGAGACTGGGAGGAGAAGGGAAGGATGGATGGATGGATGGATGGATGGATGGATGGATGAGGCACCTTGATGGGTCCAAATCGTGTCTGGCCAATCTCTGTCTCTCCTTCTGTAGATGTAAGAAGATCCGAGGGACACATCTCTTTTTCCAGCCACGCCATGAAGAAGCAGGTGACCCTGATGGAGGCCCCTCGAGGAGGAGTCGGAGTCGGCGGAGGAGGAAGGGTCATCACCAAGGAAGCCCAGGTGGAGTGGCCACAAGATGGCAGAGGTCACAGCAGAGGTCATGGTGCATTAGTAGGTCAAGCACCCTAAGCGCTTGACCTGCGTGCAAACTGCTATATGTATTCTGATACGGTTGTTTCTCCTTCTTTGTGGTGCCTGTGAAATTGCACCTATGGCATTTCCGCTTTGGAACTTCACAGACAACCACACGAAGGAACAAGGTTCCAGGTAAGCAACCCTGACTTCTCTCCCTCTTCCTTCCTTCCTTCCTTGAAAGTACGTGGGATCCTTTGTGGTGGAAGAGGCCGAACTTCAGCAGAAGGCCCAGGCCATCCATGAGCAGCTCCACAAGCTCAAGGTGAGCTTTGCCCGTGCTCAGGGGGCAGTGGGATCCCTCGGGTTCTTCCACTTCTTCCCTTCCCAGGCTTCTCAATGTCCTCGTCCTTTGCTTCCTTCTTTCCTTTCTCTGGACCAAGGACTGTCCCCGGAGGAGGCCGGTGGCCCTCAAGTTCTGCCTGCAGGGAATCAAGATGTACAGCGCAGAAAAGGAGGTGCGGACAGGACGCCTCGTTTCTGAAACGTTGCTCACGCTGAGCCTGCCTCACTAGACTGTTGTGAGAACAGGACAATATATGGTTGTTGTTATTTTGCAAGGCAATGTGGGCCTGGGCTGAGAGGTCAAGGGAATATGCTGTTGTTGTCCAGAGATCGGAAATATATTTATTTATATTATTATAATATATTATTTATTTATTTATTTATTGTTGTTTTTATTGTTGTTTTTGTTATTGTTGTTTTTGTTATTATTATTTCTGCAAGGCAATGTGGGCCTGTGATGAGAGGTCAGGGAAATATGTTGTTGTTCTGAGGTCAGGGAAATATATTGTTGTTGTTGTTCAGAAATCAGGGAAATGTTGTTGTTGTTATTTCTGCAAGGCAACGTGAGCCTGTGCTGAGAGTTCAGAGAAGTATATTGTTGTTGTTGTCCAGAGGTCAGGTAAGTATATTGTTGTTGTTGTTGTTATTTCTGCAAGGCAACGTGGGCCTGCGCTGAGAGGTCAGGGAAAAACTGTTGTTGTTCAGAGGTCAGGGAAATATGTTGTTGTTTTTGTTGTTTCTGCAAGGCAATGTGGGCCTGTGCTGTGAGGTCAGGGAAATATATTGTTGTTCAGAGGTCAGGGAAATATATTGTTGTTCAGAGGTCAGGGAAATATATTGTTGTTGTTATTTCTGCAGGGCAATGTGGGCCTGTGCTGAGAGATCAGAGAAATATATTGTTGTTGTTGTTGTTGTTGTTATTTCTGCAGAGCAATGTGGGCCTGTGCTGAGAGGTCAGGGAAATATATTGTTGTTGTTCAGAGGTCAGCGAAATTTGTTGTTGTTGTTGTTGTTGTTGTTGTTGTTGTTGTTATTATTATTATTTCTGCAGGGCAATGTGGGCCTGGGCTGAGAGGTCAGGGAACGTTGTTGTTTGTGTAAGGCAGGGTGGGCTTGTGCTGGGCCCCATCTCTCTCTCTCTGTCTGCTCAGGTCCTGCTCATGGCCCACGCCTTGAGGCGCATCTTCTTCAGCACTTGCCGCCCGGCCGATGGCCAGTTCGCCTTTGTCTCCCGGAACCCGCGCAGCTCCCAGCTCTTCTGCCATGTGTTTGTGGGCAGCCAACCCTGCGAGGTGGGCAGGCGGGAGCTGTGTTTTGGTCAGTGGCCTTGGCTCTGATTGCCCGCCTTGGTACTCTAGCCCCTTGTGCCCCCCCCTCTCTCTGCCGCCAGGTCCAAGCGCTGCACTTGTTACTCTGCCGCTGCTTCCAGTTGTGCTTCCTGCGGCGGCACCCAGAAACCCAGGCCCAGCCCCCCGATGCCCAAGAGGCTGCCGCCGCCACCGTGGCCCCTGAGGTGGCAGGAGGGGGTCTGCTGGGGTCCCCGGTGCTGTGGGAGACCCTTGACCCGGAGGAGGTCTCCCAGAACGTCAATGCCCTCGTCTCCTTCCAGAGGCTCCTCCTCAGCCCCGCCGGCCTCGCCTCCTCCATCAGCGTGGTGAGTGGGACCCAGGGCACAGGGGTGGCCAGCAGGGAGGGGGGGCGCAAAGGTCAACCGGTCCAGCCACAGGAGAGAGAGATAAATTGAAAGATTCCAGAGTTGGAAGGGACCCCCCCCCCCAAGGGCCATTCAAGCTAACCCCTGAAGATAGATAGATAGATAGATAGATAGATAGATAGATAGATAGATAGAGATAGATAGATAGATAGATAGATAGATAGATAGATAGATAGATAGATGAAAGAGTGATAGAGCTGGACGGGACCTCCAAAGTCCATCCACTAAACCCAAAGGAAGGAAGGAAGGAAGGAAGGAAGGAAGGAAGGAAGGAAGGAAGGAAGGAAGGAAGGAAGGAAGGAAGGAAGGAAGGAAGGAAAGAAAATCATACAATTCTAGAACTGAAAGGATCCCCAAGAGCCACCCAGTCCAACCTCAGAAAGAAAAGAATGAAAGAAAGAAAAGAACGAACGAAAAGAATGAACGAACGAAAATAATGAAAAAATAAAAGAATGAAAGAAAGAAAAGAACGAACGGAAGAATGAAGGAACAGAAGAAAGAAGGATGAAAGAAAAAATGCAAGAAAAAAAGAACGAATGAAAGAAAAGAACAAATGAAAGAAAAGAATGAAAGAAAGAAAAGAACGAAGGAATGGAAGAAGGAATTGAAGAATGAGGAAGGAACTGATGAAAGAAAGAACAAACAAACAAGAAAGAACAAACGAAAGAAAGAACGAAATAAAGAAGTATGAAAGAAAAGAACAAAAGAATGGAAGAAAGAAGGAACGGAAGAAAGAAAAGAATGAAAGAAAGAAAAAACAAAGGAATGGAAGAATGAAGGAACGGAAGAACGAAGGAATGGAAGAACGAAGGAAGAGAAGAAAGAAGGAAGGAACGGGAGAAAGAAAAGAATGAAAGAACAAAAGAAAGAACAAATGAAAGACACAATTCTAGAGTTGGAAGAGACCGTCAAGAGCCATCCAGTCCAACCCCAGAGGCAATAAAGAGGGAAAGATTGCTTCCCTGGTTTCATTCCTTGTGCGCCTGGTGGCTCCTTGGGGAGGGTGGTTGACCCCAGTGCGCCTGGAGACAACCAAAGGCGCCCCCCCACCGCCTCACGGCCCTCTGCTGCCCTCCCGTGGGCTTGTTTTCTTTCCCTGGCCATTGCAGAGCTCCTTGTGTGTGAGTGTGTGTATGTCTCCCCCACTTTCAGAGTGAGCGGCTGGACCTGGAGGGCCAGGGCCGTGGGCGTGTGGGGGCTCCTGGCCCCGGGAACCCCTACTGCTCCCCGATCCTGGTGCGCAAGAAGGCCATCCGCAGCAAGATCCTGCGCTCCGGCGCCTACCGCGGCTGCACCTTCGATGTCCCCTTCCAGCCCTGTGCTCAGGAGACCCGTACGTATCCAAAGGGGGAGGGCGGGGAGCAGTCTGGGGTGCCCTTTTCTGGGAAGCTCACTTTCTGCCCTTTGCTCCAGTTCACCCCACCAGTCGAGACAACAAGGGGAGCAACAGCGCCACTGCACTTAGTTTGCCGGAAGACGAGAGCTCCCTGATGGAGGACGTCTGGTCCTTCGCCGGCATCGATAGGTGAGCTAGGAGGGATCCTTCCCACTCTAGAATCCTTCCTTCCTTCCTTCCCTCCTTTCTTGGGGTTGGACTGGATGTCCCTTGGGGTCCCTTCTGTGACCCACCTGTCCACCTGCAGGGAGGCCGGGATGGCGCTGCTCCGGAGGGACGTCCTGGGCGCCTTCCTCCTCTGGGCCGAGCCAGGCTCCTCCGACCAGTGGCGCCTCTCGGTGCGCACGCGCTGCGGGGTCATCCCTTACCAGATGTATCGGAGCCAGGTCGGGTCCTTCTCGGTGGAGGTGAGGCACATGTCGCTCTACAGTGGGAGGGACATCTGCCGGGAGGGTTCTGATTGTGGCAGAAGGGGTTGAGCTGGATGTACTTTAAAGATCCCTTCCAATTCTAGGAGTCTATCATCTCACACACAATCATATCTATCTATGGGTGGTGTCTATTTCCCTATGTCTGAATGGCCATCTATCAGAAGGGATTTGATTGTATTCACGTGCCTGGGAATGGCGTAGGACTGAATGACCCTTGGGGTCTCTTCCAAACATAGGATTGTTAGATCTATCTATCCATCCACCCATCCATGTCTCTTGGGAGGGATTTAATTGTGGGTTCCTGCAGGATTAAGGGGTTGGACTGGATGGCCCTTGGGGTCCTTTCCAGCCATAGGATTGTATGATATATCTATCACCTCTTTCTGTTATCTATGTATGTATCTATCCATCCATCCAGTCTGTCAGTCTGTCCTATCTATCTTTCTATCTTTCTATCTTTCTATCTTTCTATCTTTCTATCTTTCTATCTATCTATCTATCTATCTATCTATCTATCTATCTATCCATCAATCATCTAACCAATCTATCTATCCATCTATGAATCCATCCATCCATCATCTAATCTATCTATCTATCTATCTATCTATCTATCTATCTATCTATTCATCAATCATCTAATCAATCTATCGATCTATCCATCCATTAAGTCTGTCCTATCTATCTGTCTATCTATCCATCCATCCATCCATCCATCATCTAATCTATCTATCAATCTATCCATCCATCCAGTCTGTCAGTCTGTCCTATCTACCTATCTAGCCATCCATCCATCATCTAATTTATTTATCTATCTATCCATCTATCCATCCATCCAGTCTGTCAGTCTGTCCTATCCATCCATCCATCATCTAATCCAGTGCTTCTCAACCTTGGGTCCTCAGATGTTTTTGGCCTACAATTCCCAGAAATCCTAACAGCTGGTAAACTGGCTGGGATTTCTGGGAGTTGTAGGCCAAAAACATCTGGGGACCCCAGATTGAGAACCACTGATCTAATCAATCTGTCTATCCATCCATCCATCCATCCAGTCTGTCAGTTTGTCCTATCTATCTATCTATCTATCTATCTTCATCATCATCATCATCTATCTATCTATCTATCTATCTATCTATCTATCTATCTATCTATCTATCTATCTATCTATCTATCATTTAGCTATCTGCCTGTCCATCCATCCATCCATCCATCCATCCATCCATCCATCCATCCATCCATCGTCTAATCAATCTATCCATCCATCCTTCCAGTCAGTCAGTCAGTCAGTCTGTCCTATCTATCTATCTATCTATCTATCTATCTATCTATCTATCTATCTATCTATCTATCTATCTATCTATCCATCCATCCATCCAGTCTGTCAGTCTGTCCTTCCTTCCTATCTATCTATCCATCTATCTATTTATCATCTTATCTATCTACCTATCCGTCCATCCTTCCAGTCAGTCCGTCTGTCCTATCTATCCATCTATTCATCCAGTCTGTCCTATCTATCTATTTCTCCATTCATCCATCCACCCTTCCTTCCTTCCTATCTATTGGGAGGGGGGCGTTGATGGTGGGTTCCTGCAGAATGATGGGGTTGGGCTGGATGACCCTTGGGACCCCTACGGTGATCTCCCTGGGATTTGTTCCTTGCGGTGGGTGTGGAGAGGGCTGAGCTGCCCACCCACTCTTCCTCTCCTCCTTCCGCAGCACCTGAACGCAGCCTTCCCCAGCATGGAGGCCCTGCTGGAGCACTACGCCGGCACTCAGGGTGGCCTCTTCTGCTCCTTGGAGTCTGGACGGGTCAACCACTGCTTCCAAGAAGAGGAAGAGGAGGAAGAGGAGGCGGTGGTCATCCCGAGGGGGGTCCGGGGACGGCGCAAGGCCTCCTGGCTGCAGGCGGGCAGCAAGTCCCTGGCCGTGGGCCTATAGGAGAAGCAGAAGGGAATCATAATAATCTATTTTCAATAGACTCAACCTTCCCCGTGGGACTCCTCAGGCCGCAGCAAATGGCTGCCTCTTCCTGGTGTGTCAACTGTGAATCGCCCCTCAAACCCTTTCCTGTTCTTCTAGAAATTCAGGGATTTGCCAAGATGTCTATACTTCAAAGAGAACCCCAAAGAGAGATGGAAGCTTGGCTACTACCATCGTGATCTTTTGTTGGCCTTTCCCTTTGCTGCTATTCAACCATCTATATTTATGCCCGTATGAATAGAGAAATATATCATTATATTATATTATATTTTTATCGTTGGGAAGCGAATTCTATGGGAGAGGCCAAATGGGGAAAGGATAATAATAATATTATTGTTAATTATTATTTGCATTGTGTCAATAAGATTATTATTATTTGCATTATGTCAATAAATTATTATTATTTGTATTGTGTCAATAAGATTATTATTATTTGTATTGTATCCATAAGATTATTATTATTTGCATTGTATCTATAAGATTATTATTTGTATTGTATCAATAAGATTATTATTATTTGCATTGTATCAATAAGATTATTATTATTTGCATTGTATCCATAAGATTATTATTATTTGCATTGTTTCAAAAGATTATTGATTTTATTGGCATTGCGTCAATACGATAATTATTATTATTTGTATTGTATCAATAAGATTATTATATGTATTGTGTCAATAAGATTATTATTGATTATTATTTGCATTGTGTCAAGATTATTATTATTATTTGCATTGTATCAATAAGATCATTATTTGCATTGTGTCAATAAGATTATTATTATTTGCATTGTGTAAATAAGATTATTGATTATTATTTGCATTGTATCAATAAGATTATTATTATTATTATTTGCAGTGTGTCAATAAGATTATTATTATTTGCATTGGGTCAATAAGATTATTATTGATAATTTTTTGCATTGTATAAGATTATTATTGATTATTATTTGCATAGTATTGATAAGATTCCTGGTTTCTAATTATTATTATTATTATTATTATTATTATTATTATTATTATTATTATTATTCCCCTGCTTTGTTCTTTATTTGGGCCTTTTGCCAGTTTTTTCTCAAAGGGAATTCAACCTGCGTGTGCTTACGCTTTGATGGATGATAAATATTATATATTTTGAATGTAAATCGTGAAAATATATCTCTATTTTAAACGTTTCAGTAGCCAGTCCATTTTAGAGCCTTATTTGGGGGGCCTGAGGGGCCACCACGGCCTAGCCATTCTCCAAACGAACCCCACAGGTGTATAAAATCCACATTGGCATTGTGGACACAGATAATCCCCTTTTAAGTCGATCCTGTGGTATTCCGGGTTATATGGCTGTGTGGAAGGGCCTGTCTTCACTTTAGCCAAGGCTTCGTTTTGGAAGGTGAAGCGCTAGGCCTGAGTCTACCGCGTAACCATAGCAACGCAGGTGTCGGAGCGCAAAGGGGAAAAAAAGGAGAAGCGGCGATTGGCTGTCGGCAGAACGAGGGGCGTGGCCTCGCCGGACGTGAGGCCGAGTTGTCCGCCTCTCATTGGGCGAGGTGCGCGCGCAGCTCGCTTCCGCGGAGGCCGCTCCTGATTGGCTGGGACCCGGCTTCCGGCGCTCGCTGATTGGAGAAGGTTGGAGGAGAAGGAAAATGGCGGCGGCGGCGCTCCTGAGGTGGAAGGTGGTCGTGATTGTGGCGGTTTCGTCGGGCCTGGTGGCCGGAGGAGGGACGCGGACCCTGGTGCTGCTGGAGAACCTCAACCTACGAGACACGCACTCGCTCTTCCTGCGCAGCCTCGCAGGTCGGCTCCATCTCTCGGTCATATCTGGATGGCCATCTGTCGGGAGGGCTTTGATTGTGCCTTACTCTATTACAGAACTGGGTTGGACTTGATACCCTCTATAATAATATATCTATCATATATATGTGTGTGTGTATATATTGATCATATCTGTCATATCTGGATGGCCATCTGTCGGGAGGGCTTTGTGCCTTACTCTATTACAGAACTGGGTTGGACTTGATACCCTCTGGGGCCTCTTCCAACTCTGTAATACTACATCTGACGTGTGTGTCTGTATGTATATATATTGATCATATCTATCTATCAAATCTGTATGGCCATCTGTTGGGAGGGCTTTGATTGTGCCTTATTGTATTACAGAACTGGGTTGGACTTGATACCCTCTGGGTATCAACTATAATAATATATCTATCATATATATGTGTGTATATATATATTGATCATATCTGGATGGCCATCTGTCTGTAGGGCTTTGATTGTGCCTTACTCTATTATAGGACTGGATTGGACTTGATACCCTCTGGGGCCTCTTCCAACTCTGTAATACTACATCTGACTTGTGTATGTGTGTGTGTGTGTGTGTATATATATATATTGATCATACCTATCTATCATATCTGGATGGCCATCTGTTGGGAGGGCTTTGATTGTGCCTTACTGTATTACAGAACTGGGTTGGACTTGATACCCTCTGGGTATCAACTATAATAATATAGTTTATCATATATATGTGTGTGTATGTGTATGTATATATTGATCATATCTGTCATATCTGGATGGCCATCTGTTGGGAGGGCTTTGATTGTACCTTACTGTATTACAGAACTGGATTGGACTTGATACCCTCTGGGGCCTATTCCAACACTATGATACGTCATCTGTCATATGTGTGTGTGTGTGTATATATATAATATCTATCTATTATATCTGGATGGCCATCTGTCCAGAGGGCTTTAATTGTGCATTACTCTGTTATAGAACTGGGTTGGACTTGATACCCTCTGGGCCCTCTATAATAATATATCTATCATATATATGTGTATGTGTATATATTTATAATATCTGTCATATCTGGATGGCCATCTGTCTGTAGGGCTTTGATTGTGCCTTACTGTAGTATCAAGTCCAACTGATTGTGCCTTACTGTAGTATCAAGTCCAACTGGGTTGGACTTGATACCCTCTGGGGCTCTTCCAACTCTGTAATACTACATCTGACTTGTGTGTGTGTATGTATGTATATATATTGATCATACCTATCCATCAAATCTGTATGGCCATCTTTTGGGAGGGCTTTGATTTTGCCTTACTGTATTACAGAACTGGGTTGGACTTGATACCCTCTGGACCCTCTATAATAATATATCTATCATATATATATGTGTGTGTATATATTGATCATATCTGTCATATCTGGATGGCCATCTGTCTGGAGGGCTTTGATTGTGCCTTACTCTATTATAGAACTGGGTTGGATTTGATACCCTCTGGGGCCTCTTCCAACTCTGTAATACTACATCTGACGTGTGTGTCTGTATGTATATATATTGATCATATCTATCAAATCTGTATGGCCATCTGTTGGGAGGGCTTTGATTGTGCCTTACTCTATTACAGGACTGGGTTGGAGTTGATACCCTCTGGGTCCTCTATAATAATATATCTATCATATATATGTGTGTATATATATATTGATCATATCTGGATGGCCACCTGTCTGTAGGGCTTTGATTGTGCCTTACTCTATTATAGGACTTGGTTCGACTTGATACCCTCTGGGGCCTCTTCCAACTCTGTAATACTACATCTGACTTGTGTGTGTGTGTGTGTGTGTGTGTGTATATATATTGATCATACCTATCTATCATATATGGATGGCCATCTGTCCAGAGGGCTTTGATTGTGCCTTACTGTATTACAGAACTGGGTTGGACTTGATACCCTCTGGGTTCTGTATAATAATATATCTATCTCATATATGTGTGTGTATATATATTGATCATATCTGTCATATCTGGATGGCCATCTGTCCGTATGGCTTTGATTGTGCCTTACTCTATTATAGAACTGGGTTGGACTTGATACCCTCTGGGGCGTCTTCCAACTCTGTAATACTACATCTGGCATATGTGTGTGTGTATATATATATATTGATCATACCTATCTATCATATCTGGATGGCCATCTGTTGGGAGGGCTTCGATTGTGCCTTACTGTATTACAGAACTGGGTTAGATTTGATACCCTCTGGGGCCTCTATAATAATTTATCTATCATATATATGTATGTATTGATCATATCTATCATATCTGGATGGCCATCTGTCAGGAAGGCTTTGGTTTTGCCTTATCTATTACAGAATTGGGTTGGACTTGATACCCTCCGGGTCCTCTTCCAACTCTGTAATACTACATCCAACATATATGTGTATGTGTGTACGTATATATTACTGATCATACCTATCTATCAAATCTGGATGGCCATCTGTTGGGAGGGCTTCGATTGTGCCTTACCGTATTACAGAACTGGATTAGATTTGATACCCTCTGGGGCCTCCATCATAATATAGCTTATCATATATATATGTGTGTGTGTGTGTATGTATATATTGATCATATCTATCAAATCTGGATGGCCATCTGTTGGGAGGGCTTTGATTGTACCTTACTGTATTACAGAACTGGGTTGGACTTGATACCCTCCGGGGCCTCTTCCAACTCTGTGATACTTCGTCTGTCATATGTGTGGTGTGTGTTTGTATATATATTGCAAAAGGGGCTTGAATTTGATACCCTTTGGGGCCTCCATAATAATATATCTTATCACACGCACACACACACACACACACATATATATAGTAACCTACGGATGTGAGAGCTGGACCTTAGGGAAGGCTGAGCGAAGGAAGAGAGATGCTTTTGAGCTGTGGTGCTGGAGGAAAGTGCTGAGAGTGCCTTGGACTGCGAGAAGATCCAACCAGTCCATCCTCCAGGAAATAAACTCACTGGAGGGAAGGAGACTAGAGACAAAGTTGAAGTCCTTTGGCCACATCATGAGGAGACAGGAAAGCCTAGAGAAGGCAATGATGCTGGGGAAAGTGGAAGGCAAAAGGAAGAGGGGCCGACCAAGGGCAAGATGGATGGATGGCATCCTTGAAGTGACTGGACTGACCTTGAAGGAGCTGGGGGTGGTGACGGCCGACAGTGAGCTCTGGTGTGGGCTGGTCCATGAGGTCACGAAGAGTCGGAGACGACTGAACGAATGAACAACAACATATATATATATATATAATCAATATCATATCATTGACTGGATGGCCATCTGTTGGGAGGTCTTTAGTCGTGTCTTTTTGCATTGCAAAAGGGGGTTGGAGGGGTGAACATTGTGATGGTCGTTTCCACAGGCCTTTGTTTTGGGCACCTTCAGGTCTCAGGTTGGCAGCCCGCTTTGTCGTTGTCGTTTCCATTGTGTGAAGGGCTTCTTTTTCTCTCCAGACAGGGGCTTCGACCTCACCTTCCGGACGGCAGACGACCCCGGCCTCTCCCTCATCAAGTACGGCGAGTTCCTCTACGACAACCTGGTCATCTTCGCGCCCTCCGTCGAAGGTGAGGCCCGGAAAGATTGGGAGGGGGTCAGCAGCGGAACCAGGGAAACGAGGCCCCCTTTTAACCCCCCCGCCTGCCTCTCTTTCAGACTTCGGAGGAAACATCAACGTGGAGACCATTGCGGCCTTCATCGACGGAGGAGGGAACGTCCTGGTGGCCGCCGGATCGGACATTGGTCAGTCAAGCGGGTGGCCTGGCACAAAGAGAGAGAGAGAGAGAGAGAGAGAAGCACAGACTCCTAGAGTTGGAAGGGGCCCCAGGGGCTGTCCAGTCCAGCCCCAAGATAGGAGTTGATACCCTCTGGGTCCTCTATAATAATATATCTATCATATATATGTGTGTATATATATATTGATCATATCTGGATGGCCACCTGTCTGTAGGGCTTTGATTGTGCCTTACTCTATTATAGGACTGGGTTGGACTTGATACCCTCTGGGGCCTCTTCCAACTCTGTAATACTACATCTGACTTGTGTGTGTGTGTGTATATATATATTGATCATACCTATCTATCATATATGGATGGCCATCTGTCCAGAGGGCTTTGATTGTGCCTTACTGTATTACAGAACTGGGTTGGACTTGATACCCTCTGGGTTCTGTATAATAATATATCTATCTCATATATGTGTGTGTATATATATTGATCATATCTGTCATATCTGGATGGCCATCTGTCCGTATGGCTTTGATTGTGCCTTACTCTATTATAGAACTGGGTTGGACTTGATACCCTCTGGGGCGTCTTCCAACTCTGTAATACTACATCTGGCATATGTGTGTGTGTATATATATATATATATATTGATCATACCTATCTATCATATCTGGATGGCCATCTGTTGGGAGGGCTTCGATTGTGCCTTACTGTATTACAGAACTGGGTTAGATTTGATACCCTCTGGGGCCTCTATAATAATTTATCTATCATATATATGTATGTATTGATCATATCTATCATATCTGGATGGCCATCTGTCAGGAAGGCTTTGGTTTTGCCTTATCTATTACAGAATTGGGTTGGACTTGATACCCTCCGGGTCCTCTTCCGACTCTGTAATACTACATCCAACATATATGTGTATGTGTGTACGTATATATTACTGATCATACCTATCTATCAAATCTGGATGGCCATCTGTTGGGAGGGCTTCGATTGTGCCTTACCGTATTACAGAACTGGATTAGATTTGATACCCTCTGGGGCCTCCATCATAATATAGCTTATCATATATATATGTGTGTGTGTGTGTATGTATATATTGATCATATCTATCAAATCTGGATGGCCATCTGTTGGGAGGGCTTTGATTGTACCTTACTGTATTACAGAACTGGGTTGGACTTGATACCCTCCGGGGCCTCTTCCAACTCTGTGATACTTCGTCTGTCATATGTGTGGTGTGTGTTTGTATATATATTGCAAAAGGGGCTTGAATTTGATACCCTTTGGGGCCTCCATAATAATATATCTTATCACACGCACACACACACACACACACATATATATAGTAACCTACGGATGTGAGAGCTGGACCTTAGGGAAGGCTGAGCGAAGGAAGAGAGATGCTTTTGAGCTGTGGTGCTGGAGGAAAGTGCTGAGAGTGCCTTCGACTGCGAGAAGATCCAACCAGTCCATCCTCCAGGAAATAAAGCCCGACTGCTCACTGGAGGGAAGGAGACTAGAGACAAAGTTGAAGTCCTTTGGCCACATCATGAGGAGACAGGAAAGCCTAGAGAAGACAATTATGCTGGGGAAAGTGGAAGGCAAAAGGAAGAGGGGCCGACCAAGGGCAAGATGGATGGATGGCATCCTTGAAGTGACTGGACTGACCTTGAAGGAGCTAGGGGTGGTGACGGCTGACAGGGAGCTCTGGCATGGGCTGGTCCATGAGGTCACGAAGAGTCGGAGATGACTGAACGAATGAACAACAACAATATATATATATATAATCAATATCATATCATTGACTGGATGGCCATCTGTTGGGAGGTCTTTAGTCGTGTCTTTTTGCATTGCAAAAGGGGGTTGGAGGGGTGAACATTGTGATGGTCGTTTCCACAGGCCTTTGTTTTGGGCACCTTCAGGTCTCAGGTTGGCAGCCCGCTTTGTCGTTGTCGTTTCCATTGTGTGAAGGGCTTCTTTTTCTCTCCAGACAGGGGCTTCGACCTCACCTTCCGGACGGCAGACGACCCCGGCCTCTCCCTCATCAAGTACGGCGAGTTCCTCTACGACAACCTGGTCATCTTCGCGCCCTCCGTCGAAGGTGAGGCCCGGAAAGATTGGGAGGGGGTCAGCAGCGGAACCAGGGAAACGAGGCCCCCTTTTAACCCCCCCGCCTGCCTCTCTTTCAGACTTCGGAGGAAACATCAACGTGGAGACCATTGCGGCCTTCATCGACGGAGGAGGGAACGTCCTGGTGGCCGCCGGATCGGACATTGGTCAGTCAAGCGGGTGGCCTGGCACAAAGAGAGAGAGAGAGAGAGAGAGAGAGAGAGAGAAGCACAGACTCCTAGAGTTGGAAGGGGCCCCAGGGGCTGTCCAGTCCAGCCCCAAGATAGATAGATCAATGGATAGATAGATGGATGGATGGATGGATGGATGGATGGATAGATCAATCAGTGGATAGATAGATCAGTGGATAGATAGATAGAGATAGATAGATAGATCATTAGATAGCTAGATAGATAGATAGATCAATGGATAGATAGAGATAGAGGAAGGAAGGCGGATGACAGATGATTGAATCATAGACTCCTAGAGTTATGACCCCCAAAGGCCATCCAGTCTAGCCCTTCGATAGATAGATAGATAGGTAATAATAATAATAATAATAATAATAATAATAATAATAATAATGTAATTAAATGGAAAGGTAGATGACAGATGATCAAATCATGGACTCCTAGAGTTGGAAGGGACCCCCAAATGCCATCCAGTCCAGCCCTAAGATAGATAAATAGATAAATAAATAGATAAATAAATAGATAAATGGAAATGCAACAATAATAATAATAATAATAATAATAATAATAGAATATTTAAATGGAAAGGTAGGTGACAGATGATCGAATCATGGACTTCTAGAGTTGGAAGTGACCCCCAAAGGCTATCCAGTCCAGCCCTAAGATAGATAGATAGATAGATAGAGTAATAAAATGGAAAGGTAGATGACAGATGATCGGATTATAGACTCCTAGAGTTAGAAGGGACCACCAAAGGCCATCCAGCCCAACCCCCTTCTTTCTGCCAGGCAGGAAGACACTACCCAAGCCCTCCAGACAGATGGCCATCCAGCCTCCGCTTAAGGACCTCCAGAGAAGGACACTCCAAAGTAGCGTATTCTACTCTAGCGTCACATAGATTATATACTGGGAGGATATGTCATTGCGTAGGGAGGCAGCCATTGGTTATTGTGACGCTTTCGTAACAGAAGCCTCACCGGAGCGCATGGTTGTGCTTTCCATTCCCAGGCGACCCTCTTCGGGAGCTGGGCAGCGAGTGCGGGATTGAGTTTGATGAGGAGAAAACGGCCGTCATTGACCACCATCACTACGATGTCTCCGATCTGGGCCAGGTATGTCGTGTCATATGGATATCGTGTATCATAGTAATAATTATAGTAATAATAATAATAATGGCATGGAGTGGCTTATGGGGAACCCTGAGGGCCCAGAGGCTGTTTCTGAAGGCCTGTCTTTTGAGCCAAGTCTTGCTTTGAAACTGCTTTTTGGGTACCAATGGTGGTTCCTGGGCTTCCTTCCTTTCTCCCGCAGCACACGCTCATCGTTGCGGACTCCGAGAACCTCCTGAAGGCGCCCACCATTGTGGGCAAGAAGCCACTGAACCCTGTCCTCTTCCGGGGTGTTGGGTGAGTCAGGACCAGTTGCGGTTGGCCTTCAGCTACAAGGTCTCCAGCAACTGATTTCCCTTCGGCGTTAAGTGAACGCTTTGGATTTTTTTCATGGGATATCTCAAATGTCCCATCCTCTTTTTTGGGAGGTGACCTTATATTATTTATATTATTATTATTATTATTATTATTATTATTATTATTATTATATTGTCATTTAATTATATCCCAAGTTATATAATTTTTATTAATACCCCGCTCTTTATATTATTACCATTTATATCCTACTTTTTATAATATTATTATTTGTTATTATTGTACCCTGCATTTTTAATAATATTTATGTATATTATTATAATATCTCAATTTAATGTTTATAAATTATTATTAATATATCCCAGTGTTTATATTATCATTTATATCCTATTTTCATCTTATTATTTATATATTATTATTATATCCCAATGTTTATATTATTATCATTTATATCCTACTTTCATATTGTTATTATTATTATATATTATTATATCCCATTTTTAATATTATTAATATATCCCAGTGTTTATATTATTATCATTTATATCCTGCTTTCATATTATTATTATTATTTATATATTATTATTATTATATCCCAGTGTTTATGTTATCATTTATATCCTACTTCTTATAATATTATTGTTTATATATTATTTTTGTACCCCACTTTTATAGTATTATATACCAATTTTAATGTTTATATATTATTATTATATCCCAGTATTTATATTATTATCATTTATATCCTACTCCTTATAATATTATAATATAATAATAATATAATATATATATAATATTATTAATTATTATTATATCCCAGTGTTTATGTTATTATTTATATCCTCCTCCTTATAATATTATTGTTTATATATTATTATTGTACTCTACTTTTATAGTTTATATATATATATAATCCCAATTTTAATGTTTATACATTTTTATATCCTACTTTCATGTTATTATTGCTTATATATGATTATTGTACTCTACTTTTATAGTTTATATATATATCCCAATTTTAATGTTTATATATTATTATATCCTACTCCTTATAATATTATTGTTTATATATTATTATTGTACTCTACTTTTATAGTTTATATATATATATATATATCCCAATTTTAATGTTTATACATTATTATATCCTACTTTCATGTTATTATTGTTTATATATTATTATTATATCTCAGTGTTTATGTTATTATTATTTATATCCTACTCCTTAAATATTATTGTTTATATATTATTATTGTACCCCACTTTTATAGTATTATTATCCCAATGTTAATGTTTATATATTATTATTGTATCCCAGTGTTTATATTATTATCATTTATATCCTACTTTCATATTATTATCGTATATTATTATTATATCCCTTTTTAGTATTATTATTACTATTATTATTATATCAAAACAATTCAAAATAAAGAACTCTCCCTGACTCCTTGAGCTCATGGTGACCTTTCTCTGCAGGATGGTGGCCGATCCGGACAACCCTCTGGTTCTGGACATCCTGATTGGCTCCTCGACTTCGTATTCCTTCTTCCCCGACAAACCCATCACCCAGGTACGTGTATTCTCTTCCAACTCTAGGATTCTAGACTTTGGAAAGCAACATTAGGGGAAAATGTTTGGGGAGAGTGGTGTGGGCCTAAAGCCGGCTGCTCTCCTGCTCCTCCCCCTTCTGTGCGCAGTACCCACACGCCGTGGGGAAGAACACCCTCCTGGTAGCCGGCCTCCAGGCCCGGAACAACGCTCGCGTCATCTTCAGCGGCTCCCTGGACTTCTTCAGCGACGCCTTCTTCAACTCGGCTGTCCAGAAGGCCACTCCGGGGTCCCAGAGGTGCGTGACTTTGGGGTCTTCCCTTCTGTGTTAGCGATGCGTCTGCAAGCTGGATGGCCATCTGTCGGGAGGGATCGGACTGCACTTGGAGGGGTTGGACTGGGTGGCCCCAACTCTAGGATTCAGCCCCGAGAGTGGGTTTACTTCCTGGGCCTTGACTTTGGGGGCCTTTCTTCCTGGCGCCAGGTTCCCCCAGACTGGCAACTTTGAGCTGGCGCTGGCCTTGTCCCGGTGGGTCTTCAAGGAGGAGGGCGTTCTGCGCGTGGGAGAGGTGTCCCACCACCGCGTGGGAGAGACTCAGCCCCCCAGCGCCTACACCGTCACCGACCTCGTGGTGAGACCCTTACGTTCCCCCCAAAATATGCTGTGGACCCCTTCCTCCCTCCCTCCCTCCCTTCCTTCCTTCCTTCCTTCCTGTGGTAGCACAGTGTGTTAAACTTCCAGCTGCAGAAAAACTTGCTGACCGGAAGGTTGGCAGTTTGAAGCCGCGAGTCAGGGTGAGCTCCCACTGTCAGCCCTAGCTCCTGCCTACCGAGCAGTTCGAAAACATGTAATGTGAGTAGATAAATAGGTACCACCTCGGGGGGAAGGTAGAAAGTGCCAACTAGAAGTGTCTATAGACAACCGGCTCCTCAGCATGGACAATAGAACCCTAACCCCTCCCTATGGCCAGAGTTGAGCATTGCCTCCAGACGCCGGAGATGGAAAGGGAAGCCTTCGCCTTTGTTTGTGTTTCGTATGTCATTGTTTTTCCACTGTATAAAAGGCATGGAATGTTTGCCTATAATAATATAATATAAACACTGGGATATAATGATAATAATAATGGGATGTAATAATAAACCAATAATAGAATAGAATAATATAGACACTGGGATATAATAATAATGGGATATTATAATAATAATGGAATATAATAATATATCAATAATATAATAGAATAATATAAACACTTGGATATAATAATAAAGGAATATAATAATAAGAATAATAATGGGATATAATGATAATATATCAATAATAGAATAATATAAACACTTGGATATAATAATAAAGGGATATAATAATAATAATAATAATAATAATAATAATGGGATATAATAATACTATATCAATTACAGAATAATATAAACACTGGACTGTAATAATAATAATAATGAGATATATTAATGATATATTAATAATGTAATAGAATAAGATAAACACTGGGATATAATAATAATAATGGGATATTATAATAATAATAGAATATAATAATATATCAATAATATAATACAATAATATAAACACTTGAATATCATAATAATGGGATATATTAATAATAATGGGATATAAGAATAATATATCAGTTACTGAATAATATAAACAGTGGGCTATAATAATAATGGGATATAATAATAATGTATTAATAATGTAATAGAATAAGATAAACACTGGGCTATAATAATAATAATAAAAACGGGGCTGTAGTAATAATATATAACTAATAATGTAAACACTGGGGTATACATGATAATAATAGTAATAGTACATAAATTTTATTATATAAATAGTATATAAATTTTAAAAATTGGGATATAATAAATACAAAAATGGGGTACAATAAAATATATAAACAATGGTAATATTGTAAAAAGTAGGATATAAATGATAAGAATATAAAGAGTGATGTATTTATAATATAATAATATAATAATAATTATACATTTGGGGTATAAATAGATGACAATTATATAAAAACTGGGATTAAACGATAATAATGAATATAATAAAGTGCGATATGAAATTGTTATAAAATGAAAAATGGCGTATATTTTATATATATATATTATATATTTTATACAAGGCTATATAAATAGAAATATCTCTTTCTGTTAAATCATAAAAATTATGTGTATACTGTAACCCGCTCTGAGTCCCCTCGGGGAGATAGAGCGGAATATAAACACAGTGTGTGATGTATGATGTATTCTTCCCATGGCAGGAGTACAGCATCGTCATTGAGAAGCTCTCCGAGGGGAAGTGGGTCCCCTTCGACGGCGACGACATCCAGCTAGAGTTTGTGCGCATTGACCCCTTTGTGAGGACCTTCCTCAAGAGGAACGGTGAGCAGGGCTCGGCTCTTGCAAGGCTTTTGGGATCCTCCTTGTGCTTCCCCCCATAAATCCCCGGAAAACACATGTTTTGGGCTCTTAGGAGGCAAGTACAGCGTCCAGTTCAAGCTGCCGGATGTCTACGGAGTCTTCCAGTTCAAAGTGGATTACAACCGGCTGGGCTACACTCACCTGTACTCCTCCACGCAGGTAAAGGCAGCCTTGATCCCTCTTTGGGGAGGAGGTGGGCAGGATGCAGGCCTTGCTTCAAAGGTGTGGACGCCTTTGCTTCAAAGGTGTGGTTTCTTCCATTGCTATGGATTACTTGCATTTTTTAATGATTTTGAGTAAACATGAACAGAAAGGAGGGAGGTATTATTATATCTTTATATATACCCTGCTCTTTATATTATTACCATTTATATCCTACTTTTTATATTATTGCCATTTATTTATATCCCAAGTTATATTATTATTGTTATTAATACCTTGCTTTTTATATTATTACTATTTATATCCTACTTTTTATATTATTGCCATTTATTTATATCCCAAGTTATATTATTATAATAATATTGAATATTATTATTATATCCTATTTAAAATATTATTATTATTATTATTATTATTATTATTATTATCCTGCTGCTTTTCCTGAGCCAAGACCTTTTTGTAGTGATGCTGTTTGTGTTTTTTTTTGCTTTGCACCCAAGGTGTCCGTGCGCCCCTTGCAGCACACGCAGTACGAGCGCTTCATCCCCTCGGCCTACCCCTACTACGCGGGCGCCTTCTCCATGATGGCCGGCCTCTTCCTCTTCAGCGTCGTCTTCCTCCACATGAAGGAGAAGGAGAAGGCCGACTGATGGCATTCGATATCCGCGGGGACTCTGCTCCCTCCTTATGGGGCTCCCCGATATCCGCGGGGACTCTTCTCCCGGGAAGCCCCTGCACGAACTTGGGTCAACCACACTGTTGGCACTGCCTTCAATCCCATCATTGTTTTTTTTTATTTCCTCCCAAAATAAAGAGGTAATGCCCACAGGATTCTCTTCTTTTGTGGCTCCAAGACTTGGGTGAGAGTTCCCTTTCCTTGGGATACAGGAAGGGCTTTGGACTACAACTCCCACCATTCCTCACAAATTCTGGCCCTTTCCTTTTCTCCCCCAGTGTTTATGTTATCATTTATATTCTACTTCTTATAATATTATTGTTTATATATTATTATTATTGTACCCCACTTTTATATTATTTATTTATATTATTATTATTACATCCCAATTTTAATATTTATATGCTATTATTATTATTATATCCCAATGTTTATATTATTATCATTTATACCCTACTTTTCTTATTATTGTTTATATATATATATATCATGGAGTCCCTGGTGGTGCAGTGGGTTAAAGCACTGAGCTGTTGAGCTTGTTGACCGAAAGGTCGCAGGTTCGATTCTTGGGAGCAGCGTGAGCTTCCGCTGTAAGCCCTAGCTTCTGCCAACCTAGCAGTTTGAAAACATACAAATGTGAGTAGATCAATAGGTACCGCTCTGGCGGGAAGGTAACGGTGCTCCATGCAGTCATGCCGGCCACATGATCTTGGAGGTGTCTATGGACAATGCCGGCTATTCGGCTTTGAAATGGAGATGAGCACCACACCCCAGAGTCAGACATGACTGGACTTAATGTCAGGGGACTACCTTTAACCTGCTATACTATATCCCAAATTTAATATTATTATTATTATTATTAATATTATTATATCCCAGTGATTATATTATTATCATTTATATCCTACTTGTCTTCTTATTGTGTGTGTGTGTGTATATATATATATATAAAAAATCCCATTTTTAATATTTTTTATATTTATATACTATTATTATTATATAATATCCCAGTGTTTATATTATTATCATTTATATCCTACTTTCATATTATTATTATTATATCTCGGTGTTTATATTACTATCATTTATATACTACTTTTCTTATTATTATTTTATATATATATGTGTGTGTGTGTATATATATATATATATAATATCCCAATTTTAATATATACTATTATTATTATATAATTCCCAGTGTTTATATTATTATCATTTATATCCTACTTTATTATTATTATATCCCATTTTTATTATTATTGTAACCACTATTATTATCATTTATATCTTACTTTTCTTCTTCTACTTATTATTAATTATATATTATTATTATATCTCCATTTTAATATTTATATTATTATTATTGTATCCCTGTGTTTATATTATTATCATTTATATCCTACTTTTCTTCTTCTGCTTATTATTATTTATATATTATTATATCTCCATTTTAATATTATTATTATTATTGTATCCCAGTGTTTATATTATTATCATTTATATCCTACTTTTCTTCTTCTACGTATTATTATTATTTATATATTATTATTATATCTCCATTTTAATATTATTATTATTATTATTATTATTATTATTATTATTATTGTATCCCAGTGTTTATATTATTATCATTTATATCCTACTTTTCTTCTTCTACTTATTATTATTATTATTTATATATTATTATTATATCTCCATTTTAATATTATTATTATTATTATTATATCCCAGTGTTTATATTATTATCATTTATATCCTACTTTCATATTATTATTATTATTATTATATCCCATTATTATTACTATTATTATAATAAAAAACCCACAAGAACTGAGTATTATTATTATATTAAGTGGCTGAGGGGGGAAAGGAAAGGGCCTGAGGCTGTGAGGAATGATGGGAGTTGCAGTCCAAAACATCTGTGCTGTATTAGATCTATATGGCAGTAACAAGGCTCCTTTCCAACCCTGGAGTGCCTATGGGTTCCGGAAGTGTGTAAGCGTTGCCATTTTTCCCTCTCCTCTCTGTTAAAGAGGGGGCGTGTTGCGTGTTCGCCGGGGTTCCGGAAGTGTGCAAGCGTTGTCCTTTTTCTCTAGCCTCTTTGAGGGGAAGGGGGCGTGGCGTAGCGCGCGTCCCGCCTTCCTTTTGCGGCGCCCGTTGCCGTAAAGCGGAAGGGAGGGCTGGCGGCTGCTTTCCGGCGGCGTCGTCAGTTGTGAGGCGCGGCTTGTGGCGTGCGGACGGGCTGTCGCTTGGGCCTGGGCGCCGGCGATGCTGCTGACGGTGTTCTGCCTGCGGAGGGACCGCTCCGAGCTGACCTTCTCGCTCCAGGTGGACGCCGACTTCGAGCTGCAGAACTTCCGCGCCCTCTGCGAGCTCGAGTCCGGCATCCCCGCCGCCCAGAGCCAGGTAGCCGGCCCGGAGGGGGAAACCGGAGGGGAAAACCTGAGGGCCTCGACAGGCCTCACCCTCCTAGGCCGGCCCTGGGTGGGAAGGCAGGGAAGAGTCCTCATTGGGGAGCCATTGGTGCTGGGAAAGAATACTACTAATAATAGCAGTTATATGATAATAAATAGAATAATAATAATAGGAGAGCCTTTAGTTCAAGCTGAGTTGTGCCTGTTACTTTCCCAGCACAACACAGGGCGAGGTCTAATTATTATTATTATATTAGTATTCTTACCATTATTTCCCCCCAAAATAGTAAAAAATACTACTAATAATATCAACAACAACAATAATTAGATCTCGCCCTGTGTTGTGCTGGGAAAGAAATATAATAATAATAATAATAATTGAAGAGGCTTTGTCCTGTGTTGTGTTGGGAAAACAATAGTAAGAATGCTAATATAATAATAAGTAGACCTCGCCCTGTGTTGTGTTGGGAAAGTAATAGTAAGAATACAGTAGTAATAATAAAAGAAATATAWTAATATTCATAGTAATTATTATTATAATTATTGAAGAGGCTTTGTTATTATTATATTCTTACTGTATTCTTACTATATTATTACTATATTCTTACTATTATGTAATAATAGAATATAATAATAATAATATAGTAAGAATACAGTAAGAATATAATAATAACAAAGCCTCTTCAATAATTATAATAATAATTACTATGATTACTAATAATTACTATTATGTTCCCAACACAACACAGGGCGAGATCTAATTATTGTTGTTGATGTTGTTATTATTAGTATTCTTACTATTTTTTGGGAAAATAATGGTAAGAATACTAATATAATAATAATAACAATAATAAGTAGACCTTGCCCTGTGTTATGCTGGGAAAGTAATAGTAAGAATACAATATAATAATAATAATAATAATAATAATAAGAAGAAGAAGAAGAAGAAGAAGACCTTGCCCAGTGTTGTGTTGGGAAAGTAATAGTAAGAATGCTAATATAATAATAATAATAATAATAATAATAATAAGTAGACCTCGCACTGTGTTGTGTTGGGAAATAATAGTAAGAATACRAATCTAATAATAATAATAARTAGACCTCGCMMYRTGTTGTGTTGGGAAASTAATAGTAAGAATRCKAATMTAATAATAATAATAAGTAGACCTCGCACTGTGTTGTGTTGGGAAATAATARTAAGAATACGAATCTAATAATAAKTAGAYCTCRCMCTGTRTTGTGTTGGGAAATAATAGTAAGAATACGAATCTAATAATAATAATAAGTAGACCTCGCCACGTGTTGTGTTGGGAAAGTAATAGTAAGAATGCTAATATAATAATAATAATAATTAGATCTCACCCTGCATTGTGTTGGGAAATAATAGTAAGAATACGAATCTAATAATAATAATAATAAATAGACCTCACCCTGTGTTGTGTTGGGAAAGTAATAGTAAGAATACAGTAGTAAAAATAAAAGAAATATAATAATCATCATAGTTATTATTATTATTATTATTGAAGAGGCTTTGTTATTATATTCTTACTGTATACTTACTAGATTCTTACTATATTATTATTATTATATTCTTACTATTATGTTCCCAACACAACACAGGGCGAGATCTAATTATTGTTGTTGATGTTGTTATTATTAGTGTTCTTACTATTTTCTGCGAAAATAATGGTAAGAATACTAATATAATAATAATAACAATAATAAGTAGACCTCGCCCTGTGTTGTGCTGGGAAAGTAATAGTAATAATATGAATATAATAATAATAACAATAATAATAAGTAGACCTTGCCATGTGTTGTGTTGGGAAAATAATAGTAAGAATATGAATATAATAATTAGACCTCGCCCTGTGTTGTGTTGGGAAAATAATAGTAAGAATGCTAATATAATAACAACAACAATAATAATTAGACCTCGCCCTGTGTTGTGTTGGGAAAATAATAGTAAGAATGCTAATATAATAACAACAATAATTAGATCTCACCCTCTATTGTGTTGGGAAATAATAGTAAGAATACGAATCTAATAATAATGACAATAAGACCTCGCCCTGTGTTGCATTGGGAAAGTAATAGTAAGAATACGGATCTAATAATAATAACAGAAGTAATAATTAGACCTCACCCTGTGTTGTGTTGGGAAAGTAATAGTAAGAATGCTAATATAATAATAACAGTAATAATTAGAATTCACCCTGTGTTGTGTTGGGAAAGTAATAGTAATTTAATAACAACAGTAATAATAATAATAATAATTAAACCTCACCATGTGTTGTGTTGGGAAAGTAATAGTAAGAATGCTAATATAATAATGGTAATAATTACAAAAAAATAATTAGACCTCACCCTGTGTTGTGTTGGGAAAGTAATAGTAAGAATACGAATCGAATAATAATAATAACAACAACAATAATAAATTAGACTTCACCCTGTGTTGTGTTGAGAAAGTAATATAATGCTAATATAATAATAACAACAACAACAATAATAATTAGACCTCACCCTGTGTTGTGTTGGGAAAATAATAGTAAGAATGCTAATTTAATAATAATAATAATTAGAGAGGCCTCGTCCTTTGTGGTGTTGGGAAAATAATGGTAAGAATACTAATATAATAACAATAATAATTGGGGAGGCTTTGCCTTACACTGTGCTGCTGGAAAAATAATATATTAATAATTGAAGAGCCTTTAGTCTAAACTGTGTTGTGCCGATGTTGTGTTGGCTAAGAAGTACAGTTGTTGTTGTTGCAGTTGTTGACTAGTAGTAATAAAAATAATAAAAATAATAATAATAGGCGTGATATAGTAATAATAGTTTGAGTGAGAAGTACACTTATTGTTGACTTGACAGGGGTTGTGTGGCTCCGACCGGCTCAGTGTGGTTTCCTCACCTGGGTTTCGGGAGATCACCTCTCCCATCAACCCCTCCCTTACTGTCAGAGATGGGAGTTGTAGTCCACTAACGCCTGCCTTGTTGGGCCTGGATGTTTCATTATATCCGAATGCTTTAGGATGATGTGTTTACAGCCCGATTTCCTCAGCCATATATTCCAGTTTATGGATCCAGATGATCTGCTTTGAGCTGGATTATATGGCAGTGTAGATCGAGCCTCAGAGGAGGATCTAACAACAACAACAACAATAATGTAATTTTCTTTTTGCTGGATCAGGTCTCTCTCTTCGCAAGGCCCAGCCCCCCCTCCCCCTTATGCTGCCTATTTTGGGAGGCTGTAAACACCATGTGGTTTTTTTTGGAGGGGGCTCCTGGTGCCCCCGGTTTCTGGTGTCGGGCTTCTTGGAAGGCGGCCACGGTGGGCACTTGCTCTTCTTTGGCGGGGCTCACATAGGGGAATTATTATTATTATTACGTTTACTTATATCCTGCTTTTTCTCTCCACCCGGAGACTCAAAGCGGCTCGCAACTAACAGCAGTGCAATACAACTTCAGATATGCAAATATGCAAGTATTAAAACGGTATAAAACATGTGTTGTCGAAGGCTTTCATGGCCGGAAATAGTGGGTTGCGGTGAATCTTCTGGGCTGCCTGGCCCTGTTCCAGAAGCATTCTCTCCTGACGTTTGGCCCACATCTATGGAACGCATCCTCAGAGGTGTGAGGTCTGTTGGAAACTAGGCAAGTGGGGTGTATGTGTATGTAATGTTTGTTTGTGGCATTAACATAATTCAAAAGCCACTGGATGAATGGACACAAAATTTGGACACAAGACACCTATCAGGCCAACGAGTGACCATTACTCATAAAAACACTGAAAAACACAGCAAAAGAGACTTAAAAAGCCAAAAAACAAAAAGTACATTACAATGCATGCACTAAACTAAACATATACACAAACACACATATATAAATATATAAACAAATATATTTACATACATATATACACCAAAAAACCACATATACACAGACTGGGCCACAGCAACGCGTGACAAGGGATAGCTAGTACATCTATATAAATAAAATTGTAATGTTCGTTTGTGGGATTAACAGAACTCAAAAACCACTGGACCAATTGACACCAAATTTGGACACAAGACACCTAACAACCCAATGTATGTCCTTCAATTAAAAAATGATTTTGTCATTTGGGAGTTGTTGCTGGGATTTATAGTTCACCAACAATCAAAGAGCATTCTGAACCCCACCAACAGTTGAATTGAACCAAACTTGGCACACAGTTCTCCCACGACCAACAGAAAATACTGGAAGGGTTTGGTGGGCAGTGTCCTTTGGTTTTGGAGTTGTAGTTCACCTCCATCCAGAGATCACTGTGGACTCAAACAATGATGGATCTGGACCAAACTCTACACGAATACTCAATATGCCCAAATGTGAACACTGGTGGAGTTTGGGGAAAATAGAATCTTGACATTTGGGAGTTGTAGTTGCTGGGATTTGTAGTTCACCTACAATCACAGAGCATTCTGAACCCCACCAACGATAGAATTGGGCCAAATCTCCCACACAGAACCCCCATGACCGCCAGTGGGCCACAGCAATGTGTGGCAGGCGATGGCTAGTTATATCTATATATCTACTAGCTGTCCCCTGCCACGTGTTGCTGTGGCCCAGTCTAGTGATCTGGAAAATAAAATAATGAGAAAGTTTTGGTTTCTAATATATGTATTTCTTTATGCTTGTGGGTAAACAGTATTTCTTGCTATTTCTTTGTCAGTGTTGATGTGGAGATTGTCTGGTTTGCCTACTCTGGAACATGCAGCATATAATTATCCTCCTTTAGGGGTCCCTTTCAAATTTATGATACTATATCTCTCTTTGTGAATCATATATATCTATATCTATGACTGGATGGCTCTTTGTCAGGAGGGCTTTGATTACGATTTCTTGCACTGGTGAAGGGAGTTGGACTGGATGGCCTTAAGTATTTTCTGGTGGTCATGAGGGTTCTGTGTGAGAAGTTTGGCCCAATTCTGTTGTTCGTGGGGTTCAGAATGCTCTTTGTAGGTGAACTGTAAATCTAAAATGTCAAGGACTATTTCCCCCAAACTCCATCTTTGTCCATATTTGGGCATATGGAATATTTGTGCCAAGTTTGGTCCAGATCCATCATTGTTTGAGTCCACAGTGCTCTCTGGATGTAGGCGAACTACAACTCCCAAATTCAAAGTCAATGTCCACCAAACCCTTCTAGTTTTTTCTGTTGGTCATGGGAGTCCTGTATGCCAAGTTTGGTTCAATTCCATCATTGGTGGAGTTCAGAATGCTCTTTGATTGTAGGTGAACTATAAATCCCAGGAACTACAACTCCCAAATGACAAAATCAATTTTTTTTTGAGTGAAAGACATACACTGGGTTGTTAGGTGTATGCTGTTCAGATTTGGTGTCAATTCATCCAGTGGTTTTTTAGTTATGTTAATCCCACAAACGAACATTACTTGTTTATTTATATCGATATCTATCTATCTATCTAATCTATCTATCTGTGGAATAATGTCCAGGATGGGAGAAAGAACTCTTGTCTGCTGGAGGCAAGTGTGAATGTTGCCATTGGCTAGCTTGATTAGCATTGAATGGCCATGCAGCTTCAAGGTTTGGCTGATTCCTGCCTGGGGGAATCCTTTGTTGGGAGGTGACTACCTGGCCCTGATTATTTCTGTTCTGGAATTCCCCTGTTTTTTGAATGTTGCTCTTTATTTACTTCTTGATTTTAGAATGTTTTAAAATCCTAGTGGCCAGATTGTGTTCATTTCCTCCTCTTCTTCCTCCTCCTCTGCGCCGAGGCTGATTCCAGTAGAACTGGCTCTCTTGCAATCCTCTGCACCATCCACCTGATTGCTCCACTCTTAGGGAGGATCTGGAGGAGAATGGTGCCAGGATGCGTGTCTGTCTGTCTGTCAAGCGAGTCTGGGCCAAGAGGTGTCCTTGCCAAGCCCTAATGGGACCCTGCCTTGGAGCCAGGGTGGCTGCCATCACAACATCAACCACTCCAAAGGAAAGGCTGTTTGGCGGCTGGCCTTATTAACGGAAGTCCCTCGTCATAAATGCACAGCAGAGTAACTTATCTGCAGCAACGTGACCCAGCACTAGTAGCCCAAAGTGATAGAAAGAACAAAAACACATAGAGCAATGTTCTCTCTTCCATAAGGCTGCGCCATTTACAACAAAAAGGTTTCCATAACACAAAGTTCTTTATACTTTCTTCTTTGCTTTCACGCTGAGCTTCTTCCTCATGCAGATAAACAGCTTCACTCTCACACCAAAGTTACACAGGAGATTTTTACACACAGCAGCCTTCACATTGGATGGCCTTCAACCTAGGGCTTCTCTCACTGAAGCTTCTCATACTGAGGCCTACTAACACTGAGGCCTTCAACTCTGGGCTTCTTTCTCGTGCAGATAACGGCTTCGCTCTCAAAGAGCCTCCTCTCACAACATAGTTACACAGGAGCCTTCACACTGGAGCTTCGTATACGATGGCCTTCAACCTAGGGCTTCTCTCACTGAAGCTTCTCATACTGAGGCCTACTAACACTGAGGCCTTCAACTCTGGGCTTCTTTCTCGTGCAGATAACGGCTTCGCTCTCAAAGAGCCTCCTCTCACAACATAGTTACACAGGAGCTTCACACAGTAGCTTTACACATGACAGCCTTCACTCTGGAGCTTCACACACAAGGCCTTCTCATACTGAGGCTTACCTCACACAGAGGCTTTTCTCACAGATTACCTGATTCACATTTCTGTAATTAAAAATACCTAGTTAATTTTTAATATTTCTGGCAAAGACAACACTGCCCCACAGGCAACAATTATGTGCCCCGACAGGCCATTTGGACCATCTATCCTGGCTCCATCTGTGCCTTGGTCTCCTTTGGAGCCAGTCAGGAGCCCTTCCCACCAACGAGAGACCCTGCCTTGACCAGGGACTGGCATAGAATCATAGAGTTGGAAGAGACCACATGCGCCATCTAGTCCAACCCCCTTCTACCATGCAGGAAAAGCACAATCAAAGCACCCCTGACAGATGGCCATCCAGCTTCTGTTTCAAAGCCTCCAAGGAAGGAAATTCCACCATTCTACATTAACATAATATGTAATATTATAATAATTAATATTATAATATGTAATATATGTCAATATAATAATAGTGATGTTGGAAGAGACCACAGGACCACTTAGTCCAAACCCTTCTGCCATGCAAGAGAAGTACAATCAAAGCACTCCTGACAGATGGTCACCCAGCCTCTGCTTAAAAGCTTCCAAGGAAGGAGCTTCCACCACATTCCAAGGCAGAGCCTTCCACTATTGAACAGCTCACTGTATAGTCAGGAAGTTCTTCTTAATGTTCAGGTGGAGTCTCCTTTCCTCTCATTTGGCTCTGTTGAGTGCATTGAAAACAAGCCCCCTCCTTCTTTATGACACCCTTTCACATCACGATGCATGGCTCTTCTCATGTCTCCTCTCAACCTTTTCTTCTGAAGCTCAACAGACACAATTCTTCTCCTCCTCAGAGGGATTATTCATGGTCTCCAGACCTTTGATCCTTTGGACACCTTCCAGCTTAGAGTCAATATTGTTGTTCTTCCTCCGGGCGATAACACGCCATGCTTGGCTCCCTTGCAGATCGTCTATGCGGAGCGTCCCCTGACGGACAACCACCGTTCGCTGGCCTCCTACGGCTTGAAGGACGGGGACGTGGTGATCCTGCAGCAGGTGGAGAATGCGGAGGCACGGCCGCCGGTGCCCTTCCCTGGTGAGAAACCCCTGCACTCCCCCTGCCCCACTCTCCCCCCGGCTTCTCCAGAGCCAGGCCTCTCTCTGCCTCACCGCCTCTGTCTCATGATGTCTAGGCCTGCCCAGGATAGACTTCAGCAGCATCGCAGTGCCGGGGAGCTCCTCCGTGCCGCCGCCTGCCCCTCCGCCCGCCCCTCTGCCGGCCTCCACCTCGCACCCGCCTCCACCGGACCTGCCTTCCTCTCCACAGGGGCTGGACAACCCGGCGCTCCTGCGGGACATGCTGCTGGCCAACCCGCACGAGCTCTCCCTGCTCAAGGAGCGCAACCCACCCTTGGCCGAGGCCCTGCTCAGCGGAGACCTGGGTGAGCATGCTTGGGGGGCCTTGAGGTCGGCCGCCTGCCTACCCTGCTCTCACTGGCGGTGGCGGTGCTGACCGTTCCCTTGTTGTTTCAGAGAAATTTACGCGGGTACTGGTGGAGCAGCAGCAGGACCGGGCCCGGCGGGAGCAGGAGAGGATCCGCCTCTTCTCCGCCGACCCCTTTGACCTGGAAGCGCAAGCCAAGATCGAGGAGGACATCAGGTAACGGGGTCAGGAGCTCAAGAGACAGAGCGACACTTGGAATAATAACAATAATTGTAGTAATAATAATATAATAATAATAAGTGACAAAAATAATCATGATATTGTAATAATAGCAGTAGTAGTTATACTATAATAATACAATAGTGATAATAATAATGGTGACACTGTAATCATTGTAGTAGTACTGATACTATACTATAATAATAATAATAATATAGTGATAATAATAATCATGACAATAATAGCAGTAGTGTTGATACTATAATAATACAATAGTGATAATAATAATCGTTACACTAATAATAGTAGTAGCACTGATACTGTAATAATAATACAATAGTGATAATATTGGTCTGAACCTGGGGTAGCATTGCACAGGCTTTTACTGGACTGTTTTGACTTCGGTTCCAGGCAGCAGAACATCGAGGAGAACATGACCATCGCCATGGAGGAGGCCCCTGAGAGCTTTGGCCAAGTGGTGATGCTGTACATCAACTGCAAGGTCAACGGCCACCCCGTCAAGGCCTTTGTGGACTCAGGTGGGCCCCCCACTGTCACCATTCTCCCCTTTTGGCTGACACAAGGAATGTAGGGGGTCTCAGGTGGAAGAGTTTGAGGTATCATCATGGGGAAGAAGGACAGGCTTTGTCTCCAGAGCCCCCTTCTTCTTAGAGTCATAAGCTAATAGAGTTGGAAGAGATCACGTGGGCCATCTAGTCCTACTCTCTTCTGCCATTCAGTAAAGCACAATCAAAGCTCTGCTGAAAGATGGCCATCCAGCCTCTGTTTTACAGCCTCCAAGGAAAGAGCTTCCACCAGACTCCGAGGCAGAGAGTTCCACTGCTGAACAGCTCATATGGTTAGGAAATTCTTCCTAATGTTCAATGGAATCTCCATCCCTGTCACTTGAACCCATTGAGTCCATTGAAAACAAGCTTGCCCCCTCTTAGGAAACTTGTAGCTTGGTAGGCCTCAGTCTGAGATAAACCTCAGTGGGAGAAAGTCTGAGAAGGCATAACAGTGTGAGGTAGGCCTTAGTCTGTTACTCTGCTGTGCGTTCATTTGGGGGGGGGTATCAACAAAAGACCCTCCCCATGAATGCACAGCAGAGTAACAGACTAAGGCCTATCTCACTCTGTGAGGCCTTTTCACAGACTTTCTCCCACTGAGGTTTACCTCAGACCGAGGCCTTCTAAGCTACAGACACACCTGCTTATATAGATCTGCAGCTTTTGCTGAGTCATTGCATCAATTTAACCCTTTGAGTGCTTGACTCACATTTTTGTAATTAAAAATACCTTGTTCATTTTTAGTATTTCTGACAACTTTCACATACGTATGCATGACTCTTCTTCTTCTTCCAGGGGCACAGATGACCATCATGAGCCAAGCTTGTGCGGAGCGGTGCAACATCATGCGGCTGGTGGACCGGCGGTGGGCCGGCATCGCCAAAGGGGTGGGGACCCAGAAGATCATTGGCCGGGTCCACCTGGGTGAGTGAGTGGTCTCCTGGGCTGGCAGAGGTAGAGGGAGGGGACTTCTGGGAGTTGACATGGCTCTCCTTTCTCGCCTTTCCACCTGCTTCAGCTCAGGTGCAGATCGAAGGGGACTTCCTGCCCTGTTCCTTCTCCATTCTGGAGGAGCAGCCCATGGACATGCTGCTGGGGCTCGACATGCTCAAGAGGCACCAGGTGAGGGAGAGGGACCGTTGGGCGGGCGGGTTTTGGAGAAGAAGAAAACACAGGTGGAAAAGGGGGTTGGCTGCAGCCCCTGCCTTTCCAAAGTGAGGTGCCAACCACCTGTTAGGGCTCAGCAGCAAGGGGTGTTGGGGATTTTGCTTCAGAGGATGAGGGAAATAATGGATTTGTCAAAGTCTCTTGTCAAATTAGGCTGAAACACAGACAAAAATGCAGGCTTTAGATCAGAGAGAAGGGCCGACAGCTGCAGAAGAGATAGAGAATGTTTCTCTTGGGAATCGGCCTTCTCAGCCTTCAGAAGATGGGGAGTTGTTCCGTGATATGAGATTAGATCTCTGCTCAGAGAGAGCCAAGGAAAGGTTAATTAGAAGGTCAGAAAGACTCAGTGAGAAGCTCAAGTGTCAAAGGGATGGTCTCATGTCTGTTTGGTCAGGTTTGAGCTTAAATTAGGTGATGTTTTCCTGGTCTCTTCAGAGCAGACAACATTGCCATAAAATCAAGTTCACGTTTAGCTCTCAAGTTTGAGTTCTTACCGGAGTTGTAAGCCACCTTGAGTCCCCTGAAGGGTGAAAAAGGCGGGTTAGAAATGAAGTAAATAAAGATGTTGGGGATTCTGCTTCAGAGGATGAGGGGAATGATGGATTTGTCAAAGTTGGTGTTGAAGCAGGCTGAAACACAGACAGAAAGGCAGGCTGTAGATCAGAGAGAAGGGCCGATAGCTGCAGAAGAAAGAGAGGATATTTCTCTTGAGAATGGGCCTTCTCTGCCTTCAGAAGATAGGGAGTTGGGTCCACTGTGAGTCTGTGGGAGCCTCGTCGAGGATGGCGAGTAGGCCCCTGCTTCTCATGTCCCAGCGGCCCTTTCCATTCTGAATGCCTTCCCTTCGCCCCCCTTTTTAGTGCTCCATAGACCTCAAGAAGAACGTCCTGGTGATCGGTACCACAGGCTCGCAGACCACCTTCCTCCCGGAGGGGGAGCTCCCGGAGTGTGCCCGCTTGGCCTACGGGGCTGGCAGGGAGGAGGTGCGGCCCGAGGAGATTGCGGACCAGGAGCTAGCGGAGGCCCTGCAGAAGTCCGCGGAGGACGCAGGTACCGGGGGAAGGCGGGTCCCGAGGAGGAAAGAACGCCGCATGCTTTGGCCATTGGGGGGTGCCCCAGGATGCCAGTCTGTGTCTGTCTTCAAAGGGGAGGACAAAGCACAAACAGAAAGAAAGAAATGAGTTCTTTTGCTTACAAGGCAACCAGGGGACCATTCGCTGCACCCGCTCAGTTTTGTATTGTGACCTTTGAGCCTTAGCTCTTGTAGTATTGGTAGTAGTAGTAGTAGTAGTAGTAATAATAATAATAATAATAATAATAATAATAATAATACACTTTATATTCTGCTTTATCTCCCCGGAGAGACTCAGAACATTACAATGCACGTATATGGCAAACATTAAATGCCTTTTAATCAAACAAACAACATACAATACACAGACCGACAAAGGCCTTCCCCTTTTCATCTCCGACGTCAACGTCCAGCCATGGGTGTTGGGGCTTTCTCTCACTGAGGCCTACCTCACACTGAGGCCTACCTCACATTGAGGCTTTATCCCACAGAGGCCATTCTCATAATGAGGCCTATTAACACACTGAGGTCCCTCTCCCACAGAGACCTCATAGACTTAGGGCTACTAAGCTACAGGCACACTTGCTTATATAGAACTGCAGCTTTTGCTCTGTTGTTGCATCCATTTAACCCTTTCACATTTTTGTTATTAAAAATATCAAGTTATTTTTTAATATTTCTAACAATGGGGAGGTGCTCTTGTTCCATTTTCCATGTCGAAGTAGCCTGCTGTCCATAGATATCTCCGGTCTTTTTACCGGCATGTCTGCATGGGGCGCCCGTTTACCTTCCCGCCGAGCTTTCGAACTGCTAGTTTGGCAGAAAGCAACAGCAAAGGCTCTTTCGATTGCTCGATTGGCGGATGCTGTGATGGTTGATTAACCTGTTCAATGCCACTGAACTCTAACCAATGAGCTTCCTCCAAAGTGGTGGTTCAGCTCTAGCAGCAACCAGGTCAGGCAGTGAAGTTGCCTACGACCCCTTGTCCCAAACCCTCACCCTTCAAAGGATGGATCTATGCTGCCAAAGAATCCGGTTTCATGTTCTGGAACTGCGTTGTGTGGCAATGTAGATCCAGCCTCAGCGGCTGCAGGTAAGCACCATTCTCACCTTGCAAGGCAAGTCGGGACTTATTCTGCTTTGGAGGAAGCAGCCTTGGCCGCTCATCATACATGAAGTGAGCGTGGCTGAGCCTTTGCCCAACTTCCTCCCTTTGAAAACCCTAGTGACATCCGAAGCGAGACCTCGGGAAGAGAGGAGGGCACGAGTGAGAGAGCGCCGTGTGTCTTCGGCATCCTCCGCCCTTCGCAGGGCCGCATGCCTCCTCTTGTAGCGCCCAGAGAATTGCCAGCATACCATATGGAACGCCAAGGAGATCGCATTGTATGCTTCTTCTGACATTAAAGCATTTGAACAGATAGAGCTCAGGTGTGAGTTTTGTTCAGACCCCTCTCCCTGCCCTCGGCATTGAGGCAGCGCATGCTGTAATGCACGTAAGGCTTGGCCTTGACCTGTACACTTCCAAGGCTGAGGAAATACAGGAGCTTCATGGAGTAGCTTTACACACAGCTTTACCCACAACACCTTCAACTTGGAGCTTCTCTCGTCGAAGGTTCTCACACCAGGCCTTCTCATAGACTAAGGCCTACCTCACACTGTGAGGCTTTTTCACCGACTGAGCCATTCTCATTCACACAGAGAGAGTTCTCTTACAAACTAAGACCTACTTCACACTGTGAGGCTTTCCCTCACAGACTGAGGCCTCTCACACACTCTCACACTGTGAGGTCTTCTCGCACACTAAGGCCTACCTCACACTGTGAGGCCTTTTCTCACAGACTAAGGCCTACCTCACACTGTGAGGCGTTTTCACACACTGAGATGTTCTCTCTCACACAGAGAGGCTTCTCTCACAGACTAAGGCCTACCTCACACTGTGAGGCCTCTCACAAACTAAGGCCTACGTCACACTGTAAGGTCTTCTCACACACTAAGGCCTACCCCACACTGAGACCTTTTCTCACAGACTAAGGCCTACTCACACTGTGAACCGTTTTCACACACTGAGATGTTCTCTCACACACAGAGAGGCTTCTCTCACAGACTAATGCCTACCTCGCACTGTGAGGCCTTCTCTCACAGACTAAGGCCTACCTCACACTATGAGGCCTCTCACAAACTAAGGCCTACCTCACACTGTGGGGCCTTCTCTCACACACTATGGCCAACCCCACACTGTGAGGCCTTACTAAGGCCTTTTCACAGACTGAGACCTTTCTCCCACTGAGGTCTCTCTCAGACTGAGGCCTATTTCACTCTGAGGGCTGCTAAGCTACAGTCACACATGCTTATATTGAATTGCAGCATTTACTGATTTATTGCACCCATTTTAACCCTTTTAATGCTTGACTCACGTTTGTCATTAAAAACACCTAGTTATTTTTTAATATTTCTGACAAGAGCTGCTGAACTGGCTTCCCAGGCCCCACAACTTGCCTCCTACGTCTTAGATCTTGCCAGAGCTTGCCTTTTTTTGCAGCAGGTTATGGAAATGCAGTGCGAAACATGGAGGCGCCTTTCCCCTTTCTGCGCGTTTAGGCCTGTTCAAGTCAGATAGAGCCCAGAGGAAGGAGAGCGGCTTCAAGACAGAGACAGAGTCGGCAGAGAAGCACAGAGGAGAGCTGAGCAACACAGAGACAGGACAGAGAGACATCAGAGAGGCCATACCCACTTTTCCTTGCAGCAATGGCCAGCCAGGATAGTCCTATCTAGCGAGGGAATGCCCTTGCCTTCTCCTAGAACAGCCAGAAAGTGCTTGATGTCCTCATTCAGTCCAAAACTTAAGAGCTGTAGCAAGAAGTCAGAGAGCAGGAGAGAAAACCTTCAGAAGAGACGTAGAAAGCAGGCAGAGAACAGCAGAGAGAATGTTTAGAAGAGCCCTCATCAGCAGGCAGAGAGCGGCAGATAAAGCCAGCGATAGTTGAGGACAGCAGAAAACAAGAGATCCCTCCAGAATCCAGTCCAACCAGAACAAACCTGAAAGAGCAGCAGCAGCTTTGTAAGCCTTCCATACCGTAGCCTTCCAGGAGGATCAGGATAGCAAAGGCCTTCCCCTTTTCATCTCCGACGTCTGGAGGTGATGCTCAATTTCTGGCCATGGATGTTGGGGCTTTCTCCCACTGAGGCCTACCTCATGCTGAGGCCTTTATCCCACTGAGGCCTTCTTCACACTGAGGCATATTCATACTGAGGCCCATCTCCCACAAAGACCTCTCACAGACTGAGGGCTACTAAGCTACAGACATGCAATTGAGGAGATGCCAAGCGACAGAGGCCTTTTGCAAGCAAGGAATGGTAGAATCAGTTGGACGAGACCGCACGGGCCATCTAGTCCAGCCCCCTCCCACCGTGCAGAAAGGCACGCTCCAAGCGCAGGAAGGACGGTGTGGCGAGCGGGCAGGCGATGGCGAGGCCAGAGCTGCATGCGTGTGTGCTGCCTTGTGTGTGCTAACCCCAGTTTGGTGTGTTTGTCTCCTAATCCGAACAGAGCGCCAGAAGCCTTGATGCATGCAATGGGGCGTGCTGCCGCCGGAATGGGCCACAGACCAGGTATGGGTGAGCAGGGACTTGGCAGTGAGATATATACGATTCCGGCGCTGCAGGTTGAAAGCTTTGGTGCCAGCATTTCACTGGCTAATTTGGCCTCTTTCTGGGATGTTTGACCCTGAACTGCCCCTGAGTTGTGTCTTCCTGGCTGTTCTCAAACAAGTTGATAATCTTGAAGCGAAGAACAGCAGCTTGGATGAATCCTATAGAGCCGAGACAAGCGGCATGCGGGAATGCCACTAGCATGCTTTCCAGGTTTGGTTTGAGCTTACAGTGTTACTAGATGCTCAGCAGAATTGTTTCTCTACCTTCCTAATGCCGCAACCTCTTAACAGAGTCCTTCATGTTATAAATGAGCCTATAAAATTATTTTTGTTGCGACTTCATAACTCTCATTTTGCTCCTGTTATGAATCATATGTACCTGATAATGCAGGATGTATTTTCGTTCACTGGACCAAATTTGGCAAATACTGGTGGGATTTGGAGGGGGGGGGTTGGGTTTGTCATTTGGGAGTTGTAGTTGCTGGGATTTATAGTTAACCTCCAATCAAAGAGCTTTCTGAACTTCACCAACAATAGAATTATGCTAAACTTCCCACACAGAACCCCCCTGCCTTCAAGGGACTCGCTGGTGTGAGCCTCTCTCCAGCCTTGCATGCTCTCCCTCACATGCACCAAGCACTCCTGCTCTCCCCTCCTCACTTGGAGTCTCACAAACAGCCCCCCCCCTTGGCTGAGAGGCCGGCCAATCACGACGGAGGAGGGCTTTTGGTGGGAGGATTCGCCCTCTGTTTCCAGAAAAGAAAAGAAGGATAGGCAGAGGGATCTTCAGCCTTCTCTGACAAAGGCGTTCCTCAGACCATTAGGAATATCTGTTAGGCGACCCCTCTGAAATGCCCATTCGACCCCTCCAGGAGTCGCGACCCCCAGGTTGAGAAACGTCTCTGAGCACCCTTCCACACAGCCACAGAATTCAGATATCAAGGCAGATAATCCGCAATGTCCGTTTTGAACTGGATTATTCGAGTCTGCACTGCCATATAATCCAGTTCAATGGGATTCGATACAGCTGTGCAGAAGGGGCCTGTGTGTTATGTCCAGATTGTTTTAAACCGGCTCTTCTCTCTGGAAAATGAGTATATTTATTGTCTATCCTTTGATATGTTTCTGCCATTCGCCTTTTCCTGTTGCATTTTCCTGGCGAAGGGAAAACATGAAACCATTCCATAGTTTTGTGACTCCTGGGAGGAAAGAAATGGTCCCAACTGAGGCGAGGGATGAATATTTGCAGACTGTTTGAATCAAAGTTAAATATATTTTCCCAGTGTAATCCCAGCCTCATGCTTTTCTTTCTCTTTCCCTTTTTTTTCTGTGTGCAGAGAATAGTGACCAAGGAACTACCTCACGAGAAACGCCACCGACGTCCGACGGATTTAAACGTCCAGAGCTTGGTCCAAAGGCCAACAACCCTCGAAGCCGAATACTTGACCGTTCCGCCTCTGCTCCGGCCTCCATTTTCTCTCGTGGGAGCGGCCAGGCAGAGACCCTTCCTCCCGAGGATTCCCTCCCCGAATGTTTAGAAACTCTCGAAAGCGAGGAGCTGTTCCCACCACCGCCATTTTTTCCTGATGCCGTTGCTTCTGCCAATGCTGCTCTGGGTGGGAAACTTGGAGCAGAACCTGAGCATGTTCCTTCACAAACCACTTCTGGACCGCAGGCTCCTTCCTTCAGTCTGCAAGAGGAAACTCTCAGTCCTCCCGCCGAAGGAGGAAAAGAAAGGAGCTTATCCAGCCCGCAGAGGAAAGAAATGTCTGCACCCTTCCTTCTGGATCACACAGAAAGGGATCTGGGGCACAAGCTTCACTCAGAACCCAAAATGGGTGGGAAACCTGGAAATGGAGGGTTTCACAATGCCAAGGAGGCTGCTTCCCCATTGTTTTTCAAGGAAGAGTTAGAGAAAGTCCTTTTATGTGCGGGAAGGGGGGACGTGGAAGGAGAGGGATGCAAGGACTCCATGGAGGTCCATACTAAAACAGCCTTGTCGGGCGACGCAAACCTCGCAATGGAGGTGGAACTCTCCAAGCCAGGCTCTTCTTTCCCTCTCGGTGGTGGTGGTCCTCCTCCTGAGGGTGATCGGATGCCGCCGGTGAGCCCTGGCCTCGAAGATCCGGGCGCCTCTCTCTCTTGCGCCTTGAAGGAGCTCCACCAGCTCCTGGTTGTCAGCTCCAAGCAGGACGTGGGCCTTTCTCAGCGGGAAGCCCTTCCAGAGGAGCATCAGGGCCTCCCTTTTCCTAGACACATTGAGCCCTTTGCGGAGAGCATGGAGAGCCTTGAGGCAAGGGAAGTGCAGCGGATGGATGAGAGCCGTGAAAAGGAAGCTGTACTCAAGTCCTTTGCATACGAAATGGAGAGTGTTGAGGTGAAGGAGGTGCAGCGGTTGGCTGAGAACTGTGAGAAGGAAGCTGTAGTTGAGTCCTTTGCATACAAAATGGAGAGTGTTGAAGTGAAGGAGATGCCGCGGTTGGGCGAGAACCGTGGAAAAGAAGCTCTACTCCAGTCTGTTGAGGATGACATGGAGAGCATTGAGGTGAAGGACGTGCAGCGGTTGGACGAGGGCCGTGAAAAGGAAGATCTACTCATGTCCTTTGAGGTGAGGAAAGTGCAGCGGTTGGATGTGGCCCATGAGAAGGAAGCTCTACTGGAGTCCTTTGCATACGAAACGGAGAGTGTTGAGGTGAAGGTGGTGCACGGGTCGGAGAAGGAAGCTCCTCTCGTTGCTCTGGAATCATCAATCCCTTTGGAGCATCTTCGCGGAGCTGAAAGTTGTGCATCCCCATCCCGTCTTTCATCCCCTGATCGTGTCCTTCACCCTGAAGTTCCAGAAGAGAGCCGGCTTCCTCAGGATGCATCTCGGAATCTCCCTCGTCCCTCCCCGGAAGGAACGGGAACCCCCTTCCCCTCTGGCGGCGACCTCCAGAGATCCTCTGGTGCGGCGCTATTGCCTCCTCCGTTGCGACCTCCTGTTTCCGGCGTTGACCAGATCGTCGGGGCCGGCTTCACAGTGCAAGAAGCCGGCGAGGCCTTGGCACAGGCAGACGGGAACGCGGACCTGGCCCTCCTCCTCCTCTTGGCTAAGAACATTGTGGTCCCCACGTAGCCCCCGCCCCACCTTGCCTCCTCCCTTCTCCTAACCTCCTTCCATAGAAGCACGGAAAACAGGTTGTTCCTTTTCCAAAGTTCCCACCTGCCCGGTTTCCCTTTGGAAGCAGAATGTCGGCATTGCATCAACTCCATCGCTTTTTAATTATTACGATTTTAATGATTAAGGTGAGGAATAAAGAGTCTTTATTTAAATACATGAGGCGAGGAAAGGAATAAGCAGGTGCCCAGGAAGCTTCTGTCTTCTGCAAGAGGAGACGCTGTCGGGGAAGGTGATACACAAGAGATTGCAGCAACGCGAGGCATATCGTTTTAGTCAGGGCTAATGCTGCAGCACGCACAGCGGAAGGAAGCAATAGACCCCGGTTTGCTGCATAATAGTGGTCCAGAAGCGCCACCCTGGTTTTCTGGAGTCCTGAGGATCTGGCCCCGATAAGGATTGCTGCTCAATTGGGGATTTATGTCGGGAAATGGATGCAACGCGGCAAACTTCGCCCGCTTTCTTACAGTTTCTGCGTTTTGAGCCGACTGTCAAACTGCACAACTTACAGCCTTTTGGGAAAGAAGCGATGCTGCCTGGTCTTCATGGAAAGCTTCTTGGATTGATCTTGAAATTGCCCCCTTCCCCCCCAAAACCAGGCACCACGCTGTTTGGCTAATCCTGGGAATGTAGCGCTTTGCCTCGGAGCCGGTGTTGCTGAAGCACTCTCGCCGACTCCCTCCTCCGGCATGATTTGTTTCCGTTTCTGGAACCGGCAATTGGGCTGGGAAACCGGAGAAAGCCGACTCATCTGCGAGATCAGCCTGACTCATTGCCTTGACCCTCCGGCCGTCTCTTGGCCTCATCCCGACCCAACGTCCAACTCGGACTGGGAAGCAGCTTCCCTCGAGATGCGCAGAGTTTACGCAGGGACGCAAACCCTGTATGAACCAGGTTTCTCAAAGGTCATTCTGGGATCCTGTTAAGTTCCCCCAGCAAGGCGCATCAGGCTGTCTCTGCGGCCGGCTCAGCTCAGAGGGAAAGGCTTTGCAAAATATTGCGCCCTCAGACTTGGTGGGATTCTGGTGGAGTAGTTGTGTCAGCTCAGGTCCACCCTCTTTGAAGATTTCAGTAGGGATCCCATCAGGTCCGCTGGCTTTGTTATCTTTTTTGTTGGCTGGTGGCTTTGCTGACTTCCTCCAAAACTAGGCAGTCGTTTGAAACCCAAGCCAAGCCTTCGTCGTCGGATCATCGTCCTTCAGCTCACCCCCCCCCCTTTCTTTCCCCCCCCCCCCCCCGAAACATAATCATTGAAGGGAGTCGCAGCCTCTCAGGAATCTCCCCGTTGTTTTGCTTCAATGACGCCCTTCTCGGCCCCTTCCTCCCCTCTCCTCGTTCTTGCTCCTTGCAGCCCATGTTTGACCCTTTTGAAAACACTTGGGGGTTGTTTCTTCTAGGGAAAACGACAAGAAAGACGTGTAAGCATTTTGGAAAAATAAAAAAAACTGTTTCGCAGCGCGGTGGTGTGGTCAATGGCTTTGCATGCTCATTTCAGGGCTCCACAGATGGCTTCAGGTGCTGCGTCATAATAGTCTTATGTCACCTGCACTGCCCTGGAAGGAAGGGAAAGGAAAAGGAATTTGCCTCCTTTCCCCCCAAAACCAGGCATCTCTAGTAAAGGTGAAGATTTTCCCCTGATATTAAGTCCAGTCGAGTCTGACTCTGGGACTCTGGTGCTCATCTCCATTTCTAAGCTGAAGAGCCGGCGTTGTCTGTAGACACCTCCAAGGTCATGTGGACACTGGCATGACTGCATGGAGCTCTGTTACCTTCCCTCAGAAGCAGTACCCATTGATCTACTCACATTTGCATGTTTTCAAACTGCTAGGTTGGCAGGAGCTGGGGCTAACAGCAGGAGCTCACCCTGCTCCCTGGATTCAAACTGCTGGAGCTCACCCCACTCCCCGGATTTTAACTTCGGTCATCAAGTTCAGCAGCTCAGCGGTTTAACCCGCTGCACCACCAGGGTCTCCCGATTTTAAAATTCTAAAACATTGTTATAATATTATTAGTATACGTTTTTTACTATAATAGTATTGATATTACATTTTAATATTAATATATAGTAATATATTATTTATATTAATGCAGTATTAATATTTCTACTACAACAGTGATTGATAGATAGATAGATAGATAGATAGATAGATAGATAGATAGAGGAGCCCCCTGTGCCGACAGAACTGAAGATTGTCCGGTCGGAAGTTTGAATTTGGGGCGAGCACGGATGAGCTCTTGTCTGTCAGCTCCAGCTCCCCATTTGGGGACATGATAGAAGCTTCCCACAAGGATGGCAAAACATTGGGCAACGTCCTTGCAGGCAGCCAGTTCTCTCACACCAGAAGTGACTTGCAGTTTCTCAAGTCTCTCCTGACGTGAAAAAAATTATATATTTATATTAATATTTTAATACTACAACCCTTCTCATAATATTAATACATATTAATATTATATTAATGTTACAATTTTATACATTATATTTTAGTAATGCTACAATATTGTTACCTATAATTATACTATTATATTGATACTAAAATATTGTTATATATCTTATATTTAACAATGAGGCATGGTTATATATAATACATTAATATTACAACATTGTTATAATTTAATTAATATATTGATACTACAATATTGTTATATATATTATATTTAATATTCAGCAGGGTTATATATAATTAATATTACAACATTGTTATAATTTATTAATACTACAATATTGTTATGTAATATTTAATATTAAAGCAGCATGGTTATATATAATAAAGTAATATTGCAACCTTGTTACAATTTAATTAATATATTAATACTACAATATTGTTACATAATATTTAATATTATTGCAGCATGGTTATATATATAATAATTTAATAATACATCATTGTTATAATTTAAATAATATATTAACAATATTGGTATATATATTATATTTAATATTAATATGAATATAATAAATTAATACAACATAGGTTATAATTAAATTATTAATACTACAATATTGATACATATATATTATATTTAATGTTAGTATAATTTAACAATACAACAAAGGTTATAATTAAATTAATATATTAATACAATATTGATATATATTATATTTAATATGAATATGAATATAGTAAATTAATATACAACATGGTTATATTTTAATATATTGATACTAAAATATTGTTATATATATTTAATATTAATACAGCATGGTTATAGATAATTAAATTAATATATTAATACTACAATATTATATATATTATATTATTAATATGAATATAATAAATTAATACAACATTTAATATATTGATACTACAATATTGTTATATATATTTAATATTAATGCAGCATGGTTATAGATAATTAAATTAATATTACAACCTTGTTATAAATTAATACATACAATATTGTTATATATATTATAATTATTAATATAATAAATTCATAATACAACATAGGTTATAATTTGCTTAATATATTAATAGTACAATACTGTTTTATATATATTAATGCTGATGGTAACATGCCTCTAAGAGAGAAAAGCAGGATGTTTACATTAGTAATCATTTAATAATATGTATTTCGTATTATTTATATTTGATACGAAATATATAAATTATTATTATACTAATGTAATCTCCTAGGGTCAAATCCCATTCCATTTTAGGCCTAGTCCAACTCTGTGTGTGTGTGTGTGTGTGTGTGTGTGTATATATGTATATATGTCAAATCTGGAGGTTTTGAGCCATCAATCATGCCTTCAAATCATTCCCTCATTTTCTCTCCGCTCCAATCTCTCTCAGCAGAGCTGGACTACAATTCCCAAGGTGCTTTGCGCGAGCGGGCGGAAGTGTTTCAGGAGGAGGCGGGCTGTGATTGGATGCTGTGCGGCTGCTTCTCGGCCGGAGGCGTTTTGTTGAGAGAGCGCATGCGCATCCTCTCCTCAGGAGCAGAGGAGGGGGGAAAGGAAAAGATTCATCCTGGGCTGTGATTGGATACTCTTCTTCTCGGCGGCGTTCTGTTGGCAGAACGCATGCGCGCCGCCTCCTTGCCGGAAGTGCGCCTCAGAGCGCCGGAAGTTTCCCTCAGAGCCGCAGGGGACGGCGAAGGGAGCGGTCGCAGGCCCCTTGCGCTCCTCCTTTCTCGCTCCGGAGGTGGACGGCGGCGCCAGGACGGAGGAGAGGCGGCGGAGAGGCCGGGCCCGGCGGCCTCGGAGGGCGAAGAAGGCCCCGCTGAAGGGAGGCGGCGGCGAGGAGGACGGAGAGGACGAGGAAGGGGAAGGGGCCTGGGCCGCCGCCGCCATGGAGCCCCCCGGGCAGGTCAAGGACCGCATCCTCGAGAACATCTCGCTCTCCGTCAAGAAGGTTAGGCCCCTTTCGTCCCCTACCGTCCGCGCCATCGCCTTAGCCCGGTTTGGTGTCACTTCAGGCTTCAGAGGCAGCTGCACACCCCAGAATGAGAATGAGGCCTTCCCAGTCAGGCTGTCTAGCTATGTATACACCTGAATTCTGTCTTATTACTCTCACACAGTCATATTCCAAACTCTGGACGTTATCTTTCCATGTTTATTATGGTAGTCCTCCTCTCCATCTCTGTGTACTTGAATACTATGTCTCTTTTCGCCATGTTGTGCTCTCCTCAAGCCGGGAGGAGAGGGAGCTCCCATCAATCAGAACTATTGTCATCATCAACATCATCATTATTAATATTATTATGTTATTTGGAGGTTTTAAAGCAGAGGCTGGGTGGCCATCTGGCAAGGGTGGTTTGATGGTGCATGCTTGGACTGGATGGACCTTGAGGTCTAACTCTTCTGTTACTGAGGTTGGATGGCCATCTGTCGGGGGGCTTTGGTGGTGTCTTTCTACATGCAGGCGAAAGGGGGTTGGACTGGATGGCCCTTGAAGGCTCTTCTAACTCTTCTATTATTATTATTATTATTATTGAGGTTGGATGGTCATCTGTCAAGGGTGCTTTGATGGTGTCTGTCTTTCTACATGCAGGCAAAAGGGTGTTAGACTGGATGTCCCTTGAAGGCTCTTCTAACTCTTCTATTATTATTATTCTTATTATTATTATGATTGAGGTTGGATGGCCATCTGTCAGGGGTGCTTTGATGGTGTCTTTCTACATGCAGGCAAAAGGGTGTTAGACTGGATGTCCCTTGAAGGCTCTTCTAACTCTTCTATTATTATTATTATTATTATTATTATTATTATTATTATTATTGAGGTTGGATGGCCATCTGTTAGGGGTGCTTTGATGGTGTCTTTCTGAATGAAGGCAAAAGGGGGTTGGACTGGATGGCCCTTGAAGGCTCTTCCAACATTATTATTATTATTATTATTATTATTTATTATTATTGAGGTTGGATGGCCATCTGTTAGAGGTGCTTTGATGGTGTCTTTCTACATGCAGGCAAAGGGTGTTGGACTGGATGGCCCTTGAAAGCTCTTCCAACTTCTATTATTACTATTGTTGTTGTTATTATTATTATAATTATTATTATTGAGGTTGAATGGTCATCTGTCAAGGGTGCTTTGATGGTGTCTGTATTTCTACATGCAGGCAAAAGGGGGTTGGACTGGATGGCCCTTGAAGGCTTTATCCAACTCTCCTATTATTATTATTATTATTATTATTATTATTATTATTATTGAGGTTGGATGGCCATCTGTCGGGGGGCTTTGATGGTGTCTTTCTGCATGAAGGCGAAAGGGGGTTGGACTGGATGGCCCTTGAAGGCTCTTCCAACTTATTATCATTGAGGTTGGATGGCCATCTGTTAGGGTGCTTTGGTGGTGTCTTTCTACATGCAGGCAAAAGGGGATTGGACTGGATGGCCCTTGAAGGCTCTTCTAACTCTTCTATTATTATTATTATTATTATTGAGGTTGAATGGTCATCTGTCAAGGGTGCTTTGATGGTGTCTGTCTTTCTACATGCAGGCAAAAGGGGGTTGGACTGGATGGCCCTTGAAAGCTCTTCCAACTTCTATTATTACTATTGCTGTTATTATCATTATTATTATTATTATTATTGAGGTTGAATGGTCATCTGTCTAGGGGTGCTTTGATGGTGTCTTTCTGCATGAAGGCAGGAGGGGGTTGGAATGGATGGCCCTTGAGATCTCATCCAACTTAATATAATTGAGATTGGATGGCCATCACATCAAAGCACCCCTGACAGATGGCCATCCAACCTCAGTTATGCAGGCAAAAGGGGGTTGGACTGGATGGCCTTTGAAGGCGCTTCCAACTCTTCTATTATTATTATTATTATTATTGACGTTGAATGGTCATCTGTCAGGGGTGCTTTGATGGTGACTTTCTACATGCAGGCAAAAGGGGGTTGGACTGGATGGCCCTTGAAGGCTCTTCCAACTCTTATTATTACTATTGTTGTTATTATCATTAGTATTATTATTATTGAGGTTGAATGGTTATCTGTCAGGGGTGCTTTGCTGGTGTCTGCCTGCATACAGGCATGAGGGGGTTGGAATGGATGGCCCTTGAGATCTCATCCAACTTATTATCATTGAGGTTGGTTGGCCATCTGTCAGGGGTGCTTTGATGGTGTCTTTCTATATTCAGGCAAAAGGGGGTTGGACTGGATGGCTCTTGAAGGCTCTATCCAACTCCCCTATTATTATTATTATTATTATTGAGGTTGAATTGTCATCTGTCAGGGGTGCTTTGATGGAGGCTTTCCAACACTACTATTATTATTACTGAAGTTGGGGGTGCTTTGATGGTGGTTTTCCTGCATGAAGGAAAGAGGGGGTTGGACTGGATCGTCTTGAGGTCTCTTCCAACAGTGTTGAGGTTGGATGGCCATCTATCAGAGGTGCTTTGATGGTGTCTGCATGAAGACAGGAGGGGGTTTGATTTGATGGTTCTTGAGGTCTCTACCAACAGTATTGAGGTTGGATGGCCATCTATCAGGGGTGCTTTGATGGTGTCTGTTTGCATGAAGTCAGGAGGGGGGTTGGATTGGATGGTTCTTGAGGTCTCTTCCAACAGTATTGAGGTTGGGTGGCCATCTATCAGGGGTGCTTTGATGGTGTCTGTCTGCATGAAGGCAGGAGGGGGTTGGACCGGATGGTTCTTGAGATCTCTTCCAACAGTATTGAGGTTGGATGGCCATCTATCAGGGGTGCTTTGATGGTGTCTGTCTGCATGAAGGCAGGAGGGGGTTGGACCGGATGGTTCTTGAGATCTCTTCCAACAGTATTGAGGTTGGATGGCCATCTATCAGGGGTGCTTTGATGGTGTCTGTCTGCATGAAGGCAGGAGGGGGTTGGACCGGATGGTTCTTGAGATCTCTTCCAACAGTATTGAGGTTGGATGGCCATCTATCAGGGGTGCTTTGATGGTGTCTATTTGCATGAAGTCAGGAGGGAGTTGGATTGGATGGTCCTTGAGGTCTCTTCCAACAATATTGAGGTTGGATGGCCAACTATCAGGGGTGCTTTGATGGTATCTATCTGCATAAAGGGAGGAGGGAGTTGGATTGGATGGTCCTTGAGGTCTCTTCCAATACTATTACTATTATTGAGGTTGGATGGCCATCTGTCTTGGGTGCTTTGATAGTGTCTGTCTGCATTGATGGATGTTATCGGTGGATGCAATTGACACACTTCAGAGAGTTCAGGGTGGATGTTAGAGATCAGCAATTGTTGTTTCGCAATGTGCAGAGATTGGCAGCAGAGTAGAAGCAACCCATAAGACACAGAGGGAAAACATAGATTCCTGAGGGAAGCCTACCATTTCCCTGAGGCCAGTCCTTCCGGGTCTTTTTGTGCAGATATTTTCTGTGCCATTCAGTCTTTCCAAACCCCAAACGATCCTTCTGACAGCGTCCAAACAGCCCCAGAAGCGCACAGCGTCTTAGTCACTCTTTTGGCTCACTTCCTTATGAATACCGGAACGTTCACTTAGGGATCATATGATGCCCAGCGCTGTGTTTTGGGAGGCTTCGTGCTCCAGGGCAACTCCTTCCTGGCTCAGCAATGAGCAAGGATTGCATTGTGAAAGGCAGCTTGCAGGAGCTGACGAAGAGAGTTTGTGTTTGTCTTGCTCCGGGTTAGATCACGTGTGTATGTGTTGTCTTGTGAGCTCATCCAGAGGATCCTGGGAATTTCACAGAAATACCAAATTTTGGATTGCGTAGACTTTAAGAATTCAGTTGCTGACGGTGTTTTGCAAATGTGTTTACTCCATAAGACAATTTAGTAAACAAAATACTTGGACGCTACTGCAAACTTATAACGAGATACTCTTTACTAGCCCGCAGAAAGTTTTCTGTGGTTGGAAAAGCCTTGTGTGTTGGCTGCACATAAACATTTTCTTCATATTGTTGGGTGAGTGGGCATATTAACAAAAGACCCTCCTCATAAATGTACAGCAGAGTAACTTATTTGTAGCAGCGTGACCAATAGCCCAAAGTGAAAAAAAGAACACCAACACACAGTCCAGTGTTATTTCTTCCTTAGGAGGCTTTTCTTTATAGCAAAATAATATGGTTGTACTATTTACAACAGGGGTCCCCAAACTTTTTTTAGAGGGCCAGATCACAGTCCCTCAAACTGTTGGAGGGCCGGATTATAATTTGAAAAAAGAAACACATGAATTCCTATGCACACTACATACATCTTATTTGTAGTGCAAAAAACACTTAAAAACAATAAAATAATTAAATATAAACTTATATTAGTATTTCAATGAAAAGTGTGGGCCTGCTTTTGGCTGATGAGATAGGGTTGTTGTTGTTGTTGTTGTTGTTGTTGTTGTTGTTGTGTGCTTTCAAGTCATTTCAGGCTTAGGTTGACCCTGAGCGAGGGCCAGGTAAATGACCTTGGAGGGCCGTATCCGGCCCTCCAGCCCCTGATTTACAAGAACGTAACACAAATAAAGTTCTTTATACTTCCTTCTTTGCTTCCATGTTGGGCTTCTTTCTCATGCAGATAAACAGCTTCACAGAGCCTCTTCTCACCCCGAAGTTACACAGGACCTTCACACAGTAGCTTTTTACACTCAGTAGCCTTCACACTCAGTGGCTTTCAACCTGGGACTTCTCGCACCAAAGCATCTCACACTGAGTCCTACTTCTCAAAATGAGGCCTACTAACACTAAGGTCTACCTCACACAACAACAACAACAAAATGTTATTTATATACCACTCTATCTCCCCAAGGGGACTCAGAGTGGTTTCCAAGTCACATAATCGGCATAAACATAAAATTAACAAGACATTAAAAACCACAATAGCACATATATTTAAAACAATCCTGGCTGTTCAAGACAGTTTAAAAGGCCAGGCCGGGCTAGGGTGATTTTAGAGGGCCTGGGAAATTAGGTAGAGTCTATGGCTGTACATTTCCAGGGCCTAATAGAAGAAAGTGACCTGGGTAATTGGTAGAAAAAGATATGGCCAATTTCAACAGTATCTGTGGCAGAGCTAGAACTAGTCGTTCTTAAAGGTTTTTTAAACCACCAGGTCTTCAGGCTCTTACGAAAGGAGGGGAGGGATGGAGCCTGTCTTATTTCTTCAGGAAGGGCGTTCCAGAGGTGCGGGGCCACCACCGAGAAGGCCCTCTCTCTCCTGTCCCCACCAACCGTGCTTGTGACGGTGGTGGGAGCGAAAGGAGGGCTTCCCTGGAAGATTTTAAAGTTCGAGCCTTTCTCACACTGAGGGCTCTCTCAGACTGAGGTGAGCTTACACTGAGGCCTTCTTGTACTGAGGCCTATTAACAGACTGAGACCATTCTCCCACAGAGACCTCTCACAGACTGTGGGCTACTAAGCTACAGACACACCTGCTTATATAGAACTGCAGTTTTGCATCCATTTTAACCCTGTACCCCACTTCAGCCGGCTCAGTTTTTAATTAATGTCCTTTTGTATTGTTATCGCTGTTGTTTTTCTGCTTTAACTGTTTTATTTGCTATATATTGTATTGTTGTATTGTGTTGTGTTGGGCTCCGGCCTGTTGTAAGCTGCATTGAATCCCTTGGGAGATGCTAGCGGGGTACAAATAAAGTTTAATAATAATAATAATTTTGCATCCATTTAACCAAGGAGGATTGAAGCTGTAGTTCCTCTTATGTCATCAGTTTCTCTCAGCTGCAGCAAGGCCGTTGGAAGGGCGCAAAGGTTTTCCTTCTTCCTCTCAAGGAGTTTCACATCAGTATTCAAGGCATTTGCAGAAGTCCACCAGCTTTCAAGAGGGGTTTCACTGAGGAGGCTGAGACCAAGGCTGGCCAGTCTGTGTGTCTGGCAGGAAATATGTAACCTTCACGCTTGCCTCCTTTTTCCCATTCTCTTTCTCCCTCTCTGTCCCACACACTCGGAGCACAAAGCAGTCACTTCTCTCCAGAAGCAGGCATGGGCGGCTCTAGCTCTCTTGGTTTGCAAGCCAACTTGCCAAGTGCCAGCTTGAAGGAGTGTTGTGTCCAGAACCTATAGGTGTTGACAAACTCAAGGGACATCCAGTTGAATTTTGCTCTCAAGGGTCTGAGAGTTACCTCATACAGGAAAAGGGGGGCTGGGACCAAAACCAGGGCAAAGCACATTCATGAGTAATCAGTCAGGCTCCCAAGTTGGCCCTGTTTGCGGTGCAGGTGGACTTGGGCAATGCCATGCGCAGTGGCGCTTGGACACAGTCACACTTTGTTTGTCCCTAGAAAGGGTTATAAATAGCTGCGTGACTCAAACCCAGGATTGCCAAAGAAGCAAAGGGTGTCCTTTCTCTTACCTGGACCCACACCTGATGGTTAACCAAGGTGTCTACAGGATGGGACGGCTTCCCAAAACACATTCAGTCTGGATTGCAGTGCAGTTAATGTTGCAGCTCAGGATAGATTCATCTTGCTCAAGACACCACCACACACCAAGGCTGTAGGTTTTGTAGTTTATTGACAAAAAGCAAAATCAAAACAGAGAAATAAAGTTGCAAAAGTTCAATAGGCAAAACAGAGTCTTAAATGCAAAGGCAAAATTCCCAAGATCCAAAGGCAAATAACATGAAGCATAGTCCTTTAGCATTGATTAAACAAGAGTTACTGGCAGCATGACAAAGTCTCCAAAAATCAGGATCCAAACCAAAGTCCCAAAGAGCCAGAAGCTTTCCCCAAAAGCCAAGGTATTTCCACAGAAGTTAACAGGGTAGAAGCAACATTGCACTGACAAAAATGCCTTTCGACCAGATCATTAAATGTTCTCCCAACATGAAAGCATTACGTTGACCTCTAGCTTCACGTTTGTTGGCAAGTCGCACTCTTCTGCGAACTCTTAATTGCAAACGGTCCTGTCTAATCAAATCCCCACTATCTTCAAGGCCAGATAGCTCATTATCCTGGGCGAGGTCACCCTGGGAACCAAGAGGCCCTGAGCTCTCAGAAGGAGCCTCCACCTGCAGCTGTGAAGTTTCACTATCTTTATCTAAAGGCACATTCCTTTCTCTGGGGAACAGAAATGCCGTCTCTTCTTCAGAATCAACACTGTCTGACTCAATAACCGGAACATGTTCAGAAATCTGTAACCCATCATCCTCATCCTGAGGAAACTCAGGCTCAGAAAGTTCAGGCTCAGGCTGAGCCACAACAGTTAACTTTTGGGAGAAGAGCTTCCCCATCCTACCTCCATAGACTCTGAATGGATATGCGAAGCCATTGTTCTATCTCTGTCCTCCTCTGGTTGCCACCTGTGTACACCTTTGGTATTTCCCAGTGGCTTGTGATGGTTAAGAACAACTTCTCTGTGCTTTGGGCCCTGCTCTTTGCTGCCCTGCTATTCTGCCAGCTCATCCAGTGAGGGAAGTTAGGCATGGCGTGGGTGCCTCTCCCTCTTTCCCCAGAGCCAGCGCCTGTGGCGTCTGAAGGAGTGGCTGGGAATGCTGGCCTGGGAAGCAGCTCCACCTTGACCACTTTTCATCTTTGGCTCTTCATTTCGGGCACTGCTTTAGGCCAGTTGGGTTCTTACCTCAGTTCCTTGTTTGGTTCTCCTCTTTTGAACTTCTGTGTTGCCGTGCAACTGTATTTACCTAGTGTCCAAAATGTTGGCTCTATATTGTCAGAAATATTAAAAATTAACTAGGTATTTTGAATTACAAAAATGTGAGTCAGTGTGAGAAAGGCCCCAGTGTGAGAGAGGCATCAATCTGAGAAGGTCTCTGTGAGAGAAACCTCTGTGGGAGAAAGGCCTCGGTGTGAGGAACCTCCTCTTTTGAACTTCTGTGTTGCCGTGCATCTGTATTTACCTAGTGTCCAAAATGTTGGCTCTATATTGTCAGAAATATTAAAAATTAACTAGGTATTTTGAATTACAAAAATGTGAGTCAAGCACTGAAAGAGTTAAATGGATGCAGTGACTCAGCAAAAGCTGCAGTTCTATATAAGCAGGCGTGCCTGTAGCTTAGTTGCCCTTGGTCTATGAGAGAAGGCCTCAGTCTGAGGGAGGCCTCAGTATGATGGGTCTTAGTGGGAAAAAGGCCCCAGTGTGAGAGAGGCATCAGTCTGAGAAGGTCTCTGTGAGAGAAACGTCTGTGGGAGAAAGGCCTCGGTGTGAGGAACCGCCTCTTTTGAACTTCTGTGTTGCCGTGCATCTGTATTTGCCTAGTGTCCAAAACGTTGGCTTCATATTTCATTGACTTAACTTCTTCCCCACCTTCTGCTCCTCACTCTCTTCTTCTCTCTCTTTCAGTTGCAGAGCTACTTTGCCGCCTGCGAGGATGAGACGCCAGCCATCAGAAACCACGACACTGTCCTCCAGCGGCTCTGTGAGCACCTTGACCATGCTTTGCTCTATGGGTAAGGCCTGAAATCACGGCCGTGGTGGGTCAGCGCTTTGGGAGTTCACCAGTGTCCCGGTGCCTCTTTGGCAGCTGCATCTCCATCACCTTCCTCTTCTATTTCCCAGGCTCCAAGACCTCCCTGCCGGCTACTGGGTGTTGGTGGTCCACTTCACCCGCCGTGAGGCCATTGAGCAGATCGAGCTGCTGGAACATGTGGCCACCAACCTGGGGCGGAGTAAGTGTGACCTTGCATGGTGATCCTCACCCTCCCCATGTCATTGTTGACGCTCTGGAGAGGGCAGGGTCCCATTCCTTTCCCTCCCTTCACAGGCCGAGCCTGGCTGTACCTGGCCCTCAATGAGAACTCCTTGGAGAGCTACCTGCGCCTTTTCCAGGAAAACCTGAGTCTGCTGCACAAGTATTACGTCAAGTACGTCCACTGGGAATTTTTGGGGAGGGCAATGAGACAGGCAGGATCCCTGAATGACCCTCCTCTGCCCCACAGGAACGCACTTGTCTGTAGCCACGACCACCTGACCCTCTTCCTCACACTGGTCTCTGGCCTGGAGTTTATCCGTTTCGACTTGGACCTGGTAAGAGAAAGAAAGGGATGCAGAACTCTTTCCCTCGCCATCTGCCTCACACATTGAAGTTCAGAAGCATGAGGAGATGCCGGTCTGTGTGCTTGCCTACCTATGCACACACTCGCCATTATGGTTCATTTATGGGCTGCTGAGCTGGTTGGTTGGTCCCCTCTCAACGGGGTGGGGTGGATGCCACGGTGTCGGTCCCTTGCAGAAGTGGCAACAGAAAGCCCTGTGGCCCCTTGCAGGACGCTCCCTACCTGGACCTGGCGCCTTACATGCCCGACTACTACAAGCCCCAGTACCTGCTGGACTTTGAGGACCGCCTGCCCGGCTCGGTCCACGGCTCCGACAGCCTCTCGCTCAACTCCTTCAACTCCGTCACCTCCACCAATCTGGAGTGGGACGACAGCGCCATCGCTCCCTCCAGTGAGGGTAAGGGGGGCCAAGAAGGGAGGGGAGGACGGGACAACTCGGAAAGGTGTCGGCGAACAGGTGAACCATTGCAGCCAGGCTTTTGTGCAGGAGAGGGAGGCGTGAATGCCAAACCCCCCTGGGTCCATGCCAGGCCTTCTGCTCCGAAAAGGTGCGTGGGAGAAGAACAAGGCTTGGCCTCTTCCCCAGCCCTTGACACGCCCCTCGCTTGGCACTTTCCCATTGCCACAGAACAAGAATGTGATCCCCAACCAAGTGTCTCCCGGGCTTAGGAGTTTTTCTGCCAGCAATGAAGGGACTTCCTGGGACCGAATGAGTGCTCAGAGGTCTCTCCATGTTGGGCCAGTGGGCTTATTAACAAAAGACCCTCCCCATGAATTGACACCAGAGTAACTTAGCAGCAGCATGACCCAGCACCAGTAACTCAAAGTGATAAAAAGAACAAAAACACACAGACCAATGTTATCTGTTCCATAGGAGGCTTTTCTTTATAGCAAAATAATATAGTTGCACTGTTGACAAGAACAAGGTTTCCATGAAATAAATAAAGTTCAATCTTCACACTAGAGGCGTTCTCATACTGAGGCTTACCTCACACACAGGCTTCTCTCACAGACTAAGGCTTACCTCACACTGAGGCCTTCTCCCAGACTGAGACATTTCTCCCACTGAGGCAAACTAAAACAGAGGCCTACAAATCTACAGGCACCTTCTTATATAGAACTTTTATCTCTTCCATAAGAGACTTTTCTTTGCAGTAAGATAATACGGTTACACTAGTTACAAGAGCAAGATTTCCATGACACAAATAAAGTTCTTTATACCGTCTTTGCTTCAATGCTGGGCTTCTTTCTCATGCAGGTAAACAGTTTTACTCTCACAGAGCCTCTTCTCACACTGAAGTTACACATGAGCTTCACACAGTAGCCCTTTATTTATTTATTTATTTATTTATTTATTTATTTATTTATTTGCAAAATGTATATGCCCCCCTTTTCACCCCGAAGGAGACTCAGAGCAGCTTACAAGTTAAAAGTAAATACAATATATTATTATAATAGCACAATATTAATATATATTACATTGTACTATAATATTCTATTGTAATATTATTAGTAMTATTACATGTAATATAAAATATATAATTATGTCATTTTATTAGTAGTAGTAGTATATTGTATTACATTATAATATTATCAATATTATATGTATATACAGTATATTATATTATATTATATTATATTATATTATATTATATTATATTATATTATATTATATTATATTATATTATAAGCACAGTGCAGGAGACAAGATGGAACTGCCTTCMTCGCCCCTCTCTTCATTCTGACCTCAGAGCAGTGGTTGGTGCTGGAAGGGGGGGGGGTCCCAACTGAWGACACTGGAGGCAAGATGGAACCCTTCATGGCCACTCTYTTAACACACAKTAGCATTCCCACTTGAGCTTCAGACATGTCTTCTTTCTCATTTAAATAAACAGCTTCACTCTCACAGAGCCTCWTCTCACACCAAAGTTACACAGGAGCTTCMCACAGTAGCTTTTTACACACAGCAGCCTTCACACACGATGGCCTTTGACCTGGTGTTTCTGTYATTGAAGCTCCTCAYGCCAGTCCTACTCAAACTGAGGCCTACCTCTCACTGAGGCGARCTAACACTGAGGCCTATTCATACTGAGGCCTGCTAAAACACTGAGGCCCTTCCCCCACAGAGACCTCTTACAGACTGAGGCCTCTCTCCCTGACGTCTGCTAGCACTGAGGGCTCCCTCAGCCTGACGGTGAACCAACACAGAGGCCTTCTCATACTGAGGCGTCTCTCAGAATGAGGGCTAGTAAATTTTAATTTCTGACAAAAAACACAAATCTCTGTCCATAGAAACCTGATGCACTCATTCCTGGCAAGGTGTTTGTTTTTGTTTTGACTCCTTGAGTTTTTGCTCCCAAGGAACGGGCAGGCAAACGTGGCGTTGTCCGCTCTGCTAACGCTCCTTTTTGTCCCCGTCTTATAGATTATGATTTTGGCGACGTCTTCCCTGCGGTGCCGTCGGTGCCCACTGCAGCCTGGGAAGGTGGGGATGAGTGGCCCGGTCGCGCCTCGCTGTGCTCTCTGTGCCGCTTCTGTCTCTGCCCCGAGGCCGGTTGCATGCTCCGCAAAGGACCCGAGGAGGTCCCAAGCCTAGCCAGAGCACTCTGCTCTCTTTCCTGGGGTCTCTTCCGGTGTTTAACCTCTTCACCCTCCGCAGCTTCCAGCATGAGACACCCCCGTCTTTCTCCTTGTCCAATTAACAAATGTTTCTGCGCAGGCACCAGAGGTTCCCTCTTTCACCCGGGAAGACTAACCATGTTCTCTGTCCTGACAGCGCATGCGTCCGAAGGAATTGCACTTCTCTCCTCTCTCTGATCTCTCTCTGTGATGTCATGGTTGCAGATCTTTTCCTTTACAGTGGGGTGGGTGACTGCCAGGAGGGAAAGGGGCGTCAGGGTTAAGCCGTAGCAAGAATGTACTGAGTTGATAGAGTTTGCCTCTTGTCAGTCCTGCTCAGGCAGCTCCCAGTGCATTCCTTCAATCTCTGTGTCCTGACCTTGCTAGTGGATTGAGGCAGACTAACACTGAGGCCTACTTGCAGATCTTTTCCTTTACAGTGGGGTGGGTGACTGCCAGGAGGAAAAGGGGCGTTAGGGTTCATCTGTAGCAAGAATATACTGAGTTGATAGAGATTACCTCTTGTCAGACCTGCTCAGGCATCTCCCAGTACGTTCCCTCAATCTCTGCAGCCTGACCTTGCTAGTGGACTGAGGCAAACTAACACTGAGGCCTACTTGCAGATCTTTTCCTTTACAGCGGGGTGGGTGACTGCCAGGAGGAAAAGGGGCGTCAGGGTTAATCCGTAGCAAGAATGTACTGAGTTGATAGAGTTTGCCTCTTGTCAGTCCTGCTCAGGCAGCTCCCAGTGCGTTTCCTCAATCTCTGTGGCCTGACCTTGCTAGTGGACCGAGGCAGACTAACACTGAGGCCTACTTGCAGATCTTTTCCTTTACAGTGGGGTGGGTGACTGCCAGGACGAAAAGGGGCGTCAGGGTTGATCTGTAGCAAGAATGTACTGAGTTGATAGTTTGCCTCTTGTCAGTCCTGCTCAGGCAGCTCCCTCGATCTCTGCGGCCTGACCTTGCTAGTGGACTGAGGCAAACTAACACTGAGGCCTACTTGCAGATCTTTTCCTTTACAGCGGGGTTGCCAGGAGGAAAGGGGGCATTAGGGTTCATCTGTAGCAAGAATATACTGAGTTGATAGAGATTACCTCTTGTCAGTCCTGCTCAGGCATCTCCCAGTACGTTCCCTTGATCTCGGTGGCCTGACCTTGCTAGTAGACTGAGGCAGGCTAACACTGAGGCCTTCAAACCTACAGGCTATAGAGAACTACGGCTTTTGCTGAGTCATTGCATTTCAGCGCTCTGCAAGATCTGAGTGGCCCCAGATGGTTTAAATAAGTGTTGTCATAGGCTGTCGTGGCTGGAATCACTGGGTTGCTGTGAGTTTCCCAGGCTGCATGGTCGTGTTCCAGAAGCATTCTCTCCTGACATTTCGTCCACATCTGTGGCAGGCTTCCTCAGAGGTTGTGAGGTCTCTTGGAAACTAGGAAAATGGGGTTTATATATCTGTGGAATGTCAAGTGTTGCTATTCGCCAGCTTGATTAGCACCAAATGGCCTTGCAGCCTCAAAGTCAATCAGTGAGGGTATCTGCATAGAGGTCTGTTGGAAACGAGGCAAGTGGGGTTTATATATATATATATCCCTGTAGAATGATGTCCAGAGTGGAAGAGAGAACTCTTTGTCTGTTGGAAGGAAGTGGGAATGTTGCCATTGACCACCAATGGCCTTGCAGCTTCAAAGCCTAGTTGCTTCCTGTCTGGGGGAATCCTTTGTCAGAAGGTGTTAGCTGGCCCTGATTGTTTCCTATCTGGAATTCCTTCTGTTTTTTTGGGTTTTTTTAGTGTTGCTCTTTGTTTACTGTTTTTTTAAGAGTTTTTTTAAAAAAATACTGATAGCCAGATTTTGTTCTTTTTCATGGTTTCCCCCTTTCTGTTGAAATTGGGATTCCTCCACTTAGGAATCAGCTAGGCCTTGAAGCTGCAAGGCTTTGCAGTGCTCATCAAGGTGATTAATTGCTTCTGACAAATAAAGAGTTCTTTCTCCCACCCCTGGACATCATTCCACAGATAAATAAAAACAAAGAAAGAACAACACTTAGAAATCAGGGGGAATTCCAGGCAGGAAACAATCAGGGCCAGCTAACACCTCTCAACAAAGGATTTTCCCATTTCGAGATGGTTCAGAGATCCTCTGTGTTCCTTCCTCCTTGCTTCTGGTGGCAGGGCCTTCTCGCGCTCCCTGGGTTTTTGCCGTTTGCCCCATTCTGCCTCTTTCCTCCCCAGACGGAGACCTGACCGACACCCTCAGCTGCCCACGTTCGGTGACCTCGGAGTTGACCACCGGCCGGGCTCTGGCCAAGAGCCCCCAGCAGCAGCAGCCGCAACGCTACAACCCTTTCAACGAGAAGGTGGAGGCCCTCTCCTCCCTTGAGAGCACCCCGGTCCATTCGGCTGCACACGAGAAAGTGGACAACACCGCTGCGGAAGGGACAGACCAGTCCGAGGGTGGCACGGAGCTGGAGGTCATCAGGTCTGTGTCCGGCAGAAAGGCTTTGGAAAGGAGAGGAGGGGAAGCTTGGGTTGTCATACAATGCTGGAAAGTGGTCTTTATTCACTGGATCTGTTCACCTGTGGAACTCACTGCTTTTTGAGTATGGAGCATGCTAGTATAATTTTTGCTACATTTATTATTTTACTGCATTTATCATTGTTATTACATTTACATTATTTTATTCTCTTATTTTTATTACATTTACACTAACTATTATAGTTATTATTACATTTATTATTATCATCATTACATTTATTACTCTATTGTTACATTTATTATTATTACAGTTATTTTACTCTATTAATATTACATTTTTTATTTTTCTCTATTATTATTACATTTATTTTTTTCTCTACTTATTTTTGGCATTATTACATTTATTATTATTATATTTATTATTTTACTCTATTATTATTACATTTATTATTTTTCTCTGTTTACTCTTATTATTGCATTTATTGTTTTCTCTATTTATTATTGGCATTGTTACATTTATCATTATTGTTCTCTATTATTATATTTCCATTATTTTTCTCTATTACTATTGTTATTATTACATTTATTGTTTTACTCTATTTTTATTGGCATTATTACATGTATTATTATTATTTATTATTTTACTCTATTATTATTACATTTATTATTTTACTCTATTATTATTACATTTATTATTTTACTATATTATTATTACATTTATTATTTTTCTCTGTTTACTATTATTATTGCATTTATTGTTTTCTCTATTATTGACATTATTAAATTTATTATTATTATATGTATTATTTTTCTCTATTGTTATTATTGTTTTTATTATTTTTCTCTATTACTATTGTTATTATTACATTTATTATTTTTCTCTATTGTTATTACATTTCCATTATTTTTCTCTATTACTATTGTTATTATTACATTTATTGTTTTACTCTATTATTGGCACTATTACATTTATTACTATTATTATTACATTTATTATTTTACTTATTGTTATTATTACATTTCCATTATTTTTCTCTATCATTATTTTTATTATTATATTTATTATTATTCTCTATTATTATTACATTTCCATTATTTTTCTCTATTATTGTTATTACATTTATCATTTTACTCTTTATTATTATTATGATTATATTTATTATTTTACTCTATTTATTATTCAATGCCTTAAAAACATGCCATTCAAATGACACTAGGATTAAGTTAAAATTAATACATATTAAGCATTTAAGAACCTTTCATTCTGCACTATTCTCCGAACGCCGGATCCCAAAGCCAAGGTATTGATTCTTCCTTCCTCTTTGCAGGCTGGCGAAGAAGAAGAAGACCGGGAAGAAGAAGAAGGCCCGTCTGGAGGAGGCGGCCCGCTCTGCCCCGGAGGAGGAGGAGGAAGGGGAGGGAGGGGTCCAGAGGGGGGTCCGGGCCGAGCGGCAGGAGGGTCCCACGGAGAGCGCCCGGGCCCCCTCCCCGCCACAGCTAGGCCTCTGCATCCCTGAGATGAAGGACACTTCCATGGAGCGGGTGGGCCGCTCCCTCAGCAAGGTCATCGACTCCCTGGGGGATGTTGGTGGTGCAGGGTGGAGTGGCCCTGCAGAAGAAGCCCCTCCCCTCCAGCAGCAGCCCTTTCGGACCGATGCGCCAGGGGAGACCCCCGCCGAGGGCTCGCCCCCTCCCCCTGGCAGTGGCTTTGGGGAGGGGGCTCTGGCCCCCATGGACTTCTACCGCTTTACCCTCGAGAGTCCAAACGCTCCTGCGGCAAGTGGTGGCCACCATGACCCTGCAGGGGATGGCCAACCGACACATGTTCCTGGTGGCCCTCAAGCTGCTCCAGAAGAGGAAGGAGGAGGAAGAGGAGGCGGAGAGGGAGAGGCGGCTGGGCCCTCTGTAGCCGGATGGGCAGAGGAAGCGGAAGAGGGCGAGGAAGGGGAAGCAGGGGCCGCCCCGGAGGAGCCCCTCGACAAACCCAAGGAGGGCCAGGCGAGCCCCTCCCCAAGCAGCGCAGAGGACTCCGGGGTGGAAGAGGGCCAAGGGAGCCCTTCCGAGGCGGCGGGACACCCCTCCGAGTTCAGGTGAGCAGCCACCGACCGGGAGGAGCAGGGCAGAGGGGCCATATTTGTTTGTTGGTTTGTTTGTTTGTTTACGAGATTTATATCCCTCCCTCTCTCACCCGCAAGGGGACGTGGAGCGGCTTACAAATTATATGTACATACACAATATATTATATTATATTATTAGCATAACACAATATTAGCATTATATATTACTATTTTGTACTCTGTACCACCATACTGCAATATTATTTGTACTATTACATGTAGTAGATAATTGTTATATTATTATATTGCATTATTATTAGTATTAAATTAAAATATTGTGATCAATATTACATGTACATACAGTATTATGGTCAAGAATATATATACAAACAAGATATTATTGGCGTAGCACAATATTAGTATTATAGATTACTATTAATTTGCTTTAGGTATTGTATTGTTGTACTGTGTTTTGAGGCTTTGGCCTGTGTGAGCCGCATCGAGTCCTTCGGGAGATGCTAGCGGGGTACAAATAAAGTTATAATAATAATAATAATAATAATAATAATAATAATAATAATAATACTGCAATATTATTTGTAATATTACATGTAATACATAATTGTTATGTTATTATATTGTATTATTATTATTATTAGTAGTAGTATTGTATTGTATTAAATAATATTGTGATCAATATTATATGTACCTACAATATGTAATATTATTAGTATAGCACAATATTAGTATTATAGATTACTATATTGTACTCTGTACCACCATACTTCAATATTATTAGTAATATTATTATTATATTATATTAGTATATTAGTATGATATTGTATTACACGATTATGATCAAGATTATATGTACAAAAAGATATTATTAGAATAGCACAATATTAATATTACTGTAGTGTACTCTATGCCACTACACTGCAATAGTATTAGTAATATTACATATAATACATAATGTTTATATTATTATATTGTATTATTAATGGTATTATATTGTATCACAATATTATGATCAAGATATTATTAGCATAGCACAATATAAGTATTACTATATTGTGCTCTGTGCCACTATACTGCAGTATTATTTGTAATATTACATGTAATACATAATTGTTATATTATTGCATTGTATTAGTAGAAGTATTGTATTAAATTATAGTATTGTGATCAATATTACATGTATATACAATATTATGATCAAGATTATATGTGCAAACAAGATATTATTAGCACACTATTCGTATTATAGATTAGTATGTTGTGCTCTATACCACCATACCTCAATGGTATTAGTAATATTACATGTAATATATAATGATTATATTATTATATTACATTAGTATTATATTGTATCACAATATTATAGAATAATAGAATCAAAGAGTTGGAAGAGACCTCATGGGCCATCCAGTCCAACCCCATTCTGCCAAGAAGCAGGAATATTGCATTCAAATCACCCCTGACAGATAGCCATCCAGCCTCTGTTTAAAAGCTTCCAAAGAAGGAGCCTCCACCACACTCAGGGGCAGAGAGTTCCACTGCTGAACGGCTCTCACAGTCAGGAAGTTCTTCCTCATGTTCAGATGGAATCTCCTCTCTTGTAGTTTGAAGCCATTATTCCGCGTCCTAGTCTCTTATGATCAAGATTATTTGTACAAACAAGATATTATTAGTATAGCACAATATTAGTATTATGTTGTGCTCTATACCACCATACTTCAATATTATTAGTAATATTATTATATTATATTAGTATATTAGTATGATATTGTATTACACTATTATGATCAAGATTATATGTACAAACAAGATATTATTAGTATAGCACAATATTAGTATTATAGATTAGTATATTGTTGCTGTGGGGAGGGGCTCCCAGCTGGTGGCCCAGGAGGCACGGTGGAACTGTGTCATCGTGGCTGCCCTCCTTCATTTAATGTATGGCATTAAGGCGGTTGTTTTCACATTGCCCCCTCCCCTTCCGGTGCAGGGTGGACAACAACCACTTGTTGCTGCTGATGATCCACGTCTTCCGGGAGAACGAGGAGCAGCTCTTCAGGGTAGGCCGGAGAGGTGTTTCCTCCCAGTTTGATCCTGCTTCCTTCCCTTTCCTGTATGGGGAGTTCTCTTTCATGGAAGACAAGAAACTGTCCTTTGTCCCTGTTGAGCTCCAGTGAATGCCTCTTCCCCTCCCTCTCCCTCCTGCGCAGATGATTCGGATGAGCACGGGGCACATGGAGGGGATGCTGCAGCTGGTCTTCGTGCTGCTCACCGACTGTTACATCTACCTCATCCGCAAAGGTACCCGCAAAGGCAGCGGTCTGGCCTGCTCTCTCCCTCCCTCACTCAATTGGCTTCCTCTGCAGTGACGCCCCTCCTCACTCCCTTTGCAGGGGCCGCGGAGAAACCCTACATGGTGGAGGAGGCCGTTTCCTACAACGAACTGGACTACATCTCGGTGAGTTGGGCTGGGATTGGGCCCAGAGTGCAATAAAGTGGTAGTAGTAGCCGATCCCGGTACTGCCCACGTTCCCTTCCCCTCTGTCCTCAAGCAGGACTCGCCTTGCTCTCCTACCCCACATTCGTAGCCAAATCCAACCAGCATCACTCTGTCTTGAAGGCTCCCTTAGCTCCCAAAGCCTCCCAAAGCTCAGGCTGAGTGTGTGTCGATGCCATGGCTTCTCTGGAGAAGCCGGCAGGTCCTCCTCAGCCTGTGTGCTTTCCTTCCTGGGCAGGTGGGCCTGGATCAGCAGACGGTGACCTTGGTCTGCACCAATCGCAGGAAGCAGTTCCTCCTGGATGCGGCCGACGCCACCCTGACCGAGTGAGTGCCAGGCGGGCAAGCGGGCACTGGGGCTGGGGCGGGCTCTTCCCTCTTGATGCATGTGTTTGCAAAACGAAAGCTTCACTTATGCCCTGGAGGTGCTGCCTATTCGGAGAGAGTTCTGTTAAAGGAGGAGACTGTGTTCCGGGGTCTCTTGGAGGAACATTATGTCGAATTCCCACTTCTTCCTTTCCTTCCCGGGATTCCCTTCTCCCTCCTCAGGTTCTTCCTGGTCTCCCTGAAGTCTGCCATGATCAAAGGCTGCCGGGAGCCGCCTTATCCCAGCATCTTGACGGACGCCACCATGGAGAAGCTGGCCCTGGCTAAGTTCGTGGCCCAGCAGTCCAAGCGGGAGGTGAGCAGGGCACCCTGGAGTCCCTTCCCCACAGAGACCCATCCCTAAGGGCAGAGCCTCCCTTCCCGGCCCCTGCCTTTGGGGCCAATGACGCTGGTGCCTCTGCCGCAGATCTCGGAGGTGGTGGTGTGCTTCTACGGCCTGGTTCACTGGGAGGACCCCCTGGAGGAGGGGCAGGGGCCGGCCCCCGCCCCCTACGCTCCCGCCGAGAATGGCATCACCAAGGAGGGCGTCCTCAACTACAAGGCTGGCACCAACTACCTGGGCAAGGAGAACTGGAAGCCCTGCTTTGTGGTGCTCAGGTGAGGAGGAGGAGGAGGCCCTTCGCTGGGCAGGAGGTAGAGGCGGTGCTGCTTCTGCACCCCCCTGTCAGAAATACTGTGAGTCAAACACTGAAAGGGTTAAATGGATGCAGTGACTCAGCAAAAGCCGTAGTTCTATATAAGCAGGTGTGCCTATAGTTTAGTAGGCCTCAGTGTTAGTTTGCCTCAGTGGGAGAGAGGCATCAGTCTGAGACAGCCCTCAGTGGGAGAAAGGCCTCAGTATTACTGTATATACTCAAGTAGAAGCCTAGTTTTTCAACCCTTGTTTTAGGCTGAAAAAGTCTCTCTCGGCTTATACTCAAGTCAAAGTTATTTATTATTTTACTCTGTCATTGTTGTTGTTGTTATTACATTTATTATTTTACTCTATTATTATAGTTATCATTTTACTTTATTATTATTCCATTTATTATTTTATTTTATAAGTGTTATCATTAAATTTATTATTTTACTCTATGATTGTTATTATTACACTCTATTATTATTCCATTTATTATTTTACTGTCTTTATTATTATTGGAAGGATACGTAAGCACATTTACATTGAAGAAGATTAGGGCAGTCTTATCTTAAATTACAATTCTATATAAATATTCAAAAACATTTGACCTACTGATGCCTCAATTAATGTAATTTTATTGGTATCTATTTTCATTTTGAAATGAACCAGTAGCTTCTGAATTACTCACCCTCGGCTTATGCTTGAGTCAATCCGTTTTCCCAGTTTTTGTGGTAAAATTATACTCGGGTATATACGGTAGTTCACCTCAGAGTGAGAGAGGCATCAGTCTGAGAGAGCCCTCAGTATGAGAAGGCCTCAATGGGAGAAAGTCCTCAGTTCAATCTGAGAGAGGCCTCTGTGTGAAAAGGACTCTGGGAGAAAGGCTTCAGTGTGAGGTTAATAAGCCCACTCACCCAACACCTCCATGGGTCCTGGACTGTGCTTTCTCTCACAATGGCTTTTCCCCGCTCCGCAGCAACGGCATCCTGTACCAGTACCCAGACCGCACTGATGTCACCCCTCTGCTCTCCATCAACATGGGGTGAGTGTCGCCCACTCTCCCGCTCCCCTCTCTCCTTCCCTTGGAAGCCCACCGCCATACTCACGGCAGTCTTTCTCCCCTCCTGTGCCTGGCAGTGGGGAGCAGTGCGGCGGATGCCGGCGGTCGAACACCACGGAGCGGCCGCATTCCTTCCAGGTGATCCTGACCGACCGGCCGGGGCTGGAGCTCAGTGCCGAGAATGAGGAAGAGATGGCCGACTGGATGCAGTACCTGTGCCAGGCCGTCTCCAAAGGGGTAAGAAATAGGAGAGCGGATGAGGAAAGAGTCCAAGGGCTATGGCTGAGGCCTGGGAGCCACTTCTAGTTCCTTGCCTCTCTCTGGGGTCTGAAGGAAAATCCCCCAAAACACAAAAACAATACTTAGTCGAGCATTCAGCGGCATTCAGCAGCAAGAGAGTGTAAAGAAGGCTTGAGCTGAAGGAAGTGAGGTGCAGAGTTCCCAAAGGGTTATTAAAACCTAAGAACTCCCATTTCCTGATAGAAAAGGATTGGGTCTAAGCTTTCTCTCAACTTCATGACGTCCAAGTTCAAATCTCTCTAAAGACTACATTCACAGGGTGGGCAAACTCCAGCCCTTCCCTCGTGTTTTGGACTTCAACTTCTACCATTCCTAACAGCCTCAGGCCCTTTCCTTTCTTTCCTTTCCGCTTAAGTGTGTTCGTAGGCCTCAGTTTGAGAAGGCCTGGTGAGAGAAGCCCTGGGTTGAAGGCCATTGTGTGTGAATCTCCAGTGTGAAGGCTGCTGTAGTTCTATATAAGCAGCTGTGCCTGTAGCTTAGTAGTCTCAGTCTGTGAAAGATGTCTGTGGGAGAAGGGCCTCAGTGTGTTTGTAGGCCTCAGTATGAGAAGGCCTCAGTGTTAGCTCACCTCAGTCAGATAAAACCCTCAGTGTGAGGAGGCCTCAGTGTGAGGTAGGCCTCAGTTTGAGAAGGCCTGGTGTGAGAAGCTTTGGTGAGAAAAGCCCAAGGTTAAAGGCCATCGTGTGTGAGGCTCCAGTGTGAAGGCTGCTGTAGTTCTATATAAGCAGCTGTGCCTGTAGTTTAGTAGTCTCAGTCTGTGAAAGGTCTCTGTGGGAGAAGGGCCTCAGTGTGTTTGTAGGCCTCAGTATGAGAAGGCCTCAGTGTTAGCTTGCCTCAGTCTGAGAAAACTCTCAGTGTGAGAAGCCCTCAGTGTGAGGTAGGCCTCAGTTTGAGAAAGCATATCTTGAGAAGCTTTGGTGAGAGAAGCCCTAGGTTGAAGGCCATCGTGTGTGAGGCTCCAGTGTGAAGGCTGCTGTAGTTCTATATAAGCAGCTGTGCCTATAGCTTAGTAGTCTCAGTCTGTGAAAGGTCTCTGTGGGGGAAGGGCCTCAATGTGTTTGTAGGCCTCAGTATGAGAAGGCCTCAGTGTTAGCTCGCCTCAGTCTGAGAAAACAGTCAGTGTGAGAAGGCCTAAGTTTGAGAAGGCTGCTGTAGTTCTATAGCTGTAGTTCTATATAAACCTGTGCTTAGTAGTCTCAGTCTGTGAAAGGTCTCTGTGGGAGAAGGGCCTCAGTATGTTAGTAAGCCTCAGTATTTATTTATTTATTTATGTATTTATTTGCAGGATTTATATTCCGCCCTTCTCACCCCGCAGGGGACTCAGGACGGATTACAATGTACACATATATGGCAAACATTCAATGCCAAAGACACACAACAGATGTAGACAAACAGTCAGAGGCTATTTAACTTTTTCTGGCCGCCAGGGGAGCTGTCGCTTTCATCGTCCATCTGCAACACTTGACGAAGTACTTCCACATTCCCTGCATGCTTTTGCTGGAGTGCTTTGCTGGAGTTTTTTTTTTTTATGACCTCGTAAATTTTGTTAAATTTGCCTCCCCACACATAGGTGGTACCTAATTTTTCCTTTCGTAGTCACTGCGAATCATACATTTGGTAATCTCTGCGCCTGCGTCGCAGCGTTCGGAACCCTTTAAAATCAAAAAATGAGAGTTAGCCCTTGGCCACGCCCACTCTCCCCCCGCATAAATAGCCCGTGGGCGGGGCCAGCCGGCAGTTCTCTTCATCCGCGCTGACAAGCAGCTGGAGAACCCTATATCTCGTGCGAGCTATCTGTGAAGTAACTTATTTTCAATATTGGGTTGGCCTCTTGCTTAGTCAGGATGGCAACTAATTCATTCAAGAAATGTACAAAGTGTCCTAATGTACTACCGGACAACGATGGACACGATCTTTGCCTTGCCTGCTTGGGCGAGGCACATCTTTTTCAATCGTGCTCGGTCTGCCAAGCTTTCACTCCGCAGACAAGAAAAAATAGAATTTTACGTTTAAAGGCGGCCCTATATGAGAGAGCCCTTCTCCCATCGACAGATCCGATAAAGATCGATCCGCCTGTTAGCGGGGCCGCAACGGCTAAGAAAAAACTTAAGAAGTCTAAGGACAAAATGCTCCAAAATGGCCGTTCGGACTTGGGCAAAAAAACGGCCGCATTGGGTACGACGGTTGGTCCGTTAAGTGCCCATCATTCTGCTGAAACTCCTTCGAGATCGAAGGAGAGGGGCGAAGGTCTCCCCCTGGTGGCTGAAAGGAACGTTGCCGCCACGCCGGTACAGGAGCGGCGCGAGGGTGACTCGAGATCAACTAGAGTGACCCCACCGATGCCTGTACTTGTGCCTAATCAACCTCCTCCTATGGGAGGCTTGGGGACCTCTAAGCCAGGAGCCTCCACTCAAATTACTCCCCCGATGGCTATCCAGGGCCAGGGCACGAGTTTGGCACTTACTAGCCATCTGGCCGCCCCTCGCGCTTCTCCAAACCTGGCCATCAACATCGGCAGGGCAGTCGCTTGCAGCCTCCAACCCGCTCCTCCCCACACATAGGTGGTACCTAATTTTCCTACTTGTCTTTCGGGTTGCAAAGGTCGACAACAAGCTACACAATTGGTCGGAAGCTCACTCCAACCCGGGCTGGCTTCAAACTCATGACCTTGTGGTCGGAAGTGATCTTAATGCAGCTGACACTCAGACAGCTGCGCCATAGTCCCGATGTATGAGAAGGCCTCAGTACTAGCTCGCCTCAGTCTGAAAAAGTCCTCGGTGTGAGAAGGCCTCAGTGTGAGGTAGGCCTCAGTTTGAGAAGGCCTGGTTGAGAAGCCGTAAAGCAGAGAAACATGCCTCCTGAAGTGGTTCCATTCTAACTCATCAATGAGGATGGGAGGAGAAGGATAGAGAATGAGAGAGAACACACACAACAACAAGCATTCAGCAATGCCCTCAGCCTGGCTTAATTCTATCTATCTGCTTCTCCTTGAGGACGGCAGACTTGCGCGGTGTGGGATTGAATCCCAGCCCTGCTGACCTTCCCCTTCCCCTCTGTAGGTCATCCCGCAAGGAGTGGTCCCCGCGCCCTGTGTGCCCTGCTGCCTGGTGCTGACAGAGCAGAAGCTCTTCACCTGCCACGAGGACTGTCAGACCAGCTTCTTCCGCTCCCTGGGCGCCGCGGAGCTGCCGGACGTGGCCTCCGTCTCCACTGAGGCTGGCCGGGAGTACTGCCTCCTGGTGAGTCGCCCTCGGTGTTGCGTGGCATGGCGTGGCCTTTGAGCAGGGCCTCTAGTCTTGACCTGTGGAGGGACGCTCTCTTTCTCTTCTTCCCGGCCCCAGGAGTTTGCCCAGGACCGCAAGCAGTTCCTGCCCCCCTGGATCCTCTACTTCAGCTGTTTGGCAGAGCTGGAGCGCTTCCTTTCGGCGCTGGACGCGGCCTGGAGGAACATCTACCAGGTAGCCCCTCTCCGGTGCAGGGGAGGAGCTCTGCCAGAGGGCGTCCTATTATTTGGCCTCTATAGATGCTTAGAGTGCGGAAGGGCTCGGCTGGTTGACGAGAGGCAAACTAAATTATTTGAAATAATTATATCTTTTTCTAAGAGCACCACATTAGAAGAGTTAAACACAATGAGATGATCAGAGGTGTGAGATAGGACAGGAAAGGATACCAAAAAAATTTTAATGATTGATCACGGCACCCCCATTAACATCCAAATGGAATAAAGACTCTTGAGACAGGAATCAGGTTAACCAAATAAGTTTACCGGAGCAAAAGGCAAAGTTCATTTCAGTCAGAGTTCTTCAACAGCGAATCAAAACAAAGTATTACAAAGACGCAGTTTGTAGATTGAATTTGGTTACTCTGGAAATAAGCACTTGACTATACTCATAGAATATGAGGTAATATATTTGACTATTGAAAGTAAAATACTGGACTAAATTAGCTTCAGAAAGTTACTTGGCTATTAAAGTAAAATACTGAGCTAAAATGGTGAAGTACAAGCTATAATGACTATTTGGTAAATACTAAACTATATCACCATATAGCTTAGTATTTACCAAATAGTCATTATAGCTTTTACTTCACCATTTTAGTTCAGTCAATACAGCTATGGTGACTCTGAGGTATAGACTGCTATAAAGATCTATGAGGTTTGTATAGTTGGTAAATACAGCTGTGGGAATCTGTGAGGTATATACTACAATGATGGCTATATGGTAAATTCTGTAATGATGGTAAGAATACAAAGCTATAAGGTATATACAGAACTATATTAATTCTGAGGTATGTGGTATGTACGGGCTATAATCTTTAAGTAGTCTATGCAAGGCTATAGTATGTACAAGGCAATGGTATGTGCTCTAGGCTATAAGGTAAATATTGTTGCACTCCAGGTCAGGAAGAAGCCCTCTGACTTTAAGACATCACACGAAGAGTGGAGAAACAAATCTTCTTTTATTGAAGCTTAGTGAATAGTCAGAAGAAATAAATGCTTGTAAGAAAATAAGAAGGTTCCAAAAAGGAATAGGTCCATAAAAAGCAGTAACACAAAGTAAAGTCCACACAAGTAATAAAAGAAATCCAAGACAGCATTAATCCAGCCAGGAATCACACAAGATGCAAAGACAATCCAAAAGGCTAAAAAACTCCACAGGAACAAGAATCCTTGAACAGGATTTCCATGGCACATGAACTTGGTTTCCAAATGATGCCTGATCTAACAGGCTTCCCCTTGAGGCAAACCTTATATCCCAAAACTCAGAAATTGGTTTCACTTTCCCCCACATTTACCCCTTATCAGATGAAGCGACGTAAACACTGAGTTTGCTGTCAATCCTGGCTGATCTCCAGCCGCCTATTCTTCAGCTCCCTACCTGGCTGCTCATTAACATTCCCAGGTGTCAGATTGTTTTCCAAACTCAAATCTTGAGAGCTCGCAGAAAGAGGGAGTGAACCATGATTGCTAGGCCCAGCAGGGATATTCTCATGAGAAACTGCCCTTTGCACTGGGGCCTCTCTGTCATTGTCTGCCTGAAAATCATTGACCAAACCATCTCCATCTTGTACCTCAGCCTTGGCACCATCATTTCCCTCATCATTTCCCACATCAGGATCCTGAAACACAAACACAGGCAGATTCCCAACAAATACAGAACTATATAAACGATGTATGTATGTGCTATAGAATACCCATTTTAGATTGCCAGGCCAAGAAAACCCAGACAATTTCTGGCCTTACTCTAAAAAGCTCTAGCACAAACTATTTCTGGCCTTCTTTCTCTAAAGCTCTGCCTCGGAAAAGGTGGAGGGAAAAACCTTTTAAACGGGCTCCGAGGCAGCAGGGCTAAACCTCTGGGGGGATTTTAAGCTCTACCCCTAAAACTCAGCACAAATGGAACAGTCCACACTAAATAGAGCAAAACAAGGAAATGAACAGAGGAGGGAGAGGCTAGACCTAAAGACATCACACGTAACATTCTCTAGGTTCAGCAGGCACCAAAAAATGACCATGCGACATGCAAAAAACTACAACTTGTCCAACGTCCTTAATTAAGACGCTCCCCGAATCCCATGGTAATTACTTAATCGAGGGTGCCATAATACTTGGCAAGGCAAGAGAGTTAGATTAGACAGAAAAGAGTGCAGAACCGTATCAATGTGCATGCAAGATTGTCAGTTTTCCCAACGGTGGTCGCCCTCCTCACCTTCGACTCTTCTCGGCAGGTGGAGCTCTTGCACAAGCGGCTGGAGGAGGCCTCCGTCCGGAAGAAGTGCCAGGACGCCCTGAGCCTCATCCACAGCTCCTGGCAGCGGAGCGACAGCCTCTGCCGGGGCCGAGCCTCCAGGGACCCCTGGTGTTAGGAAGGGGAGGGGGAGGAGGAGGAAGATAGGCCTCCAAAGCGCAAAGCGGGGGTGGGTTCAGGGCTGCTGCTTCCCGAACGTGAGGCCCTCTGCCCGGGAGGGCTCCTAGGCCAGGCAGGCCTCGGTTGAGGTGTTGGGCACCCGTCGCCGGGTCCGTCCGTCGGACTGAACGCACGCCGTAACCCCTCAGTGCCACAACAGGGATTGCAGAACCAGACCTGCCTTGGTGCGGTACAGACTGAGTGCGGAGAAGGAGGCGTAAGGGGTCGAACGCCAGAGCAGCGCCGTTCGTTTACAAGGAAGGAAGGAAGCAGCGGAATGGGGCTGTCTCGGGGCCCCCTCCTGCATGCGTCTCCCTCCTCGCCCGATTTGCACTGCTTCGCCGCCTAACATTATGGTACGGCCACACCGGCTTCTTCGCAAGCCCCGTCTATCTGGGAAGGGCTGGCGATGGAGTGAGTGGGCCCATCTCCAAAGAGGTGCAGATGGCTTGAATAGCCAGAAGGTGTCACTCTTGAGCCAAACAGAAAGGCCCATTGAGGCAGCTTCCGAACGAACTGAGTCCGGGAAACAGGCAGAGGGGTTGGGTCTTCAGTTTCCTTGGTGGTGCCCGGGAGTTGTTTTTATTAAGCTGTTACATGTTTTTAAACACTTTAACACAACTAGGGCGTTGCTCATGTACTTCCATGCATTCACACGGGGGCCTTTGTGTTTTTGTTTTGTTTTTTTTGCTCCTGGGAGGCGGGGGCCTCTTGGGAAGATGTTCCTGTACATATATATATATATATATATATACCCTCTCGATTCCATCCTGTAATAAAATGCTGCTTCTGGGTGACGACTTGTGGTGCTTCGTCTGCCTCTTCCGGGGGTCCCTGTCCCCTACATTCTCTTTTCACTTGTTCAAGTGTCTTCAGATTGAGAGGCGTTGAAGGTTGCTTCCTCCTTGGCCCTTTTTCAAGACCTTTGGCATCTGAAAGATGCTCCAAAGGCAGAGCTTAGAACAGGCCTGGGTGAGTGGGCTTATTAACAAAAGACCCTCCTCATTAGTGCACAGCAGCATGACCCAGCGCCAGTAGCCCAAAGTGGTAGAACAAAAACACACAGACCAATGTTATCCCTTCCTTGGGAGGCTTTCTTTATAGCCAAATAACATGGTTGCACTATTTACAAAAGCAAGTTTTCCACAACACAAATAAACAAATACACTGTAGCTTTTCACGCAGCAGCTTTCATACTGGAGCTTTCTCACACGAGGCTTTTCTCACACAGAGGTTTACCTCCCACTTCTCAGGACAACATCAGCTTTAGCCCAATGACTCTTAACAGGCTTCGACCTACTCATTCTTCTTTGTGGTAAAATAATATGGTTGCACTATTTGCAAGAACTAGGTTTCCACAACACAAATAAACAAATACAGTGTAGTTTTTCACGCAGCAGCTTTCATACTGGAGCTTTGTCACACAAAGCTTCTCTCACACAGAGGTTTGCCTCTCATTTTTCAGGACAACACCAGCTTTGGCCCAATGACTCTAACAGGCTTCGGCCTACTCTTTGTGGTAAAATAATATGGTTGCACTATTTGCAAGAACTAGGTTTCCATAACACAAATAAACAAAAACACAGTCACTTTTCATGCAGCAGCTTTCACACTGGAGGTTTCTCACACGAGGCTTCGCTCACACAGAGGTTTATCTCCCACTCCTCAGGACAACACCAGCTTTGGCCCAATGACTCTTAACAGGCTTTGGCCTACTCACTCTTCTTTGTGGTAAAATAACATTGTTGCACTATTTGGAAGAACTAGGCTTCCACAACATAAATAAAGAAATATTTATTTATTTATTTGCTTTATTTCTATACCGCATTTTTCAGCCTAATAAGGCGACTCAATGCGGTTTACACAATGAAAATTATCACAATAACATCAATACTATCACAACAATATCCTAAACAATTAAAACACATCATATGCAACAACAAAATCATACAATCATTAACAATTCATAACGCCTCAATATGAAATCAGTATCCGTTCTCGTAATCCTTATGCCATTCCTGAGATCAAATTGTATCGTCCTCCTATATTCAGTTGCACTGTTTAGCCAAACGCTTGTTCATAGAGCCAGGTCTTAACCTTCTTCCGAAACGCCAGCAGCGAAGGGGCCTGTCTGATGTCTACAGGTAGGGCATTCCATAGCCAAGGGGCCACCACCGAGAAGGCCCTGTCCCTCGTCCCCGCAGGCCGCGCCTGTGACGCAGGCGAGACCGAGAGCAGGGCCTCCCCGGACGATCTTGATACACAGTAGCTTTTCACACAGGAGCTTTCTCACACGAGGCTTCTCTCACACTAAGGTTTACCTCGCACTCCTCAGGACGAGACTAGATTTGAGCCACTGACTAACTGGCTTTGGCCTACTCAGTCTTTCAGTGCTTGACTCACACTTTTGTAATCAAAAATACCCAGTTAATTTTGAATATTTCTGACAGGCCTCACCGCAGTGGCTGCTTCCATCACCTTCTGCTTGTTCTTGAAAATGTTGTTGTCAGCTTTGTCCTTCTCAAACAAGAACTAGGTTTCCATAACTCAAATACACAGATTTACATGCAGCAGCCTTCACACTGGAGCTTTCTCACACGAGGCTTCTCTCACACAGAGGTTCTCCTCACACTCCTCAGGACGAGACTAGTTTTGGCCTACCGACTCAAACAGGCTTCGGCCTGCTAACTCTTTCGGTGTTTGATTCACAATTTTGTAATCAAAAATACCTCTGACAAAGAGATCTGACCAAAGCAAAGCTTCATCCCTCAATCTGGACACTCAACTCCTTTGGGTGCAGCTTTTTCAGCTGCTGCATCACACTCTTGGCCCGTGTTCAGCTTGTCCACAAAGACTTCCAAGATCTTTCTCGCATGGACTGTTGAGCGAATCCTCCCTTCTTTCCTTCCTGCCTTCCTCTAAGAAGAGCTTCCAGGAAGGCCAAACGGGCAGCCGACTACGAGGACTTTCCCATTAGGACTGTACTGACCTACTTCCCATCCCGCTTGGCCTGGCCTCCTTGCAAATAGTCTCTTCGGTAACTGGATCCCCTTCTGCAACCCGGCCTGGAGGGAGGCCGGTGGACCATGCCGGCGGCACGGGGGCAGCACGGGAACAGTGCCTGCTGAGAAGGAAGGAAAGGAGGGAGGCCCATGAGTACCGGGAACGTGCTCACCACAACCAGCTCCTTGGAGAGGCGGAGATGTACAAGGGGCCTTCATTAAAGCTTTCCCCTGACCCACTTCTGTTTATCACAGGACGCTGAAACTGCCCGTGTGTAATGATAGAAGTTTCTCTAGGTTGTGTGTCAATTCACAAGTTGGAGCGGAGAACGGTCTTGATGTGACAGGTCCTGAAGTGGAGTGAGGTTTGAGAATGGACCCAGCGGAATACAGAGCGATCCTCAAGTTCCTTTACTCGAAAGTCCGCACACCAAAGGAGACGTTCGATGAGATGAAAAAAGTTGAGGATTCCCCATCATATGATGGAGTCAAGAAGTGTCATCGTCCATTCCAAAGTGGTCAGACTTCGGCGGAAACATCTCCAATTCCAGAGCGACCCCACTCTGCTATTGAGAAACACACCACCCAGGAAGTGGAGGTCGCCATTTTGGGAAATCGCTACGTAACGGTTCACCTAGCCCAAAGTGTCGAGTGTGGAGTCCATGGAAAAAACCATCTTCAGATGTATAAGATATCTCTCGCTGGGTCTCCTGGCTGCTCACACCTTTCCAGAAGCAGGAACGAGTCCCATGAATGTTCTCATGACAATGATGTGCCATGGAAACCATGACTGATCACATAGGATGAAATCTGGGTCCATCCCTCTGATCCTGAGACTCAAGTCCAGTCTATGCCATGGAAGCATCCTTACTTAGGCCTCCAAAGAAGGCACGTGCCCAACTCTCAGCAGGCAAGGTCATGCTCACAGGATATTGGGACCGGCATGGAGTACAATGGATGGATTTCCTACCAAAGGATACCATGATCACTGGGGCAGACTAGGCTTCACTGCTGCGGACATTGCGGGAAGTCATCCAAACCAAGAGACGATGTGGACACACCAAAGGTGTCTGCCTTCTGCAAGACAATGCACCAGCTCACAACTTATCTGTTGCCCAAATGGAAGCACCCTGATGTTGAGATGTTTATGCAAGGGGGGAATGGGAGTCATAGAATGTACTGTTTGGACCATGGATGATGGGACTTCATTCTCTTCTTGATACCCCAGCGACCCACACCAATGGCTGATCCAAACTCAGCACACAGAGCCCCCATGATCCCCTCTACATCCTGGTGCAGTTTGACAGATGATGGGGCATGGACGATGGGATTTGCAGTATCTTCACTCACTTCCTGAGACCACTGCAACACACACCAATGACTGATCCAGACCAAACCCGGCACACAGAATCGCCATGACCCACTCTACATCCTGGTGTAGTTTGGAGGAGGGTGGACCATGGATGATGGGACTTGCAGTACCTTCACTCACTTCCTGAGACCACTGCGACACACGCCAATGACTGATCCTGAACAAACCCGGCACACAGAACCTCCCATGACCCCACTCTACAACCTGGTGTAGTTTGGAGGAGGGTGGACCATGGATGAAGGGACTTGCAGTACCTTCACTCACTTCCTGAGACCACTGTGACACACACCAATGACTGATCCTGACCAAACCCGGCACACAGAGTCCCCATGACCCACTCTACAACCTGGTGTAGTTTGTCAGATGATGGACCATGGATGATGGGACTTGCAGTACCTTCACTCACTTACTGAGACCACTGCGACCCACACCAACGACTGATCCAGACCAAACTTGGCACACAGCCGCAATTCTAAGGTGCACTCCAATCTTGGAGATCTTTACCCAAGGGAGGAATGGGAGACATAGATTGTGCTGGTCCGGAACAATGTGGCGACATGTGCGCAAAGGGCAGAGGGGTCAGTCTTTGCCCACTGTACTTTGCCTAGCTGTTGATGGTCACTGTCTTGGGAATGAGTCCCTTCCCCTCCTCCTTTCCTCCTTCAGCACTGTCTGTTCCTGCCAGTCCAGGGCAAGACGATGCCTCCTGGGTAAGTAAACACGAGGGGCGGGTGGTGGACGGAGGGAGGCAGGGCCGTGCCTTTGTCCTGCCTCTGAACTTTCCCCCACATTCGGGTTGTCCCTCCCCTTCTGTGGCTCGAGAGGAGGCGCATAAATAGTGCCAGGCGCTGGGTTTCATTCAGGCGAGAGGCAGAGGAGGAGAAGGGCACCCTTGAGGCAGGACCCCCATTATGGACCCCTCTTCTTCTTCCTCCTCCTCCCACCACGTCTCCCCTCCGGTGGACTTTGTGCTGGGGGCCACGGCCTGCTGTCTGGCCTGCGTCTTCACCAACCCACTGGAAGTGGTCAAGACACGGCTGCAACTGCAGGGCGAGCTGCGGGCAAGAGGCAGCTACCCACGCCACTACCGAGGGGTCTTGCAGGCCCTGGTGGCCGTGGGACGGGCCGATGGGCTACGCGGGCTACAGAAGGGCCTGGCGGCTGGGCTTCTCTACCAGGGACTCATGAACGGCGTGCGCTTCTCTTGCTTCTCCCACGCAGAGGCCCACGGGTGGACGCAGCACCGCGGCGGAACCGTGGCAGCCGGAGCCGTGGCCGGAGCATTGGGTGCCTTCCTGGCGAGCCCTGCTTACCTGGTGAGTGAGTGAATGAGCCAGATTCGCCCGAGAATGGATCCCCATTATTATCATTACCACTCGATGTGACACCATTTCAATATTCTATCCCTGGCATGGTCCAACTTCGGCCCTCCCTCCAGGTGTTTTGGACTCCAACTCTAACAACTGAACACAGTATCTATCTCTCATATATGACATGTATATAATCAGCTTCTTAGAAATGCATCAGAATGTAACTCGGGAACATCCTCTGTGACCCTGTCCAGATAATCTCCCGGGAACTGAAACGGTTGAGCAAATCCCTCTGGCTGTTTCCCAAGCCAGGTCATCATCACATTCCTTGTTGGAGTCCAAAACACTTGTAGGGAGGGCCAAAGTTGGACCATGCCTGGTGAAACCGATACGAGAGAGATTTGTCCGACACAGTGCCGTTGTCGTCATGCGTCCAGGACTATCCCGGGCCTGGATTTTCCGAGCCAAAGCTTGAGCCTTGGAGCTCGTCCCAGCTAGTTGTGCAAATTGAGCCTCCGAAGTGGGTTGGAGGGCGAAGCCTGGCTCTGCATGGAGCAGAGGGATCTCAGCCCTCTCTTTCCTCCCTGGTTTTTGCATTCAGGGTCTTTCTTTCAGTCTTGAGTGTTAAGAGACTCCTCTCTCGGCTTATCTTCTCTGCTCCTCTCAGGTCAAGACTCACCTGCAGGCCCAGACCATCGCTGCCGTGGCCGTGGGGCACCAGCACAACCACCAGGTGAGATTCTTCGTTTGCTCCTTCCTTCTGCTGGACCTGAACTTGTCTCAACGGCGTGAAGACAGGCATCCAGTCATATTCTTCATCGTGGTCCCTGTGAAATCGCACATATTGTATTTCCACATGTATTTCCACTTCCCAAGTGCCTAGGCCTGTTGTTATTATTACTATATAATAATATGTATTTATTCTTATTTATTATATTTATTATTATTATAAATATTTACTATATTTATTTATTATTTATATATTAATATTTATCATAGGATGCAATAATAGAAGCATAGAGTTAGGAGGGCTCCCTAAAGACCATCCAGTCGAACCCCCTTCTGCCAGGCAGGAAGGCACCACCTGATCCCTCCCAACAGAGGGACGTCCAGCCTCTGCTTTGAAACCCAGTCATGTTGTTGTCATTAATGATAATAATATTTATTATTATATATAATAATATGTATTTATTATATTTATTTATTTATTGCATTTATCATAAGATGCAGTCATAGAAGCATAGAGTTGGGAGGGTTTCCTAAAGACCATCCAGTCTTCTGCCAGGCAGGAAGGCACCACCTGATCCCTCCCAAAAGAGGGCCGTCCAGCCTCTGCTTTGAAACCCAGTCATGTTGTTATTAATGATAATAATATTTATTATTAGATATAATGATATGTATTCTATTTATTATTATAAATATTCTATTTATTTATTTACAGACTGATTATATTTATCATAAGATGCAGTCATAGAAGCGTAGAGTTGGGAGGGCTCGCTAAAGACTATCTAGTCCGACCCCATTCTGCCAATCAGGATGGCACCACTGCTCTTGCAGGGACTTACTGGTGGTAGCTCCCCAAACTCTTCATCTTGCCTGTATTTACTCAATTGGAAGCATATCTGGAGATGGATGAATGGTCAGAGAGGGAGAGAGGGATACCAAAGGGGAGTTTGTGGGGCATTTTCTGGGCAGCCCTGCCCTGTTGTTGGCCCTTTGCACGAGGACAAAAGGCGGTGTTTTGTAACAGTCAGAAGTTGCTGAATGCGAGGGAAAGGGAGCGACAGAGGCGGGCGAGGAGGAGGAAGAAGAGGAAGAAGAGGGTGGTGTGGTGCCAAAGGGCATCTGATGACGCTGGCTGTTTGTGCCGCTGGGCACGGATCACTTTCCAACAGCCTCAGCAAGTTTGCTCAGCAAAACACACACGGACACAGGCACTCCCTCCTCCCTCCCTTTTGAGCTGGCTGTTGGGCTCCTCTCCATTATGGGGAGGGCCTGGACTCTGGCCATCTGCCGGGAGGGATCGTAGGGAGTTCCTACCAACCGGTAGTTGGAGGAAGGGGAGCAGGGAAATGCTCAGGAACTGGAAGGAGAAAAATCAGACCATGAGACAGAGCACAGATGACGTTCAGTTAAGATAGCTGCTAAAAATGCCGAGCTAATTGGGAGACACCCTAGCACCTCTTGCATGGGGGATTCAGGGCTATAAAGGTCCATCCCTTCGTTCTTTCGTTGTGTCTTCCTTAATGGAAGAAGAAGGTTGGACAGGATGTCCCCTGGGGGTCGCTTCCAATTCTAGGATTCTCTGGAGGTCTTACAAAGGAGGCAGGCTGGCCATCTGTTGGGAGGGATTGGAGGGTGTCCTCCTGTGTGCAGGACAAGGCTGGACTGTGTGGTGCAATGTAGAATCAACCATGTGTAGTTCACATTTGATTAGCCCGCACACTGCCTTACCAGAGAAATAAAACATAGCATGCAGATGAAGGGAGGGCCTGGACTCTGGCCAACTGTTGGGAGGGATCGGAGGGGGTTCCTTCCAACTGGGTCTCAGGTCCTTCATTCTTTCGTTCTGTCTTCCTTAATGGAAGAAGAGGGCTGAACAGGATGTCCCTTGGGGGTCCCTTCCAATTCTAGGATTCTCTGGAGGTCTTTCAACGGAGGCTGGATGGACATCTGTTGGGAGGGATCGAAGGGTGTCCTCCTTCCCTTCATTCTTTCGTTCTGTCTTCATTCTGGAAGAAGAGGGCTGAACAGGATGTCCCTTGGGGGCCCCTTCCAATTCTAGGATTCTCTGGAGGTCTTTCAATGGAGGCTGGATGGACATCTGTCAGGAGGGATCGAAGGGTGTCCTCCTTCCCTTCATTCTTTCATTCTGGAAGAAGAGGGCGGAACAGGATGTCCCTTGGGGGTCCCTTCCAATTCTAGGATTCTCTGGAGGTCTTTCAGCAGAGGCTGGATGGACATTTGTCGGGAGGGATCGAAGGGTGTCCTCCTTCCCTTCATTCTTTCATTCTGGAAGAAGAGGGTCGAACAGGATGTCCCTTGGGGGTCCCTTCCAATTCTAGGATTCTCTGGAGGTCTTTCAACAGAGGCTGGATGGACATCTGTCGGGAGGGATCGAAGGGTGTCCTCCTTCAGTAGCTCATGAAGTGAGAGCACACTCCAAACTCTGTCTCTCTGCTTCACTCTTTGAGCACCAGCATAGCTCAAGCCTGAACAAAAATGTAACAGTACCCAAAAGTCCCAGGCTCAGCCATCTCCCCAATCAGCTCCATACACCTTATTTTGGGAGGGATCGGAGGGTGTCTCCATTTGTGACACTTTGGGGGCCCCTTCCAGGTCTAGAAGCCCCTCATAGTGCAATGCCCCTTGTCCCTTCTTTCCCTCTCTGCCCTTTGTTTACAATGGCTCTCTTGACCCCTGGGCTTTCTCCTCCCTCGCAGAGCGTCTCGGGGGCCTTTGAGACCATCTACCGGAAGCAGGGTCTGCTGGGCCTTTGGCGTGGGGTGAACGGCGCCGTGCCACGTGTAATGGTGGGCTCTGCGGTCCAACTGGCCACATTTGCTTCGGCCAAGGAGTTTGTCCGCAAGCGCAAGGTGAGCCAGAGAGAAGGGGCAGGTGAGAGAGGAAGGGCCTTCACATAGGAAGGCAGGGCACTGACCTCTTCTCCTTCTTTCCTTCCTTCCTTCCTTCCTTCCAGTGGTTCCGGGAAGGCAGCTGGATGGTGGCACTGGCCGGGGGCATGATCAGCAGTGTGGCCGTGGCCGGGGCCATGACACCCTTCGACGTGGTCAGCACCAGGCTCTACAACCAGCCTGTGGATGAAGCAGGGCTGGTAAGCAAGGGCCATAAATCAACATGGTGTTGTTGTTGTTGTTGTTGTTGTTGTTGTTATGATGTATTCCCCTCCTTAAGACCTTGCACAGCGACAGGTCCCCATTCCCCCTTCTGCCCCCTTTGTTCGCCTCCTCCAGCCCCAAGGAAAGCTGGGTCAGAAATAAATATGTATTATTATTATTACTATTATTATTAGTATAGAATCATAAAATCAAAGAGTTGGAAGAGACCTCCTGGGGCATCCAGTCCAACCCCATTCTGCCAAGAAGCAGGAATATTGCATTCAAACCACCCCTGACAGATGGCCATCCAGCTCTGTTTAAAAGCTTCCAAAGAAGGAGCCTCCACCACACTCCGGGGCAGAGAGTTCCACTGCTGAACGGCTCTCACAGTCAGGAAGTTCTTCCTCATGTTCAGATGGAATCTCCTCTCTTGTAGTTTGAAGCCATTGTTCCATTGGGTCCTAGTCTCCAAGGAAGCAGAAAACAAGCTTGCTCCCTCCTCCCTGTGGCTTCCTCTCACATATTTATACATGGCTATCATATCTCCCCCGGTGGCGCAGTGGGTTAAAGCACTGAGCTGCTGAGCTTGTTGATCGAAAGGTCGCAGGTTCGATTCCGGGGAGCGGCGTGAGCTTCCGCTGTCAGCCCTAGCTTCTGCCAACCTAGCAGTTCGAAAACATGCAAAATGTGAGTAGATCAATAGATACCGCTCCGGCGGGAAGGTAACGGCGCTCCATGCAGTCATGCCGGCCACATGACCTTGGAGGTGTCTACGGACAACGCTGGCTCTTCGGCTTAGAAATGGAGATGAGCACCACACCCCAGAGTCAGACATGACTGGACTTAATGTCAGGGGACTACCTTTACTTTATCATGGCTATCATATCTCCTCTCAGCCTTCTCTTCTTCAGGCTAAACATGCCCAGCTCCTTAAGCCGCTCCTCATAGGGCTTGTTCTCCAGACCCTTGATCATTTGAGTCGCCCTCCTCTGGACACATTCCAGCTTGTCAATATCTCTCTTCAATTGTGGTGCCCAGAATTGGACACAATATTCCAGGTGTGGTCTAACCATAGAGGGGTAGCATGACTTCCCTATGTTCCTATTCTCCTATTGAGGCAGGCCAACATCCCATTGGCTTTTTTTGCCGCCACATTGTAGTAGTAGTAGTAGTAGTATAGTATATTTATTATTATCATTATTCTCTTCTTTAAGACTGCAAAGTGCCAGGTCCCCATTTCCCCTTTTGCTCCCTTTGCTTTCTCTCCTCTTTGCCTTGGGCTGTGTTGTTGTTGTTGTAATTATTATTATTGTATCACATAGCAACACAGCACATGTGCACATTAGGTCCAAGTATCTGGGATTTGTCTCTGAATGTTGGGCTCTTCTCAAGGGCCTAGGCTATTTGATATATTATTATTATATCAGAATAATAATAATAATTTTATATTATTATTATTATTATTATTATTATTATTATTATTATTATTTACAGTATTTGTATACCGCTTTTCTCATCCCGAGGGGGACTCAAAGCCGTTTACACATAAGTAATGGCAAAAATTCAATGCCAGTACAAAAATTCAATGCCACAGTACGTGTGGCGTTCGGATCCAAGCGAGTCAAACCGAGCACGGTTTGTGTCCTTTCTTAGGGCATATGCCGCGGCAATAAAGGCCGCAAAGAAAGTTTTCTTTGCGGCCACTATTGCGTCTGCAAAGAACCGTCCGGCGGAGTTGTTTCGGATTGTTAGAGGTCTTTTAACTCCCGCCACCTCTGGCGGGAGCCCTGACAATTCGGTCACGCGCTGTGAAGCATTTGCTCGGTTCTTTGCAGACAAAGTCGCCTTGATCCGTTCTGGGCTGGACGCCGCGTTAAATGCAGTCTCAGAGGATGTAACAAGAGCACCTGCTTGTCCTATTTTGATGGATTCTTTTCAGTTTGTGAAACCCGAGGATGTGGACAAGATACTTGGATGATTGGATCCGGCACAGTCTGGTTTCAGACCGGGACATGGTACCGAGACGGTCTTGGTCGCCTTAGTGGATGATCTGCGCCGGGAGCTAGACAGGGGGAGTGTGTCCCTGTTGGTGCTCCTGGACCTCTCCGCGGCCTTCGATACTGTCGACCACAGTATCCTTCTGGGGCGCCTTGCGGAAATGGGCCTTGGGGGCACTGCTCTGCAGTGGCTCCACTCATTCCTGGAGGGACGCACCCAGAAGGTGTTATTGGGGGACTCCTGTTCTGCCCCACAACCTTTGACTTGTGGGGTTCCACAGGGTTCCATACTGTCCCCCATGCTGTTTAATATCTACATGAAGCCGCTGGGTGAGATCATCCGGAGTTTCGGGGTGCGGTGTCATCTGTACGCAGATGATGTCCAACTCTGTCACTCCTTTCCACCTGCTACTAAGGAGGCTGTCGGGGTCCTGAACCGGTGCTTGGCCGCTGTGACGGTCTGGATGGGGGCGAACAAATTGAAATTGAATCCAGACAAGACAGAGGTACTCCTGGTCAGTCGTAAGGCTGAACAGTTGATAGGGTTACAGCCTGTGCTGGATGGGGTCGCACTCCCCTTGAAGGCGCAGGTTCGCAGCTTGGGTGTGACCCTGGATTCATCGTTGAGCCTGGATCCCCAGGTTTCAGCGGTGACCAGGGGAGCATTTGCACAGCTTCGGCTCGTGCGCCAGCTGCGCCCGTATCTCGGGAAGTCTGACTTGGCCACGGTGGTACACGCTCTGGTCACATCCCGGCTTGACTACTGCAACGCTCTCTACGTGGGGCTGCCCTTGAAAACGGCCCGGAAGCTTCAGCTGGTTCAGCGTGCGGCAGCCATGTTACTAACTGGAGCGGGATACAGGGAGCACACAACACCCTTGTTGTCCCAGCTCCACTGGCTGCCGATTTGCTACCGGGCCCAATTTAAGGTGCTGGTGTTGGCCTACAAAGCCCTGAACGGCTCCGGCCCAAAATACCTTTCAGACCACATCTTGGCCTATGAGCCCACGAGGACCTTGAGATCGTCTGGGGAGGCCCTTCTCTCGATCCCGCCTGCCTCACAGGCACGCCTGGCGGGGACGAGAGAGAGGGCCTTCTCAGTGGTGGCCCCCCGGTTGTGGAACACTCTCCCTACAGACATCAGGCAGGCGCCCTCTCTTTTGTCCTTCCGAAAAAGCCTCAAGACGTGGCTGTTCGAGAGGGCATTTAATTAAGTGCTATAGTAATGTGGTAAAGACGACTGGAATGGTACAAGGAATACGAGATTGGTCACGATTCTATTACGAGACGAAGCGGATTAGTTAGTGTAATTTTAAATGTTGTATTGTTGTATGGTTAATATGCTGTTGTACTTGTCTTTGTGTGAATTGCCTTTTGTACTGTACACCGCCGTGAGTCGCCCGAGTGGGCTGAGAATGGCGGTTAATAAATGCTCCAAATAAATAAATAAATAAATAAATAAGTACAAACAATTACAATTTTACACTCCAATTAGACATAAATCAAATTAAACAATCATTAAAACAATAAAACAGTACCGTCCATCGAATCACCGTTCCAGTCATTGTCTTTCCAAAATGCTGCATACATTTACTTCTACTACCCGAAGGCCTGGTCCCAAAACCATGATTTTAATTTTTTTCTAAAAGCCAGGAGGGAGGGAGCGGATCTTACCTCATTTGGGAGTGTGTTCCATAGGCGGGGGGCCACAGCCGAGAAGGCCCTGTCTCTCGTCCCCGCTAGACGCATCTGTGCTATTGCCGGGAGCGAGAGCAGGGCCTCCCCGGATGATCTTAGATTACAAGGTGGGACGTAGGGGTGGATGCGTTCGGACAAGTAAGTAAAATATAATACATATATATATATCATATTATATTATATTTTACATATACATAACAACATAGCAGACATGCCCAGGAGGCCCAAGTGTCTGGGCTTCATCTCTGAATATTGAGCTCTTCCCAAGGGCCTGGCATATTAGTTATTATTATTATTTATTATTATTATTATTATTATTATTATTATTATTATTATATTAATATTTTATTTTGCATGTACTAACAACACAGCATGCATGCACATTAGGCCCAAGTGTCTAGGCTTTGTCTCTATTATTAGATAATATTCAATAAATATTAGAGGTATTTTCGTAGAATCTGCACAGTTTTCCAGCACTTGTTGTTGTTGTTGTTGTTATGTATTCTCCTCCTTAAGACTTTGCAGAGTGGCAGGTCCCCATTCCCCCTTCTGCCCCCTTTGCTCAAGCGGTGGGTAATCCAAAATGTATGTGACGATGATGCTGATGAGTGCATCCTATTATTATTATTTATTATATGATTAGTATATATTATTATATTCTCTTCGGCTATGACCTTGTAATGTTGTTCTTCCTCCTTTGCAGGGCAAACACTACCGGGGCTTCTGGGACTGCTTTGTGCAGGTCTGCGGGAAGGAGGGCCCCTGGGCGCTCTACAAAGGCCTGGGCCCGGCCTACCTCCGCCTGGGGCCCCACACCATCCTCAGCCTCCTCTTCTGGGACGAGCTGCGCAAGGTCACCTGCCGGCACCTCCACGGCACCTGAGGAGCGCCCACAACGCACCTGCGGAGCAACACACTCCCCTCTCGGCCTGAGGCGACCCCTGGCCCGGTCAGTGGTCAAGGCCAGACCAAGCAAATTTGAGATGACCTCTGGCCCGGTCAGCGGTCAAGGCCGGACCAACCATGTCGGAATGCTTGCGGAGAGGCCTCAGCGACAGCAAATTCCCTTCTGCAAGGCTTTCCTTCCAGCTCCAAAAGACACACAGACACAGACACAGACACACACTCCATTGGATCATGGGCATTATAGTTCAACAGACCAAATTAATACTACTACTATAGCTGCAGATGGGGGCAAAATGTCAGGAGAAAATGCTGCTAGGACACGCTGGCCGTACCTTGTGTCAGCAACAAGGGTTTCAGGTGTCTACTACTACTACTACTATTATTATTATTATAGCTGCAGATGGGGGTGAAACATCAGGAGAAAATGCTACTAGGAAACGCAGGACATACCTTGCATCAGCAATAAGGGTTTCAGGTGTCTACTACTACTACTACTATTATTATTATTTCAGCTGCAGATAGGGGTGAAAAGTCAGGAGAAAGTGCTGCTAGGACACACTGGCCGTACCTTGTGTCAGCAATAAGGGTTTCAGGTGTCTACTACTACTACTACTATTATTATTATTGCAGCTGCAGGTGGGGGCGAAAAGTCAGGAGAAAATGCCACTAGGACATGCTTGCCGTACCTTGCATCAGCAATAAGGGTTTCAGGTGTCTACTACTACTACTACTACTACTATTATTATCATTATTATTATAGCTGCAGATGGGGCGAAACATCAGGAGAAAATGCTACTGGGCCGTACCTTGTGTCAGCAATAAGGGTTTCAGGTGTCTACTACTACTACTACTATTATTATTATTGCAGCTGCAGATGGGAGTGAAAAGTCAGGAGAAAGTGCTGCTAGGACACGCTGGCCATACCTTGCGTCAGCAACAAGGGTTTCAGGTGTCTACTACTACTATTATTATTATAGCTGCAGATGGGAGTGAAACGTCAGGAGAAAGTGCTGCTAGGACACGCTGGCCGTCCCTTGCGTCAGCAACAAGGGTTTCAGGTGTCTTCCTCTTGGATCGCTATACAAAGGGCAGGCTTAGCAAACAATGCACAGTATCCTGACATTGACTACATTACCCATTGCACATCAGGGTTGCGAGTCGACCATCCCAACTACGCTTGGCATGATTTGGAATCGCAGCCCAGCGAAGGCAATACTTAAAGAAAATTGCGCATAATCATTTTTCAAAAAAATTGACCGGAGAGTCCTTCTCAAATCAATCCAGTGACTATTATTATTGTCTGAAGGAGCCATTAGCCACAGATGGGGGTGAAATGTCAGGAGAAAATGCTGCTAGAAACATCATGACGACATGCCAGTGATTCTGGCCACGAAAACAATGGACGATACGAAAATAAATAATCACATCCGACGAATAGGACTGTAGCTAAGCGAAGGAGGGATTCGTAAAGGGAATCGGAATGCCCGGAACATGTTCGAGGACCGACGCAGTGACTCCGAGAAGCCCGCTTTGCGTCCTGTCTAAACAGCATCCCTTTTAAGGCGGAAAGCAAGCTTGTCTACACTTCCGCCAGGCTGGCCCTAAAAGCCACACCTACACACACTCCCTTGGGTCACGGGCATTACAGTTCAACAGACCAAACAGACAATCGTCGTTGTTGTTATTGCTGTCTGAAGATGCAGGCGAAATGTCAGGAGAGAATGCTGCTAGGACTCTTTTTGCACAGAAGGGTCTCAACTAAAGAGAAGGAGGTGGCCAGTGGCCTTCTTGGCCCGAAGAAATGGCTGCTTCTCCTCCAGTGAATGAGTGACGACGCTTCCTCTCTCCGTTGGGCCCCATGGAACGCAATGGGGAGCGCGGAGGATGTCGAGGGAAGAAGTCCGGACTCTGTGCACTCCGCTTGAATAATAAAACGCCTCTTGTTTTCCTCCTCGGCCGTGCGCTTCTTCTCCCTGTGCGGCCAAAGGGCAATCTGATCCCTGTTCAGTTGCATCTTGAGAGATTTCTAGATCCGCCCTGAGTCCCTTTGGGGAGATAGAGTGGAATATAAATATATTATTATTATTATTATTATTATTATTATTATTATTATTATTATTATTATTATTATTATGTGTGGCCCACATGGGGGGTTCTGTGTGGGAGGTTTGGCCCATTTCTATCATTGGTGGGATTCAGATTGTAGGTGAACTATAAATCCCAGCAACTACAACTCCCAAATGCCAAGATTCTATTTTCCCCAAACTCCACCAGTGTTCACATTTGGGCATATTGAATATTTGTGCCAAGTTTGGTCCAGATCCTTCATTGTTTGAGTCCACAGTACTCTCTGGATGTAGCTGAACTACAACTCCCTAACTCAAGACCAATGCCCACCAAACCCTTCCAGTATTTGCTCTTGTTCATGGGAGTTCTGTGTGCCACGATTGGTTCAATTCCATCGTTAGTGGGGTTCAGAATGCTCTTTGATTGTAGGTGAACTATAAATCCCAGTAACTAAAACTCCCAAATGTCAAGATTCTATTTTCTCCAAACTCCACCAGTATTCACATTTGGGCATATTGAGTATTTGTGACAAGTTTGGTCCAGATCCATCATTGTTTGAGTCCACAGTGATCTCTGGATGTAGGTGAACTACAACTCCCAGACTCAAGGTCAATGCCCACCAAACCCTTCCGGTACTTTCTGTTGGTCATGGGAGAACTGTGTGCCAAGTTTGGTTCAATTCCATCGTTGGTGGGGTTCAGAATGCTCTTTGATTGTAGGTGAACTATAAATCCCAGCAACTACAACTCCCAAATGAAAAAAAATCAATTTTTTTTTGTGTGAAGGACATGGATTGGGTTGTTAGGTGTCTTGTGTCCAAATTTAGTGTCAATTCGTCCAGTGGTTTTTGAGTTCTGTTAATTCCACAAACCAACATGACATTTTTATTTATAGAGATATAATAATAACGCCCCCCCTCTCCGGGCTGAGAGAGTGTGACTTGCCCGGGGTCAACACAATGAGTGCCACTTCCGAACTTTATCCCGCTCCACTTCCAAACTCCATCCCTTCTCACCGAAGCCGTACCTACTGAGCTGCTCACATTTGCGTTTTTTCGAACTGTTAGGTTGGCAGGAGCTAGGGCTGACAGCAGGAGCTCACCCCCATCCCGCAGCTTCGAACTGCCAACATTCAGGTCAGCGGTTCGGCAACTCATGGGTTTAACCCATTGCTCCAACCGTATGGAAGAAGCGGTGTCTTCTTCCATCCCTCCCACTTTGTCCTCACAACAGCCTTGCGAGGGAGGCCTGGCTCTCCCAAAAGTCCTTGTTTTGCGCTCGGCAGCCTATGACTCCTTTCTCTTCCCAATGCCCCAACTGCCACCTAGTGGCCAGCCAGCAAAGGCCACTTCCTGCGGTGAAACGAATTGCCCTTAGAGCAGGCGTGGGCCAACTTTGGCCTTCCCTCCAAGTGTTGGGGACTCCCACTCCCACTTGGAATGGTGGGAATTGGAGTCCAAAATAGCTGGAGGGAAGGCCGAAGTTGGCCGATGCCTCCCTTAAAGGCAGTGAAAAGTATACCTGGATTCAGAAGTAGAGCGGGATGGAGTTCGGAAGTGGAGCTCATTGCCGATCGAGATGGAGTTCGGAAGCGGAGCTCATTGCCAATTGGGATGGAGTTCGGAAGCGGAGCTCATTGCCGATAGGGATGGAGTTCGGAAGCGGAGCTCATTGCCGATCGGGATAGAGTTCGGAAGCGGAGCTCATTGCCGATCGAGATGGAGTTCAGAAGCGGAGCTCATTGCCGATCGGGATGGAGTTCGGAAGCGGAGCTCATTGCCGATCGGGATGGAGTTCGGAAGCGGAGCTCATTGCCGATCGGGATGGAGTTCGGAAGCGGAGCTCATTGCCGATCGGGATGGAGTTCGGAAGTGGAGCTCATTGCCGATCGGGATGGAGTTCGGAAGTGGAGCTCCTTGCCGATCGGGATGGAGTTCGGAAGTGGAGCTCCTTGCCGATCGGGATGGAGTTCGGAAGTGGAGCTCATTGCCGATCGGGATGGAGTTCGGAAGTGGAGCTCATTGCCGATCGGGATGGTGTTCGGAAGTGGAGCTCATTGCCGATCGGGATGGAGTTCGGAAGTGGAGCTCATTGCCGATCGGGATGGTGTTCGGAAGTGGAGCTCCTTGCCGATCGGGATGGAGTTCGGAAGTGGAGCTCATTGCCGATCGGGATGGTGTTCGGAAGTGGAGCTCATTGCCGATCGGGATGGAGTTCGGAAGTGGAGCTCCTTGCCGATCGGGATAGTGTTCGGAAGTGGAGTTCATTGCCGATCGGGATGGAGTTCGGAAGTGGAGCTCATTGCCGATCGGGATGGAGTTCGGAAGCGGAACTCACTGCCGGTCGGGATAGAGTTCAGAAGTGGAACTCACTGCCGATCGGGATGGAGTTCGGAAGTGGAACTCATTGCTGATCGGGATAGAATTTGGAAGCAGAGCTCATTGCCGATCGGGATGGAGTTTGGAAGTGGAGCTCATTGCGTTGACCGTGGGCAAGTCACACTCTCTCAGCCCAGGGAGGGAGTCTGTGTGGGGAAACCGCCCCTGAAGGAATCCAAGGAACTGTAGGATGAGATTGCCGCAACGGGGAGGCTCTTCACAACAACATGCCACTGACAGGCCTGGATTGCGTGGCTCAAATCACATAGTTGCATATGTTGCTTTGCAGAAGCGGTGCACACGGACCTCTCCATCCATATCATGGAGTTGGAAGAGACCCCAAAGAGGGCCATCTAGTCCAACTCCCTTCTGCCTTCATGCAGGAAAAGCACAAAGCATTCCCTGACAGATGGCCATCCAGACCCTTGTTTGGAAGTGTCCAGGGAAAGGGCTTCCACCAGACCCTGAGGCAGAGAGTTCCACTGTTGAACAGCTCTTAACTTCTTGGAATCTCCTTCCCTGTCATTTGAACCCGTGACTCCGTTGAATCCTAACCTCCTTATGCCCTCTTTTCACATGGGTATCATGGCTCTCATAGAATCGGAGGCTAATAGAGTTGGAAGACATCACATGGGCCATGTAGTCCAACCACCTTCTGCCTTCAAGCACAATCAAAGCATCCTTGACAGATGGCTATCCAGCCTCTGTTTAAAAGCCTCCGTCGGACTCTTGAGGCAGAGAGTTCCACTTGTTTTGTGTTGTTGTTGTTGTGTGCTTTCAAGTCGTTTCAGACTTAGGTTGACCCTGAGCGAGGGCCGGGTAAATGACCTTGGAGGGCCGTATTCGGCCCTCGGGCTGTAGTTTGAGCACCCCTGATCTAAACATTAGGAAGTTCAAGCGGAGTCTAAACAATCCTCTCCCTGAGGACACCCTTTCACGTGACTCTCATGTGTCCTCCTCACAGCCTTGTCTTCTGCAGGTCAACATCCCCAGCTCTTTAAGACGCTCCTCAAGGGATTGTTGACGGTCTCCAGACCTTTGCCCTCTTCCTCTGGACTCCTTCCAGCTCTGAGCCAAAGCCTCTCCTTCCTCCTTCCTCCCAGGGCAATGATTAACCGCAGGATAGCGAGGGACGGGCCAAGGTCCAGTGCAGATGGACAGTCCCAGTCCCTCCTCCTCCTCCTTTGAAGCAGAGTGGACGCCATGCTGTCAGGCTTGGCTTCCTGGCTGCTCTCCTGTCTGCCCGCTTGGCCCGGCCTCGAGTGGGGCTCCCACTTGGTGGACGCCTTCCTCCAAGGTGAGTCGTCGTTGTTGGCATTTCAGGACGGTCTTCTTGGATTCTCACAAAGGTGGAAGTCGTTGTCCTTCATGCTCAGCGTGCATCTTAGCTTTGGCGGCAAAGGCAACTTGTTCCCCTACCACGGCATTGATTCCGTGCCAGCCTGGAGTCATTCATGGATCCTTCTTCAAACCGCTGCTCTATTCAGACCTATAGGGATTCTCGATCCGTTTTGATCACTCCCATTGGACGCAAGATCCCAGGCAGAAATGTGGGATGTCATCTAAATCATCTCATCGAGGTCAGGAATCCTTTGATCACTTCTAGAGTGGCGAAGTTTTGTGCAGAAGCTTGAAACTCGAAGAGGCGCGTTGGGAATGATTTTGTAAAAAGCTCTGTTTTTATATTGTTTTGAAAGTTTGACATTCTTAGTTTGTGATTGTAACAATAATTTCAATTCGTTTGCCGATTCCGACCTGGCCTCCCTTGCAGGGCTGGTGGGCGCCTGTGCCATCTCCATCCTCTGCAGCCTGATGAAGGTCTACCTCTACATCCAGTGCCTCAAGTGAGTTTGGCTTTGTGTTGCTAGTCCAGTCCTGGGCCAACTTCGGCCCTCCGGGTGTTTTGGACTCCAATTCCCACAATTCCTAACAGCCGGTAGGCTGTTAGGAATTGTGGGAGTTGGAGTCCAAAACACTCAGAGGGCCGAAGTTGGCCCAGGACTGGACTGGTGAATATTTGGGGTCCCATGTCTGTCCCAGGCATCAACAAGATCTCTGTAATGGTCCTTTGCTCCGTCTGTGTTGCTATGGGTTTAGTCTTCATGTTGTCAAAAACTTTCATGGTCATGTTCCGGAAGCATTCCCTCCTGACATTTCACCCACCTCTATGGCAGGCATCCTTAGAGTTTGTTGGAAACTAGACAAGTGGGGCTTATACTGCTGAGGCGGTACTTATTGATCTACTCACATTTCCATGTGTTCGAACTGCTAGGTTGGCAGGAGCTAGAGCTAACCCCATCCCACGGATTCCAACTGCCGACTTTCAGGTCAGCAGTTCAGCAGCACAAGGGTTTAACCCATTGCGCCACCTGCAGCCCCCTACTCATGCCATAGTTGACAACATGAGTGGTTATGACAGTCTCTCGCTCTCTCGTCAGTGACCCAGAGCGGCAGGCAGAGGAGGAGGCCCTGCGCTTGCGTCGTCCGCTCCTGGACCGGCTCCACCTCCCAGTGACGGCGGCCCTGCTGACGGTGGTGGGCTCCCGCGTGGCCGCCCTGGTGGTCCTCGAGTTCTCCCTCCGCGCTGTCTCCGCCCTCCTCTCCTTCGAGAAGGTCAGTGGAGCACCTGGGAGGGCACAGTCCTGGGAAAAAGCAGTGGTCAAGCTATGTTGATGGGTCTTCTGATGAACTCGAATGTCCAAAGATAACGGATCTTAGGAAACAAAGATGGAAGACTCAAAGGGTGCTGATCTTAATCAATAAATGAGTTAACGAATGCACATACTCTAAGGGAGGCGTGGTAGATTCTCAGCTTTGTGTGAATTGTACCAACATTTGGGGCTGACTGGCAAAGGAAGTCGGCTATCTCAGCATACACACAATGAATCCGATCATTACCTGGCTTGGGAAACAGCCAGAGGGATTTGCCCAATGCAGGTTACTATTTCTCCCTCTCTCCGGCAGGGTGCACCCTCCTCCTCTTCCTCCTCGCAGATGCTGCTGCTGCTGTGCCAGTTCTCGCTGGGCTGCGGCATCTCCTGCAGCCTGGGCTTCCTCCAGGAAGGGGCGCCCCACCGGATGTGGAACTTGCTGCTGGCGGTGCTGCTGGCTGCCCTGCTTGCCCGCCTCTGCACCCGCCTGACCTTCCACGTCCTGGCCCTCTTCCGGCTCCACGCCGGCCAGCGCTACTGCGGTGCCTGTCTCTCGCTCCTGGCCACCTGGCACCGCATCCCAGCCCTCCTGCGCCGTGCCCTGGCCGTCGCCTTCCTCGTGGCCGACCTCTGTGCCGTGGCCCTCATCAACCGGGACTTCCTCACCACCGCCGAGGCCCTGCGCTTCTGGACCCCGCTCACCATCTGCTACACCCTCCTCGTCATCTACATGCAAGGTCCGCTTGAAAGAAAACCGAATCGGGTTATGGGCCCAGCATGCTCTCTTCCTCCTCTTCTCCTTCCTCCACTTCCTCTCCTTTGTCTTCTTCTTCTTCCTCTTCCTCACCACCACCAAGGCCCTGCTCTTCTGGACCCCTCACCATCTGCTACACCCTCCTGGTCATCTATGTTCAAGGTCCGCTTGGAAGGAAACCGACTCAGGTTATGGGCCCAGCATACTTTCCTCCTCCTCTTCTCCTTCCTCCACTTCCTCTCCTTTGTCTTTTTCCTCTTCCTCTTCCTCACCACCACCAAGGCCCTGCTCTTCTGGACCCCACTCACCATCTGCTACACCCTCCTCGTCATCTACATGCAAGGTCCGCTTGGAAGGAAACCGACTCAGGTTATGTGCCCAGCATGCTCTCCTCCTCCTCCTCTTCTCCTTCCTCCACTTCCTCTCCTTCTTCTCCTTTGTCTTCTTCCTCTCTTCTTCCTGACTACCACCAAGGCCCTGCGCTTCTGGACCCCACTCACCATCTGCTACATCCTTGTAGTTATCTACATGCGAGGTC